TCCGGAGACCTGCACACTCGAATCACTCAAAATACTTAACTATGACAGACTACAACAAACCTGGCATGGCAAACAGCCAATCACAGCAAAAAACACACAATGCGCAGCGCAGACCGACGCCATGTGCGAGCAATCATGTCTTTAGCTTTGTTTCCAGGAAACGCTACATAACGACATTACCTATGCATGCCAAGTATAGAAAAAAGATAAATATCAGACTAAAACGACTTGAGCGACATAAAAATGAGAACGTGTGAATGCATACACGATGGCTAAAATATTATATAAACACAGCCAAAGGTAAACAAAATTGATTATGGCGTGCAGGAAAAGTCAATCACGAGTACACCTCTGCAATGCGACAGAGCTGTGATCAAATGGGTTACATTCACCACAAACAGCATAATCTCAACGTTCGCTTTACAAGAGCATGTCGGAAATATGGAGCGTCCCGCGCGTACTCGTGTATCTATTCTTGCGGCGACGCAGACAGATGCATCTATCTATCATGCATATCTCTCGCAAATTAATTCATATCAGATGCAAATATACGAATACCTGACATTTGATCGAAGATTTTGCCACCAGTGCCCCTTCCAAATAACGTTCAGTAGCTCGGCGCACACTGTCTCCCAGTGATGCGTCACACCGGACCCTAAAGCGGAGCACTTACCGCCCGGTCCCGTCACCGTGGACCATTTCCCGTCCACCGCCGAACGGCCACCGTCCCGGCACTAAGACGGAAATAGCGCACAAACGAGGCGGCTGGCCGGCCACGGGCGCTCAGACCTCAGACCAGAGAAGGTGGAGCCATGACGGCGTCTCGGACAGACCTTGAGCACAGCGGGACACGAGGCTGGCCGCGGTGAGCGGGGTAGACGGAGTGTATCATCGGACACCGCCGGGTAAGCATTGGTTCGGACAAGAGATTCAGTAGCACGGGCACAACACGGTACATTAACGAGCCTGGGTAACGAACATAGAGATTCATATACTTAAAACATCCAGTTAATTGAAGGAATAAATCAACATCGAGTGGACATAGCTTTCACCGCTACCCTCAAATCGACACTAAGGCCAGCGAAGCACATCAAAAACCATCCGGTCGCACACGAAGGGCAACTTCGTAGTATCACAGTAGACAAAGTAACTTCGCGAATCACCAAGGCAGTCAGCACACCCCTATCCACACAATAAAAGGCTCAGCGTCAGTCAAAAGACTGGCTGCGTTAGTGTTCACAAGAGCGCCGCCAGCCACTACTAATGCACAACTAACTAGGCCGCGTTCACAACACCATGGTCTTACGATGCCAGCAGCATCATGGTAAACTTGGGTACCGACTTGCGTAGCTTCAATAAAAACATCACCAGTCAGCATTACGACAGCTGCGTACATCTACGCACAAAGTCCATCACATGCGCTGAATCCTCCGGATAAAATATCCAGAAATGCGGACGTGACATTTCTCGCAAAACCCTGTGCGTTATCCATAGCATAATGGATGCCAAAAACACTCAACAGTACCCAGTAAAGCACAAATGCGTCAGCATCAAATTCACTACATGTGCAAGTCACGCAGATCTCACATTTAATGAGCCCCTTCGTTCACCACACCAAAAGGAAACGATGGACTATATGTAGCCCGAGTAGTTCGCAGCTCCTTCCATCAAAATTCCAGTGCCACCACTGCGCCGGAACGAAAAGCAGCAGCTCTCGAGGCATCCAACAATATAGCACACAGAACAAAACACCAGCATATGGCAGTACGGACAGCTCGACCCCTCAGCGTCAGACACTAGACAGCCTTCTCCCAGGCGGGTATCTACCTCTCCGCCGCTGCCTTCCTTCATCCCCTCAGAAACCTGACTGCTCCCGCTAGTCTCTGTGCTTTTGAGACACCCCAAAAGCACAGAAGCACCTCAAAAGCACCTGACTGTCTCTGTGCTTTCACCTCCTCCAAAGCTGTCGTCGTCTCCGTCTCTAGTACTCGCGCATCAGGGATGCACACTCGTGGACGAGGTCGGAGAAGCAGGGCCGCATGTGCGCCTGCTCGTCCCAGCAGGGCCACATCAGCGACGTGTAGATGCCCAACGGACACCTGGGGAGGCGGAACGGGACGTCAGAAAGATGGACCGCGGGACGGGTCGGGACGGGAGCGGACTGACCCAGGCGGACTGGGCACGGACCGGGATGGCCAACGGATCACGAACGGGGAAATAAGTGCAACAGAGGACAGACCGCCCGGGGCAGCAAATAACAGCCGTCCAGCGATAGTTCAAAATTGATTTACTCTGGTCGTCCAGTGACTGATATTATCTCGAGGATTGCGGAAAGAATTGCAAGCACGTAAAAACTGCTACAGTCGAGCTGATGAACAGTAAACTGCATGGCATCCTCAAAGCAATATCCAACGCACACACACAAACGACGTGCATAAACAAAAATACAAACCCAGCATAATACCACAACTCACTCAACACGTCAAAACAACACTATCTCCTTAGTTCCACACCCATCGGCCATCACCCACCCCTTCCCCATCCCACCCAACTGGCCATCTCCCTACCACTCCCTCTCCCTCTCCCCGCGACTCACTCTGAGGGACAGCAGAGCCGCACGCCGCGGTCCAGCGTCTCCAGCAGCTTCTGGTCGTCACAGTTGGGGATCTGGGGGTCCTCGCCGCCCGAGAACATCTCAAACAGCGTGATACCGTACGACCAGACGTCCGACAGAGACGAGAACTTGCCGTAACGGATACTCTCCGGGGCATACCTGGTGGGGAGGGGAGGCCGGGAGGTCAGAGGGCGGTAATGGGTGGTGGGTACGGGTAGAGAGGGAGAAAGGAGTGGGAGGGAGAGGGAGAGGGAGAGGGAGAGGGAGAGGGAGAGGGAGAGGGAGAGGGAGAGGGAGAGGGAGAGGGAGAGGGAGAGGGAGAGGGAGAGGGAGAGGGAGAGGGAGAGGGAGAGGGAGAGGGAGAGGGAGAGGGAGAGGGAGAGGGAGAGGGAGAGGGAGAGGGAGAGGGAGAGGAGAGAGAGAGGAGAGAGAGAGGAGAGAGAGAGGAGTGAGAGGAGAGAGAGAGAGAGAGAGAGAGAGAGAGAGAGAGAGAGAGAGAGAGAGAGAGGAGAGAGAGAGAGAGAGAGAGAGAGAGAGAGAGAGAAGAGAGAGAGGAGAGGGAGAGAGGGGGGGGGCAGTGCCTGGTGTTTACAGTGTCAGTGTGTCAGAGTGACTGAGAGGCTCACAAATTACCTCCCTGTGTAACACACATTAATGAAGTAGCAGGATAAACTTCCCACTCAAGATGTAGCCGGAAGCTGCACATTTCGCGCTATGTTTGGGGGTCATCAATCACTAGGGTTTCACCCGGCTCTAAGTTAGATAAATTCCCCGTGGATTAATCTGGATGTCAGAGGAGAAGTATTCACTGTTTCAATACGGCGGCCTGGCGACGCGGGCCGTATCGTGTTTCACTCACAGCCGACTTGTAATCTAGCATCGGACGGCCCGCGGCGCCCCCACAGTACGCTCCGATGCAGACAATACTCCCCAAAACGTGACGGGAGCAATGCCCTCCGGTCGCACAGCCGCTTCTGCCGCCCCGGAGCATAAACCAATCACCCCTGTACGCGTGCTCGCAGCGCATGTCCAACACTCCCGGGCGGGATAGAATATAGACCTTCTAAATCTCCCGACCAGGCCCCAGCAGCTGCAGGTTTCATCTAACTTTTCCAGCCGCACCCTGGCAGCGCTTTGCTCACTCTCTAACCCAGAGCCCCTGGTTTCTAACCTCCGCGCCGCGACCCGGCCGCGTGTGTCGACTCACCATCTGAAGGGCAGCTCCCGGTTGGTCTTCAGGTAGTAGTAGGTGTTGGCGCCCGTCACCTGAGCCAACCCAAAGTCGGAGATCTTGACGTGTGTGTCCGACGCCACCAGGATGTTCCGAGCGGCCAGATCTCGATGCACGATCTTCTTTTCACCCAGGTACTCCATACCCTGTCGGGAGAATTCGTGGAGCGTTAGGCCTGCTGTCGATTAGCTAACGTCAATTGCGCCGTACACTTAGCGTATCGATTCAGACATGAACGGTTATGTAACACCCGTTACAGTTTCACTTAAATTTAACAATGTTCCCAAACACATTAAGCCGAGCCTGACGATCCATAAGGGAGTAGACAATGAATGTTAGAAAGTACATAAATGATTCAAGGAAACGGAACAACCAGATCACCTGGAATTCACACTTGTTCAAACTCTAGCTCTACTTCGACTCCCGTTTAAGTCCACTCTCTGCTCAGGGTCGCGAAACTTCCTACCTTGGTTACATCCTTGGCGAACTTGGGTCCCGGAAGTTCCTACCTTGGCCACATCCTTGGCGAACTTGAGTCACGGACCTCCCTACCTTGGCCACATCCTTGGCGAACTTAAGTAGCCGGTGCGTGGTGAGTTTGTCCCAGTACATCTTCAGGTAGGAGCTGAGCGCGCCGGGAGGCAGGTATTCCATGACCAACATCAGCTCCGGCTCGTCCACGATGCCGCGCATCTTGACCACGTTCTCGTGGTCCAGGTCCTGGAGGGGGGGGGGGGGTCAGTCGTACTTGTGGTGAAAGTTGTGGAAATGCAGGGAGAAAGGGATGGAGGGAGTTCCTTACAGCGTGAACAAAATGAATAACTAAGCATCAGTGGCTACGGTATAATACTGACAGCGCTGTCTAGAACGTTCTGCCCGTCTCATTGTCTAGTAGGCTCGTTCTGCACCACAACTCCCCACGTCACACCCACCCTTCATAGGCGTGGGGTAGGACGTGACTGCTGCATGCCCCGGTCAACTGAGAGAGGACGCAGGGTACCGCCCTGAGACGGCCAGCCTCCGGACACAGTCCACGGCTCGGTACAGGTAGCGGCGGCCATTAGCCGTCAAACTTTCCCTCCTACATGATCAATCAGCCGCCAGGCGCCGAGAGTGACGGCCTGAGACCAACTTCGGACGCCCCCGGCCCGGCGGAGTAACCCCAGTGACCACGCGGTGACACCTCCCCGGCCGGACCAGGTTAGGTAGAGCCCGGCCCGGCCGACGGAGACCAGTCAGCGAGTCGGCGCCACAAATGGACCAAGTTAACACAGCGGTCGACCGCTGGGCGGCAGCGAACTTTGGGCCACCACCACCTGATCGGGGTGCAGTTGAAGCCGGTCTCAGTCAGTTGAATGGACAGTGGGTAGTAGGGCATCCCCCGAGTATGAAATAGACTGCATGATATCGCTAAAACGACGTGTAAAACGTTTTTTTTTTTTTTTACTGCGGTAAACAAAATTGGTAAGATGAAAATCTGACCCTACTTTTCACCGGACACATCTAAAATAGTTAAATACCTGCTGCCGTCCGCGTCTGTGGTCCGGTTAGGAACGGTATTTAACCCCTCGGGGCGAGGTTATATGCCGGTTAAGCACCATGATGCATATGTCTCCTGGACGTCAGCTATCCGGAATCTGTATGCCATCCGTCACTATAATCTACTGTTCTGATTCCCCACCCGGATCCAAGAAATAAGCTCAATGAACTGCTCAAAGATGAGCTGCCATCTAATTTTGAGGGAATAAAGCCGGTGGCAGCAACGTCTGTCAATATCTGTAATCCAAACCCTGACAACCACTATTTGATGTAATGGCACTGGATTGTGTGTTGGCAGAAATCAGATAATATATCCGGGGAATAGAACGAATCCGATAAGTTAATGCAGTACATTTATTACGCGTGCAAAAAAAGTTCTTTACTATTCCGTAGCCTTGCCTGAAGGACAGCACCGAACGAGTTCCATTCCTCATAATGATGCTATCTATCACATAAATTAAGCGGCTTATAAAGCCCGATAATTATTAGCTGAATCAATATAAATACTATAAGCCAATATTATCAGGTGACTCATCTCACAAATACAGCCACTCGACTCCCATCCCCGGCACCGCCAGCCGCACGCGTACCTTGAGTATGGCGATCTCGCGCTGCAGGTCCTGCAGCCCGGCCGTGCTGATGGCCTTCTTTTTGAGCCGTTTGGCGGCCACCGTCTCCCAGGTGCCGTCCTGGTGGGTCAGCACCGCCTTGTACACCTCGCCGTAGAAACCCTGCCGGCGACACGGCGGCGGCTGTCAGCGGGCGTGGCGTGACAAGGAAGGGCGAGAAACCCGGCCCGTGAGACACAGGCCCGGCCGCGGGGCGCCGCGCGGGACAGCCACCGACCGACAGTGGGCCGTGGGGCTTCCGACACCGGTTTCAGGCGCAGTTTTACCTGCTCGGGGAGTACAAATAGCTCACAGAGAACTTCGCTAGCAGGTGACTCGACATAATGCGCAGATGATCGACCCTCGTCACAAAACTAAGACAAATGTGCCTTCCATATAGTTGTCGGGATATTTGAACCACTTTCCTATGAATATTCCGACCCTCCGCAATACCTTTACCTTGACACACTAATTCCCCAGCACACCTGACAAATGGGCAGTTTGCACATGCATCATACGGTCAAAGCACGGTCAAAGGCCCGCCACTGCCCCTCCAGGTTTGAGGGCCACTCTGGAATTGAGTACCTCAATGGCAGTAATGAGCTCAGAGGCAGCGCTCACATCTCGGGAACGCTGCCTACTTATCCCGGCGCACGTACGGAAAAAGACCGACAGCACGTCCTGTACAGACGCTGCCAATTTGTCACTAAAGCGCAGGTCGAGCTTCAAACGAACACGACTAAAGGTGAGCTCAAATCCCCGACCTTTTCAGTACAAACGCATTCTGCAACGAATGAAATACGACTATAATATGGATGGGACATAAAGAAACGGCGATGACTAGCGCAGTTAGGAACAGGAATAGCGGAAGCAAGCGGATGTGACAGAGGCGTCCCCAGTCAGCTAGTCAGGGGAGCTTAAAGAACGGCTAGCCAGTGGCGGCTACAGACCCTTACCAGCCAAATTTCCCCAAGTCAAGCTGGGCGCGTCTTCCAGCCTCTCCGAGCTGACAGTCGCCCCAGTCTGACTCACCACTCCGAGTCGATCTCCGGCGGGCAGAGTCGCCACAGTCTGACTCACCACTCCGAGTCGGTCTCCGAGCTGACAGTCACCCCACTGACTCACCACTCCGAGTCGCCTTCCGGCGGGCAGAGTCGCCCCAGTCTGACTCACCACTCCGAGTCGGTCTCCGAGCTGACAGTCGCCCCAGTCTGACTCACCACTCCGAGTCGATCTCCGGCGGACAGAGTCGCCCCAGTCTGACTCACCACTCCGAGTCGCCCTCCGGCGGGCAGAGTCACCCTAGTCTGATACCACTCCCAGTCGCTCTCCGAGCTGACAGTCATCCCAGTCTGACTCACCACTCCCAGTCGATCTCCGGCGGGCAGAGTCGCCCCAGTCTGACTCACCTGACCACTCCGAGTCGCCCCAGTCTGACTCACCACTCCCAGTCGGTCTCCGAGCTGCACCTGCCCCTGGTTGAGCTGCAGCACGCGCGGGAAGCTCGGGCACGCCTCCTCGAACATATCCAGCGGCGAGATGGGGGTGACGGGCTCGGCCGAGTCGCCGCCCAGAGACGTCGGCACGCCGGGGATCAGCAGCTGACGGAGCGGAGCGGGGGCAGTCAGTGAGGAGGAGGGTGATGAAGGGGCGGGCCGTCACAACGCCCCCACCATAACGGTACATTTACACCAGCAACATACCAAGCGAACTGACTTCGATTGATGAATATACGATGGTTGCAATACGTAAAGCAGTAAGATCACGCCGCCATTCAAAAGGTAAATCACTTAATAAAAAACTACTTCACAGAAAATTATTTGTGAAGCGATAAATTTAACAGCGCTATATCCTCCAAAACTCAGCGATCCTAGAATGTAGAAACTACGATCACGCGCTTCGATTCCGCCCAGAACATCTCGAGACGCACGGAGAAGGATCTTCAGTGTCCCATCTGACCACTGACGTTCTCGCCGGGTACTGACCTTGTGCCTGCCGATGCTGACCAGACGGTCTCTGGTGCGTCCCTCGGGGTCGACCGACTCCGGTGACATGACCCGGGCCAGGTCAGCACCGCCCGGGAACGGCTCCGACAGCAGGTCAATCATAGGCGGCGCCACGGACTCTGCAGGGGCGGAGGACGGTGTCAGAACACAGGTCAATCATAGGCGGCGCCACGGACTCTGCAGGGGCGGAGGACGGTGTCAGAACTCACAGCACAGAGGTCAATCATGGAGGGCGCCACAGACTCTGGGGGGGGGGGGGGGGCGGAGGACGGTGTCAGAGCTCGCAGTTCAATCACAAAGGGCGTTAATGACTTTACGGGACAAAGCGGGCGTAACATGAACAGGTCAATCATAGAGAGCGCCATCAAATGTCATAAAATTTCGGCTTACATCCCCATACCCCAATCCAATTCAAGCCACAACCAACCTAGTCCCCAGCCCCCAACCCCTCCGCATACCTCTGTTTGCATTACACCTACTCCCACGAACCACACCGGGCCGCAGTCACATCAATCCCGGACAGTGACACTGACCGACTGGCCCCGGCGGCCAGCGTGGCAGGTCCGGCTGCCCAGTAACGACCCATACACACCGGCCGACGGCCCGGCAACCGAGAGACATTCCAGAGAGTATCAATGGCCGGCGAGTGTGGGCGGCGAACGAGGGGGGACCGAGGGGGTGGAGCAGAGTGGCCAGGTCGCTGACCGCATTGATCACCACAAATAGGGCGAATGGCCGCCGCCCTGGGACCTTTATGTAGATTCGGCAACAGAGAGCAGGTTTAGAAGTGGGATTGGAAAAAACAGCAGGACGAAAAAATAAGAAGAGTAAATTGAACATCCAAAGTAGCTTATAAACCTGAGCGGATGAGTCCCTCCCCCGATGCAAAAAGTGACCTATGGCAACAATGAGCGGAAAACAATAAGCCATTGCGTGGTAAGTACGATGACAACGTTACATAAGCGAAAACATGGAGCCATGTCAACGTCATTCCACACAAAAAAAAAAACACACACACACAGCAAAAAAGGGCATTCCCCGCCCAGGGATATATGCAGGCACTGAATAAAAGTAACACTATCCATGTGTGATGTTAGTGCTCAACCATCTTAGATCAATCGACAACATAGTGGTGTTGACTGTAATATTGTTGGTGCCACCTACCTACAACGGACGCAGTCGTGTTGTCGGTGCCCAGGGTGGTGACTGGTGAGTGGTGATTGGTGACTGTGGTGTTGGTTCACCTACCTATTGCCGACACTGTGGTGTTATCGGTGCCCAGGGTAGTCACTGTGCCGTCCACTGGGGTACCGGCACCCTCGCCGCTGTCCACGGACGCACTGTTGGACAGGGTGGCGTACGCGTGCACCTGTCGCGCGTTGAACACTGCAAAACAAAACAGTACGAGGGCCGTCAGTGGCAGCGGCGCGTCCAGCGATCACACTAAGGGAGGGTCCTGGAACGCAGGCATCCGCGCATCCTATCATATCGAATGTACATCGCAGCATGGACATTTCCTCCCCCGAGCCAGTCTCAAATAGCAGCAGTTCCTCCCCCTTGACAGACCACCTGACGTCGCCCCTGACCGCCCCGTGCCGTTCCTGGAAGCGGGTCAATATACCGGCTGGATTCCTGGAAGTGCCGCCCCAAATCGCGCCCCGAGGGGCGACACTCGGCCAGGTGAGTCACCGCCCGGCGGCCGCGCAGGGTCACGGGCAAACTGAGCGTAAGGCGGCGCCGCACGCGACAGGGACGGCGGGCGGTGAGTCAGATGGTCCGGAGGGACGCAATATACGAAAAATAAGCTGGGTAGAGTGAGCGGGTGCCAGGTATTGTAGTTCGAATAAAATTTCTTCGGAATAGACATCGCGTTCAATCAGCAAAGTCTGAACACAAGCAAAATGTGGTACTAAGAATCCCTGCGAAACGTTATGACTTCACACGGCTATGGGCATGCATCCGCTCTTACAGATACGCAGAAAAATGACATATCGCGGATGTCAAAAGAAATAGGCTAAATCCGGGAGCGGGACAGCAAATTGAGAGGAGATTGATTCCTCGAGATATCTGAGTGATAAAAAATATTGAACTGGGACAAAACAAGAGGCATTGTAAGTGAACATATTTGTTGAATCAACACATATGAAGATATCAAAGGCATTCAGAGCCCTGTTTGTACAGACTAAATGAAAGCTGCGCTGAAAGTACACACTCAGTGAATAGCCCAGCCCCGCCCCACTCCGAGCCATTGTCAACAGGCATTAGCAAGGGCAAAACCTTTGCACTGTAGATCAAAGCAGTACAGACAGTGCTGAGTCCATAATGCGCACGAAAGCACTGACAATTACACACTAATTGATATTTTACATTACAATGATAACAATGCACAGTTGTCTAGAGTGATGTGTGGCAGTGCAGAAAGTGCGAATGTCTACAAATAGTATTTAGCTTCTAGTGTTCCCTTCGTCCACATGAATCTACCACGCCACTGAAACTCTTGAGTCCGTCAACGAATCCTTTCAGCCAAATCACCTAATAAAACTTCCAGTCACTATAATTCATAGCTTTCAGAAAACTTGCAATCCCTTTTCAAAAATACTTCAGTAATTTCCAATATTCCGTCATCATATTCGCCCAATCGCTCCTTCTGGGATACAGGCCATGTTATCTCCCCACGGAGGTATCATCGGACCAAAAATAACACGTGCCGTTGGACAACTTGACGTCAAAGTTACCGCCGCGCTGGCCAGAGGTCAACCAGAACAAGAACACGGGTGGGGCGACAGGGATCATAATGAAATCAGTCTAGGTCCGGTTCATTGTGGGATGACGATCAGCTTTGGCTATTCCTAGCAAAAAGTCTGTCCTGATGTTCATTTTAGAAAAAGGAAAAGGTAGGTACGGCTATTCACATCTATGTATAGCACGGTTTCATTTATAAAATCGTGCTTTAACACAGGTCCGGTACACCGCATGCATAAGTTATATGTAAGCTGTACGGATCAATTGGTGTGGAAACCCGATCGATTTCTGGTTTTCGAACGAAGCTGACTTCGCTTTAACTTAGTTAAAAAAAAAACACGTTTAGAAATTAATAATCCGCCAAATCTTTGACAGTACAAGTCTCCTTCATCGCTAAAGTTCTCAGTAGGAAGTGACAAATTTAATTTCGCTCTATCGTGGCAACAGATGTCCTCTCAGTTCAGAATTACGTGCAAGAGAGCACATTCGTCCTGTAAAAACCTGCGACAACAAAGCCATTTGCGAAGAAATTCCAAACTTATTGGATGGGGAAGTGTGCTAGCAAGAAACTTCTGATTTGTTACAATCAGCAACAGAGTGTCGTAAGATAAGAGTATGCTCTCATGTTGCCAGGGCGTCTGAATCTCATCGCAAACGAAGCGCATATTGCGCAAATCATCACAACCAAGACTCAACTGCGGCATAGCAGCCTCCCATACCACTCTGGTAGAACGGTGAATGTTGCAATCAATACTCGCACTGATCCATTGGGAAACACCAGCAGGTAGTCAGACCAGTGAGTAAATCATTGGTCATAGAAGGAACATAAAACTAAACATAACTTTGGAGACACCTAACGAAAAAGACCAATCGTCCGCAATGATATGACAAAACCCAACGAAATCCGTACTAATATGCAGCAGTCAGACAAATTACGACAGGCGTTCACCAGCCTCGAGGGTGGTCAATTCCGTAACTTATTCATTTACCTACTCAAAGAACCCGTTGCTGCCGCTCACCATCATTGAATCCTAATAAGCACAGCCGGTCGACCCGACCCACCACCCGGTCGGTCGGTCGGGCTCGGTCGACCCAACCAGCCACCGGTCGGTCGGTCGGACTCGGGTTCCACCGAGATCGGGGACCGCTACGGCCCGGCTTTCTGAGTCACTGCGACCAGCATCCGTATAGGGATGTGCGTGACCAGTGGGAGCGACCGGCCAAACTTGGACCGGCCGCGCCAACCAACCAGAACTTCTGCCGCTGGGCACACGGCCACCGCGCCAATGTCAATACGGATCAACGGGAAACGCTCGGCACCGGGGGATTTCAGGACTGGCGGAGATTTAAATTCGGAAATAAACTCGGGTTACGCTAAGTGCTGCGGTAGGGATGCAGCTGAAAGACAAACTTGTGCGGAGAGCGGCATTGTTGCAGACGATCTTAGTGCTGGCCAACGTTACGACCATCGATAGCGTCCGACCCGGTATTACTTTTTTCGATTATTTCAATCTCTCGTCGAGTCGTAAAGATCCGATCACACCAAATTGCCTTCGGGAGATATTAATTTCTAGAGCCCATTAAAACGCTCTCAAGATGGAATCATAATGGGCCGCTTATTGATAGCTGGTGCTTATTTAAACTAGAAAGACGGTAATGCCACGGATCAAAACCAAGGTTCACAATGGCCCCTCCAATGTCTCCATTCCATAAACCACTCTCGGCTCGGCACCCAGCCCCGCGCCGGTCCCCCGGCCCCGTTTGAGTCGCCTCTCTGAGCAGCAGGTCATTACAGCCGCCCAGAGAGCCGCTAATTACGGCCCGCTCCCAATCAGCAGATCAGAGAGCTGCCAGCCTCTGCCGGGACCGATAGGCGACCCGCGCACCGGCCCCGATCCGTCCAGCGTCGCCGGTGACCCCGGGGAGGCCGCCCGGTCTGCGCCGGCCTGATTAAACGGAATACTTCACGATAGCCGGCGGCAGCGGGCACGGAGCGTCCGGCAAACAGAATTCACTGAACGGGAAGCGCCGTCACCGCTGAATGGCGGTACGGCTCAGACGCGAGGGCACGCTATCGGTGATCCGGGCTCCCGGATTTGTAACGCCCAGGTGGAGTCAGAACGGCCAGTTCAACAGCTGGTCGGTAAATGACGTTCTCTCAGAACGTTACCGAATATACTACAATCTAGCTGAATCAGATTTCTCCAACAATCTCGTAGCATCAGCGCAAAATCCTACGAACGCCCCACCGACCACCTGTGAGTACACCACTGCAGACATCGTCTCCCGCACTCGCTCCCTTCTCTCAGACCCACCCGCCGGCCGTACTCACCGTTGTAGAGGATCTGGTTGATGTCACGCATGATGGCCTGTGGCGTTTTTCGGTTGTGCGGCATGTGGTGCCAGCAGTCGCACATGAGTCGGTAGATGTCGCGGGGACAGCCGTTGGGCGGCGGCAGCCGGCCGCCGCGCTGGTATAACTGGGGGTGGGAGGGGAAGCGTCAGTGCATGCAGGAACTGGAGCAGTGAAGGCAAGGTACGGTACGGAAACACATGCCCGAGAGTAACCAGAGACAAGTTAAATGTCGGTGGTCACCTTCGAAGAGATACAAGACGGCCGTCTCTAGCGGTGGGGCGTACTTAATTATCTGAAACTGAAAATCATAAAAAAGAAACAGTGATTAACTTTCCTCAACTTCAACCTCAAATGGTCGTCACATGTTTAGATTACCAGTCCTATCAAACCGCCACCGATATACACCACTCCACAGCCCTCTCTCGCTGTCCTCTGAGGTCCCGCGGCCCACCTGTTTGGCCATGTCGAGGTCCTCTCCCTCTAGCGGCGTCTGTCCGTAGGAGAATATCTCCCACAGCGTGGTGCCATACGACCACACGTCCGCTGCCGAGGAGTAGGCCACCGATTGCAGCTGGTCAAAGTACTCTACAGGTACCCAGTGGAGACTGAAACACAGCGGACAATGGAAGAGTTGACAAGACATGGCGAACACAAACATGGGTTCACAGTCTGACAAATCATAACTTGTTGATATGCATTATGTCACGTAGCTATCTTTTATATATTTCATCAATGCCTCGTAAACAGCAGAGCTAACAAATAAACGCTCAAAATTCATCCCGCACTTTCATTTCTTTACCCCACTGACACATGTCTTCCCAGTTCAACCCCAATCACTGCCCCCTCCCCCCCCCCCCGTGAGCTGTCTCACTCGTTCTGTGTGTAGAGCCGCAGGCCGGGGTCGGCCAGGCGCACGTGGAACTTGTTCTCGGCCCGGGACGACACCAGCACGTTTCGGCAGCGCAGTTTGCCGTGGGTGACGCCCTGTTCGTCGAGGTACCAGAGCGCCTTGGCCAGGTAGGTGCCGGCCTCCACCAGATCAACCTGAAACGGCAGCGGGAGGTGCGGAGGTGAGTATGATGGAATGGGAATGATACCAATCTAGCGATTTGCTTTTTGAGCCACGCACATAACGTTAACTAGAAGTAGACACCTTATCTGTAAAAAATGCCGAGCACATGTATCACCGTGATCATGATTAGAGCAGAGGCAACTAAAATAATTGTCCGTAATGTCCGTAATTCCGTCCAATTCGAAACTCTGTGATTCATTTCTTTCAACAACAAAACTGATGTAACAAACCACGTAGGTAATCAGCTCTCGCCTCTCACCATCAATCTTTCGCACCTCTACACTACACTACACTACACTACACACTATATGTACACTACACCGCACACTATCTACACGAAACTAGTCTCTACAGCGCTGCTCGCTCCGCACTATCTCCATCCGCCCAGCTCACCTCCATGAGTGTGTGTTTGTTCTCTGCCAGGTAGGAGTCGAGCGGACCGAGCGGGTACCAGTCCATGACGAGTGAGACGGCCTGCGTGAGGCACACGCCGCGGAACTGCACCACGGCGTCACAGGTCCACTGCAGCGCTGCGCTCACCGAGTCGATAAAGTCCTGACGACGGCGGCGGTAGGGGGCAGGGGGTTGGGGTGCGAATAGAATGCTTAGCACGAAGAGCATGAATTCAGTAAACCATTGTTCGGGGAGAGGTGGAGGTACTGGATGCAAACATATCTGCAGTATCGTAGTGGCTATGGAAAAAGATATTGGTCTGCTCGCAAAACACTATAATCTTGCGGAAAATGATCGCATTTGCAGAAATTGCGTGCCGAAATATCGACATCCCATCTCACCAATACCTAAGTACGGGTTACATACCGGGTTTAAGCGTTCCATAATGGTCACGTACCGCCCATCTGTCCTCCCTACCTGCAGGTGCTCCTTGGTGAGGTGCTGCTGTAGCCGTTTGACTGCCACCTGGCGGGTAGTGCCCGAACTAGTGTGCCACTGAGCGCGCTGAACCACCGTGTAGCGGCCGTACACCTCGGCGGCCCGGCCTGCAGGCGGACAGGCGAGCCGGAGAGGTCAGTTCCCAGGTTAGTGGTGCAGCCAATTCGGGACCGTAAGGCAGTAGTCATAAAACATGAGGTAGAGGGCTACCGGCTAGAACCATTCGCCATTTATTTTCGCATGACTGATCAGTGATCACATGGTCTATATAAAAGTAAGCCAGCAGCGTTCAGCACTTGATTGAGCTGACAAAAGACCGAAAAACCCAATCCCCTCATTATAAACCCTTTCATCGGGGCGCCCCGTTGTCCAGCGATCCGACACTGACCTGTGTATAGTTTGAGCGAGTTGGCCGGTATGCACAGAGGCTGGTCGTTTCCCATTTTCTGTTTGCTTTTTAGCCTGGCCGCCTCCTCGTCTGAGCTAAGGTCTCGACATAACCGTAGGGGGCTCTCGTCTGAAAAAAAAAATGCACGCCTGATTAAGGGAACAACAACAATAAATAAATAAATAAATAAATAAAATAACATGTTTGAGGCAACCTAATAGCACACTATCAAAGCTTGAGTCTAATTTTACCTCCTCTAATTTTCCTGCCGAAATGTTGCTTCAAATAATGTCAATTATACATCCCCTCGATTATCATTTATCCCCTCGATTATCATTTATTCCTCTGCGACAGAGGCCCATCTGTACCCGTACCGTGTTCTGATGGCGGCAGGCACTCTTTGAACTGGACCAGGTGGTCGGTGGAGAACTGGGCGAGCAGCTCCTGGATGGAGGCGTGCTCCTCCTCCTCGCCAGGACACCGGAACCCGCCGCCAGCGGTCTCGTCGATCGCTATCGTCAGCGGCTGCTCGCTGGGCGACGGAGGGTTCAGGCGGCGGTTAGGGTGCTGGCTCAACGACGATAAAACAGGTGATAAACATCACCCATTCCTACACTATTGCAAAATACATTGCTTCTCTTGTAATCAGGATGAGAGGCAAACGGCCAATAGGGTATATGACTCATCTGGACCAAGTTTAGCTATGAATGTTGAAAAGGAACGGTAAAGTAAAGCTCTCCACTACTGACCAGTTGGGTTGGCACACGTCCACCAGAATGACGTCATACTCCTCAGAGTGTTGCCGCAATAGGTACGTCCCCGGCTCGTTGTTCCGTTTCTCGCGCAGCTTTTGGTGCGCAAACTCCTGGCTGAAGGAGAACAGATGTAGTTAGCTCTTTTAGAAGTCGTTTGCGATGTCGGCACAACATCTTCTATAGCATTCAGGTTTAGGCACGAGCGAACACCTACTCATCCGTTCATAAAACTGAACACACCTTATACAGAATGTAGAATGCCCGCACTTTGCAAGAAAACAGGTAAAATACAAACTTAAGCATTCAAATAGCAAATGTCGCTCAGACAATGGTCATAGAGATCATGCTGAAGGATGCTCGTATGGCATCCTTCAGCACTGCTGATGCAAATAAAATACGATCTATAAAAGCGGCGGCGTTTCGACGCCTCCTCGTCGGCAGTTGCGACTGTCTCGCCGCTGCCCTACCCGACGGGGCCGTGGCAGCGTCGCTGTTTGAGGCGCAGCTGGGATGGCAGCTGCAGGTCCTTGCTCAGGCAGAAGGTCCACTTCTCCATCAGCCGGTAGTACGAGTCCAGCAGGCTGACACACGACGTCATCTCGGCCTGCAGAGGGGTCACACCGGGGTGGGTTGGTGTTCAGGTGTGGTGGGAACCTCTGCAGACGGGACGGAGGTGAGCCTTTACTTTTTTACCGTTCTTTAAATATTCCGATGAGGTTTCCGGCTATCCTCTTCTTAGCGGTGCGTTCGGAGAGCATGGCATATTCACCGTTTCCGGGAATATTCCCCGTGCCGCGTTCGGGGGGGGGGGGGGGGTATCTCTCTGAACGGCCAATCTCCGGGAATATTCCGCATATTCCGCGCGCATGGAATATTCCACGGATTCCGCGTGGAATGTGCCTCTCCGAACGCACCATAGGTATAAGTAGCGCTTCTTTCACTTCTTTTCACCACATCACTTATCTGGTGTGCGTTCATTTCGCCCAGTCTGCTGGATAAGCAATAGTACAAATTATTTGCGAGACGTACCTCTGATGCGAATCGGAAGTACTGCGGTACGCCGTTTTTCCGCGCCAGCTCGACTCTGTTGTCGTTCCTCAGCGAGATGTAGCAGATGTCACTGATGGTGCATATGTGGATGGAGTTCTGAAAACGTGCCAGAGTGAGGTGGGATAAGCGAATTGACGTGTCTGTTGCTAGGTCATTTCCAGCTGGTCACATGATTTCATGCTAAATGCAAAGTAATCAAAGGAGGGCATGAGTGGATATTAATATCCTCGCGGCTTCCGTGACAAAGCAAATAAAGAGCCGAGAAGGACGGCAATGTTCCGATTTAACTGCACACTCTCGATCAAATTCCGCATTCATACATTTTCGCCAATATTCTACAATGCCACCAGTCTAGCGCCCAGGCACCTCTCCGACCCCGGTTTTGCCACCCACCTCGCCGCCGTCGGTCTTCATCCTCAGCCCTGGCTGGGTGGGGTGGAACGGGTCCACCACCAGCTTCCACTGGCGCACCACGCCCGCCTCGTCGCGCTGCACCGTGTACGTCTCGTCTCCGTACGTCGGGCACATCTCCAGCGCCTTCTGCACGTACTTCTCTTTGATATACATGACGTCGTTGATGGGCCCCTGCTCCAGCTTGATGAGGTGCTTACGGATCGGTGATTTGAGGAAGAACGAGTGCATCTTGACGAGGTCGCGCGGGATGAAGGATTTGTAGTCCTTCTCGACGTCCTCTCGTCGGACGTTCATCTCGCGCATCAGCCGGTACATGTCAGTCACCGCCAGACCGAGGGCGTCCTCCTTTTGTCGCAGGATGTTGGAGAACGTGCCCATCACGAACGCCTCGCGCACCTGGTGGAACAGGTAGTCGAACGCGTGCGGGTCGAGCGCGCGCAGACGCACCACGTCCGCCACCTTGAAGCGCATCAGGAAGGTGTACCGGCGCACGGCGCCCCCCACGCGCTGACTGCCGGCCAGGAACAGGCGCGTCTCCTCGTCACACAGACTGAACAGGTGGCGCGCCACGGGCCCGATGCGGCAGTGTCGCGCCACGCGCACCGTCAGCTGCTCGGCGGTCTCGTCACGCGCCACGCCGAGCACCAGCGGCTCGCGGCTGCTGCACAGACGGATGTGTACCTGACACTCGCCTGCCGACGGGCCGTCCACGCTGATGGAGTCCATCGCTGCGTGACCGAGAGGTGCGCAGGACCGGCGGGAGTGTACCTCTCAGGGGAGGGGATGAGCCACCTCTCAGAGGAGGGGTTTAGGTTCTCTCAGTGATCACACCAAGAGCTATCAGACCTGAAAAGATATGTTTTGTTACTAAACTTGGAGTTTGTATGTGGTGGTGTGGTCTACACACTTTGTCTCTTAATTTTATCAACATGTGAATGAAATATGAATGGAAGAGCTAAGGAGAGGCTGAGGATGACACATATAGTGTGGTGCAGGGCACACAGCTTCCTTAAACCAGTGCAGACCTTACACTGTGGTGCAATATTAAGTGACACTCATGATGTTGACTAACTACATATTTAGGTAGCTCAGGAAAGATTAGTGGTCTTCCTCCAGGGTAAATGCAAACACAAGGAGCTTTTCTATCATCTCAGGCTTGGCTCACCATTATATGTGAAACCACTCTTTTCATTTTATATAGATACCCTCCTAGTTTTGGTTTGTTAGGTACTGAACAGAAATTTCAACAAGATATCTTACTAATCTTCTGTTCATGTACTGTCCAAAAATATGATACAACTCAGCATTCTCTGAGCAAGAGCAGCTAGCCACCAACCCAACCCATCCAGCACAATCTTTTATCTTTTGCAAGTGTTCTTAATTCAGAGACTTCCTGAAATTGTGCAGTGTGAAAAATCGACCAGCCTGGCTGCTGCAAAGTTCTAAATGCTCTCCTGGTTTGCTTGACTACTGCATAGGTAGCTCAGGAAATATTAAAAATCTAATTATCCATGGTTAGGGTGGTTCACCATCTCTCTTATCATACTTCACAATCCACCATACTTTGTCCAGGGCAAACAGTGAAGAAAGGGGTCAGACCCTGCCTCCTTTCAGGGGAAGAGGCTGGGACTGGATTGAGTGAGTGTAAATATCACACACCAACACTGTGTTTCAAGCTTGTGCTTAGGTCCGCAAGATCAGTCTGCGAGATAGTCTGAGTAACGTAACAGTCAATATCATTTAGCATATTTGTGTCGGTTGTCACAGTATGAGTCACAGACAACCCTGGCTGACTCCTGCAGGACACAATGGATACCTACCAACCAAAACCAATTCAACCAAGAACGCAGGCCCAGGCCGGCATGCAACACTTGCGTGGTTCCAGGATGAGGAACTAAGTCTCTCAACAAAAGACAACCTCGAATTGCAGCAGATAGCAAAGTATCATGGAAAATAATAATCATCCATGGCATTAACATTAAATGGCTCGATCCGGTGACAAATGACGATCAAGCCTCAATTCACTTCACCAAAGAATGAGAAAGAATCATCCGACGCATCCGACCGGAAATAGGAACCAACAAGGTGCATAAAAGATCACTGCGTTTATCTAAAAATTAATTTTGTATTTACTATGACGTCAAAGTTTTACGCCTCTTTTGTTGTCTTTTGGCTTTTTTCCGTCTCAGTTCCACCTTTTCACCATTTAATTTCGTTCTTTTTTTGACTAATATAGTTGATTTGTCGCTCATTTTCATGCATAGCGAAATAAATGCAACTAAATATATAAAACAAAAAAGCAAAAAGTTACCTTTAAAATTACCTGATAACGTCATCAAATCCTCCTGATAAAAAAGGATTAGAATGTTTTTCTCATTGAGGCGATTAGTGACGCACGTGTTAGCGTCCGGTGAGTCGGTAGTTGGTCGGTAGGTCGAAAATTGTTCGGTCATTTTCTTATTTTATGCTAACTTATTCATTTTCGTACTCTAGCAATATAAACTTGGTGAGTTCATGTGGTTTATGTGATCAAAATTCAGTTCGACACGGTTTGATTATTATATTTGGACCTATTTGCTGCGTCGCATTCGTCTACCTTAACCGGAAGCTTAAGCCTGAGCCCCTTACAGTCGGTGACACACCAGGGAAATAAGCTAAAATTAGAGCGCTCTATTTATTGCTCCCGCTACTTCACCGTCTCCCATAGGGTCCTGTGTTGAGCTGGTGTCGAGGCTCTAAAAATGACGCCGATTTTTGCACCCTTCTCACGAAAACCGCTCGGACCGCCTGGAAACCAATTGTTCCGCTCTAAAAATTTCATGATCGACGGGAAAATGAATGAGGAAAAGATTGGTCCTGAAATAATTCTGAACTCCCTGTAGAACATATCGAAATATGGCTGCAAACTAGGAGCATGTCAAAATCGACAAAACAATACAAATAAACTTACCGGGATTTTTTTATTTTCCATGCATCTGTGTATGAAATCAGTCGGTTTTTCGGAAAGATCATCTTCTGTTTAATAAATAATTCCACAATTGCAATCGAGAAAAAAAAACATTTCCGCTGTGACAGCAGTTTTGGCATTGTGCCAGTATTGTGGCGTGCGCGGTGCTGCGTGGTCGTCGGGACGGAGTTGTGAGTATTTTCGGTGTTTTAAATGGTTGATGGCCATTTGAACCAGCTTCATATTATTTCCTACAAATTTTTGCATCAAATTATTGCTTTGAAAGACCATTGAAACCCCTAATCTCTTCATGAAACACGATCATATTCATCGTCGACGAAAATGGCGCGGGACTCCATGTGCATTCCGATCGAAATAAATCGTAAATTAAATAATATTCGATGATAAGTATCATATTCTAGTGACACATTTTTATAAAATAAGGCATAAACTTTGCAAGGAAGTCAACATTGGATGATTGGATTCTTATTTTGCTCACATATCCTTGTAGTAGTCAAATGGCTCAATTGTTAGATAGATGGAAGTATATGTTTTGGCTTGATGTTTGCTGTGAAACCACCCAGCCACTTGCTGGTTGAGTGGTTTTCTGATAATTACCTGATAATCATTTCTCCTTTTCCTTAAAAGAAACTAAAATTCCTTTCAAAGTAATCCATTTTAAGGAAAGGCGGCTTGCTCATTGGCATTTCATGTTCTTGTTTTGTTATTGCTGGCAGTATTTTGATACAATAATGCAATATGAATTTTTTGCAATAATAAAACCTAAGACAAACTTAGTTAATGCGTCAATCAAACACCCAACAGGAAGATTGTGTGTCCTTGTGACGTGAAGTAGAATATTCTATGAATGTGTTATATAGAATATGCCAAATATTAAATTAATTATTATTTGATACTGATAGCTGAGCAGGTGAATTATGCCACAATATAATTTCATTTTCTGGTTTTGAAATAGCCGGCAGTATCTTACTTCAACAAATGTAATATACATGGAATACATGTTGTTATGTTACCCATGTTAAAAGTTTAATAACAGCCAACAGAAGGAGCTGTTTCAGCAGATAATGTTTGTACCTTATGCATTACCTTTCTTTTCTGCAGGACCATGCTTCCGCTGGGTGGTCGACATTTGCCTCCTGAAGAAGTTGAGCAACATGAAGACCACCAGATGAGGTGTCTGCAGTTCATGTGGAACTCTGCAGACTACAAGTGTTATGCCAACCACAACCAAAGTGCTGTGATCATGGAGGCATGAACCTCATGACAACATTCAGATTTGCAGTTGAACCAAAGTGTGATTCAAACCACCTGTGGCATCTCACTCAATGTGTGAAGCTGTGAACAGTGTGATTATTGTGCAGTGTTCAGCTGCAACTAAGACATTTATTAGTGACTTGTTTTGCAATTAGCCACCAAAAGCATTTTTTGGGCTGGCTGCTGTAATTTGTTGTGCACTGCGCAATAGTGGTAGTGTTTTGTCACTTGTCAAGTTGTCAGTTGTGCATGTTGCATGTTTCTCTTCCCTCGGCCCTCATTATCAGTTAAGTGGTGAATTGGCATCACTCAGTCTCCCCAGATCTCCATTGACTGTCTGTCAACCACCTAACTTGAGATGGTATTTGCTAATAGTGTCAGAAAAGAAGTGATTGTAGACATTTTTAGGAGTATGAGCTCCGTTTCATGCGTGTTCCAGTGGTCATTTTGTCACATGTCCCATAGTGTAATAAATGGAAACTGTTGTTCCCTTTTGAAGGTACTCGCGGATGCAGAAAGCGTTGGGCCTAATTATTAAACGCACCCTCCTATCAGCGACGCACGAAATCGACAAATATCATCCTTTTTAGAACAGGAAGAAACGAAAACTTCTGAACATAGCTGTACCTACAACAGTGCATAAGGAATTGAAATCCTGGGAGTTTTTGAAATTCGGAGAAACTCCAGTTGTCGACAGGTATGCCCCCTTGCACGTCAAAGACCGCCTAAAAAACAAACGTCTACAAATGAAGGCAGTATTCGTATGTTCGTTGTAATTGCAGCAGCCTAGCAACATGTATTGCGGTCCGATGGCGAATTACACTCGTGCTCAAAAACTATGCCGGTAACTGCCAATGCACTTAGGTCATAGGTGAGGAGAGAAAGGGTTATGTCATATATCAACATCATAGAAATGGCTTCATCTGAGCTGTGCCTATTGTACGTAAGTCAACCAATCTATGCATTTCGTTTCTTGCAATCTACTCATGCTTTCACTCCAGCTTCAGAGTAATCATCCCATATTGTACGTCTTAAGATATTGATTTCTATGGCGGTTTGCAATTACTAGCCACGTCTCACCTCAGTTTGGTGGCCCCGCATCGGCCCACTCGGCCGCTCTAAAATTGACTTACGGAGGAGGATGGTGGCTTTTATTTTAGCTTCTCCGCCGACTGCGGGGAGCGCCGTCGCCGAGGTAGGAGCAATAATTAGCTTATGTTTGGGACTAATTTCCACGCTTAATTAACATTTTAATGTTATTTTAATTAATTCATGTTAATCTTTGACGCATTCTCTTTCTATTGATACCATCCACCGGTCTGAGAATTACTGCCTTGCTGCGTAAGGGCCGATAAAAGATCGCGCTTTTAGGGGTATCTCTTCAACATGGGGCAGGAGCAATAAATAGAGCGCTCTAATTTTAGCTTATTTCCCTGGTATGTCACCAACTGCTTATGATTTTGTGTAAATGCAATGATTTATTCTATTATCCTCAGTTTTCATTTTTGTAGGCTGTATCATATGTATCCAATATCATATGTATAGCGTAGGGTACTGGGATTATTGGTTTTAGAAACTTCTGAGAATTTGGTTGGTAGGTACTCTGAGGGCTGTTTCAGTTTGGACTTTGGGTCCTTGCAGTGTAAATCTTTGCTGTGTGCATCATACTTGGGTGACGTCAGCCACCTGGCTCCGCCCACTCTCCGCCGGCATGCTGGAGCTGAGCGGCTGCAGCCTATTCCACGTGCAGCCTGCAGGGATCCGTTGCGCGGGGGGACTGGTGATTGTCATTGAAATAACAGTTAAAATGTGTTCAAATGTGGTTAATAGCAAATAACAATGTGCTACTGAAGAGAGCGATAATGATACCCAAAAAAAAACACCATACAAATCGCTTATATTAAGACATGCTGGATGGTAAACTTAAGTCTGCGCCACTCCTCTCTCCTGCTGTTACTGTTTTCGTGCTGCAGGAAAGAGAAGTATGCTTTAGTAGGTAACATCACACAGGCGATGACACAGTGGTGTCGGTGGGACTAACAGGAGCCATAGCCCTCACTGAGCAATGCGCACGCGTGCTGCAGCATATTTCATTTTGGCTGCGCAGCTGAACAGCCCTCTGGTTTTGAGGCATTGTATGAAGCTTACTGATCCATTAGCTTGGTGTGAGAGATCTGTAGAATCACATCCTAATGAAGACCTAATCTCATCATTTTAACCTTGTCATGGCCAGTAGTATAATTATGCTGCAACTCATGCAATATATGAAATTATAGTGAAAACATCCAGGATAAGAAATATTTTATAAGGGACAATGGCTCAGACTGCTGTACCAATGTACAACTGTGCTTACCTGCCATATAAATAATATTGGCTACTAATAATCACCACATTCAATATTGGCATGGTGTCACTGATTATGGAAATCAGCATACCTACTTCATACCTACCCACCTACCTCCTTCATGAGTGATGCTGTTCAGTAAAAAGTATCTGATCAGATAGGTACATACCTTTAAATGTACCTTCCTAATAAACTTGCCTTAAGCCTAATATAAATACTTAACAATAAATAGTTATGGGTGTGAATAACAATTAACATACAGTTTCACACCTCATTAGAATTATATCAATCAGCTCAATGACCTCTATTGATCTGCATTTTGTAGCATCGATTAATCACAAATAATCGTAAGCGACCTACTTGACATTCTAAGAGCTCAAGAGGTCTGCTGATAACAAGCATGCTCCATTAACGAATAAAACATCAAATCAAATAGTGCATCAAATAGTTGGGAAGAGAAGAAATCAAACATGAAGTTTAGAAGCTTATAACTAAAGGATCTTTTACCAAAACACGTCTGTGCTGTGGAAGTGTACTTTTATGACTTAAGTGCTGGAAAGTTTGAGCTGTTTGTAGCAAACAATGAACAGCTTTGTTGAAATGAAGTTACAAAGCATTTACCACTGGAAGATACCATGGAAAACTAAACTATATGATGGATGCAGACAAGCAAATCATATACACTTTCAGAAGCCCTGGCTTGGAATGCATATTTCAGGCATTATAAGACTAATGCATCTGTGAGTGACATTTACCCTGCAGACACTGAATAATTTGGCTGCAAAATGCAAAGCATCCCAGGACAAAGCACAATTTGAAGAATTGTGAATCTGTGATACACAAGTTAGCAGGACAAAACAGTCACTCTCCAGTAACCAAATTATAGAATCATGCTCGCCCCCTGGCCAGTGAAGATCCTCTTGACTTAGCATCGATCTGCATATAATGAAAGATAATCTCCATTATGCATTCCATTATGCATTAAATTTGAAGATATGATATCTACTAAGGTACACCATGGGCAGTTTGTTGCAATACCATTCAAAACGGGCATGGAAAACCAAAAGCCCAGATAAAACTTCCAAGCAGTCATAAAAGTGGTCAAAGCTCTACCAAGATACCCAAACATGTATCCAGAAGAAATACTTAATCAACCTCCATCATAAGGCATCAAAGGAAGAAATATGACAAATCTATCCAGTATCCATCTATCTACTGACGTTGGAGAGGATAAGAAATTAGGAGAAGTAAAGAGAAAGAGACAGGATGTTCATTGTTCAAGTGCTCATCAATCCAGCTAGAGGATCTCATTTTATGAAGTGATTGCTGCACCATAAGAAGATTCAAGTCATGGACACTGAACTGAGGACTGCAGTTATTTTTGGCTCAGCTGCATGAAGATACTTAGAAAATGGATTTAGATTCAGCAAGCTTATCCCAGCTCTTGTACTTCTCTCTGTTTGACTGCACAGCTGTAATGATATGCAACTATCATTTTTCTCTTGGTCATCAAGCAAGAAATTGACTTTTGTTCCATTGTGAGAAGAATTTTGTGCAAACCATGCGAAACATTAAATTTTACTATTGCTGAAGCTTGAAATCTCCTCTGCAAGAAGCATCGTCTTGGTGTTTGTGATAATTTGGACGCCTTGTTGTCTGCATTTATGGTTTGTCTAGTGTGAGAGGCTGCAGATTCCTGGATGCCTCTCATTGTGTCTCATCTGAGTTTATGTGAGAATCATATATGTGTGCAACTGCCTGTGTGTTAACACCATTACGTGCTCGTGGCGGAGTGGCGCTCCTTCACAACCGTATTGTCATATGCACGTGTTCGCTGTAGTTTCCAGTTCAGGGACAGGTTAAGCCGCCGACACTCGGATCAGAAGTATGGTCGGAGGGCGTCGTCTATCGCCCCCGGGCCGGGACATGAGGCCCATGCCCCCGATGAGGGCCGACCACTACCCGCCGGCGTACCCGGACCGTGAGCGGATCAAGAGAGAGTACCGCAAACCGTCGCCCGAAATGCACCGCAGAAGGTAGGTGGAAAGCGGCGTCACCTGCGATTTACGGTTTATTACTTTACATCTCTGTTCTGTCGATTTTTCTTGTTTTTGGTAATATAAAGTCATCATGAAAACAGTCATCATAAAGTCGCATGCGCCGCGGTGTGACCTGTCCCTCCACCCCGGCAGCCGCTCGATGACGCCGCCGATGAAGAGGCGTCATCCGCCGTCGCCCGGCGGGTACCGCGCCGCCAGCCCGGGCATGCGGCGCCGGCGCAGCCTCACCCCGCCGCCGCCACCGTCCCTGCGCCGCTCGCGCTCACGCTCACCGCCTCGCAAACCGAGGTGAGCGGGACTTGAATGGTGGAAATCCGATTGTGATATTGATAGGGTGCTAACATATCAGAAGACGCTTCAGATACGTGCTTCTTAGGATGGTGATGTTAATGTGGCACACGATGAAATGCCTAGCTGAGGAAGGAAGAAATGCGACTTTGCTAAATGAGTTGTTGGTGTTTTCCAGAGCGCCCAGTCCTCCATCTCGCGGATCGCATCGTATGGGAAGTGACTCGAGAGATTCGCGCAGGAGCGTTGAAAGGTAAGAAATGCTGTGTGATGAGTTGTGTTGCAGGAACTTTGTTGACTATCGTGTAATATGACCTATGGGAGTCCAGGCGGTTCTTCGATAAGTTCTATCTTTTATATCCTGACAACTGGTTCAGCATTTAATTGATGTGGCATTTCCTATTTCAGGCACCCCGGTGACTTTTACGGCCCATGGGGAACCAAGATCGCCATTCACGACCTGAAGAAAATTACTGTGGACATCAAGAGAAACCTACCCAAGGGCAAACGAAGCACCTCGCCAATCATCAGACGGATCATTAACGCGGACGATATCACACTTTATCGCAGAAACGGTTCGGATCGCTTATATTTATAGCTCAGCACGAATTTATGTCGCATTCCGCACATTCTGTTTTGACGATGTTTTGTATGTGTTCGGTGAAGCTCAGCGGCTGGCGGCTGACGTTACTCTACCCCACGCCAGGCGAGGGAGCCCGTCCGCTTCTGGAGCGGCCCGAGCTGCGCGCGGCCGTCAATCGGCGTTTCGATGACGCGCCGCCGCCGCCGCCGCCGGCGCCGGCTCCCAACGAGCCGCGCGTGGTGGCCATCATCCGCGAGCCGGGACAAGCCGGCCCCACCGGTGGGTGCCGCCATATGGCTGAGATGGCGCACTGGGGGGACGAATGAAGCTGATGCTATTTATACACTCACGATTTAAGCGGCCATAGTAACTGCTATGCTCCATGTTACAATGCGTTTATTCAGTGCTTTGGCGATAACTCGCCAGACAGTTTCAGTTGACGGTCGTCTTTTCTTCCCCGTGTTGCAGTTGATCGCCACGCTGACCGCGCGTTCGAGCATCACCGGTCCCGTTCGCGCGACCCCAACTACGCGCCGCCGGTGGAGCGGCAGATGCCTGTCGGCGACCGCATTGACAGGGACCGTGCCGAGCGCACCCAGCGGCAAGTAGAGAAACTCGAGCAGATGGAGGTGGCCATTGACCGCAAACTCGAACAGATCCAGCGCTACGAGAGAAAGTATGAGGAGACCATGCGCGATGAGAAGTATGGGTGAGTGGCGGCGGCCGCGCAGCCGGCGGGCGTCTCTCTGTGGAGTCTATCGAGTAGGTATGTCCCAGAAGAATGTACGAAGCCGGAGCCCTGCGTAAGTTGTCGTAAGCAAAAAGGAGGAACACGAGCCAGAAATAGTGGCTCGTCACTTCTACTTCCCAACATTTCGCGGCGGTATCAAATAAAGCAGCTGTAAGGGACCTATAATGCGTTCGGGTAATTTAATGTGCGCCCTAGCAATGAAAAATTTAGAAGTACCAACTTTGATGTTGTCCAAATGTTCATCTGCCATCGCCGACCAGAGCATCCACGTTCCAGACATCGATACGCTCACCGGTCTTCTGACTCACGATACTTCTGGGAAGTCCAACGAAGAATGCACAAGCACCTATTATGATTATTTCTTAGTAATCGTTTTCATTCCAGGAGGCCTACCAATGCGACTCGCTGGCGCAGGGTCACGCTGTACAAGAAGTTTCTTCAACAAATGTATTTCTTCTTTGTCTGACTGGTCGGTGGCGCACGATTCCTATTGGCCGCCGTTCTTCATCCAGTGCACGGTGGATGTCAAACCGAGACTTCGTATTTTATTTTGGTGTTTATGCGCGACCTCCAGACTTTCGACGACTTCGACGTCCCTCCTGATTCGTATTATCCTGAGCCAAGGGGTAATGAAATGGTAGCCCAGGGTTGTAACTGTTGACACATCAGCATCGCCGGGCCATTATTCTCGCTTAGCGTTGCAAAGAATATTTCAGGAATGAATCAGGAATTTTACTGGATTTGTCACATGAAGATCACTCAACGAAAGGAAAAGCTCTTAAATTGACCAGTGTATGCTCTCAGTGATGCTTGAAGGACGCCAGCACTTTACAAGAAGCGTTTGTGAAGCTTTGATACGTGAAACAGGTTTTGCTTACGGCGGATAATTGAGAGCTCACCAATGGAAGTCTGCAATCTGCAAAGCGTCGGAAGAAGCGTATCTTCTCAGTATTCAGACATTGGATTCGAATGGAAGCATTCATCCTTATTTACGCATATTTTAAACCCAAAACACCATCGATCGATGGACCTTTTTTGCTATCATAACGAAGCTTCGAACCAGCTCTTACTGTTACGCCCTATCAACTATTCAGCACGGTGAAAATCGACCAGAGAATTCGTCAAAACGGAATATTCTGTGAATGGTCTCAGGCGTCTCAGCAGGAAGTGTACCGTCAACCGAACGGAGAACACACTCAGCAGCCAAGAAGTCAGAAATACGCCATTTGAGGCAGAGGCCAGTGTCCCGAGGAACGTCCTGAAATACTCAGCTGACGCCTGTTCACCATCAGATGAAAATCTCGGGAGATTTTTTTCACTTGCAATCGATGGAGTACAGCGAGGTCGAAAATCTAAGCAGCTAGTGTAAGTTACGCTGTAGGAAAAGACAACACCGACTGCACTAAATAATTGCCATCGCAAATGTGCTTCGAACAAAATGTGATCATGGTGGAGTGACTCCGGATTTCAGGAACCAACGGAATCTGATCAGACTCGCAGACTTCATTAATCATAGAAATCTGCCTGATTGTTCATCGCCATAAATATGGCGAAGGCAAGCTGCATAATCTTTTATCGATTTCGGTTCTTCCATGCACCGCAACTTTTCATAGAAAGGTGCCTCGTCTACTTATGTTCAAGTATATTTCTTCTAAGAATCAAGTTGAGGACGTTGATGAGCTTAGCAGTGCACATTATGAACACCGCAGGGCCCATCGCAGAACCCTCTGTGGAACACGGCTCTTTTCTGATGAGACAAGGCTCGGCAGGCGTCTTAAACGAATGAAAACTGTGAATCCGAACTTCGCACTCGATGTCTTTTTTATTATTGATGTTGTAAGCACGTAACCAGGACTCTCGTCAAAGAAGGAATGGAGTGAAGAAGAATTCGAACAGAATAATCGGATCCCAGCGACAGATGGACAACGAAAAGACAGCAGCTTGAAGATAAAGAAGCAGAAGAAGCATCTATGCACCAGAAGCATTACTCAAGCCTCGATCATTGACCAAGTCGTTTACCCAGATGCAGGTGTCTCAAACTCGGACTGAAGATGGGCTGGTATCAATCGTCGGAGCCCGTACTAAAACAGTGCCTTCGCCCTTCTCAGCATTCTACGGCAGGGTTTTGTGTGCAGAAGCCACACAAAAGACTACGGCCGTGAAAGTGACGCTGCCGACATTGGTCGCTGTCTTGGCAAGTAACTCTTCGTCCATCAAAATCACATGAAACTTTGTGTTTCGTGTGCCGTGCGTAGTCTACAGGGCGTCTACCTCTTCAGGCAAGGGTGTACCTTGATATGTGATTGTTGTGAACAGGTGTTTCTCCGGGACCTGCTTTTTTACACCGAGGACGCCAAATCCGGATTTCGAACTCGTTTTTTGCTTCCATCTGTGTGTGCCACAAATGGTACTCCGAGCAGTGAATGAGAAACAAGAAGTAGTGATCGAGCGTGTTTCATTTGTACCAAGGTGCCTACTGCTTATGCAAGTTCTTTTTGTAAAGAACTGACCGATTTATGGATACATAACGCCTCAAGGATTGACGCCTGGAGAAAGGACATTAAAAAAAAAAAAATTAGTTCGAATGTTTGAATGGACGGATTGACAGAGCCGAGGCCCACGCTAAGCAGAGCTTGTTGCGTAGACGTCGACTCCTACCGCGGGAGAATTTAGATGCCAAAGTTTAACGTGCCCTTCAAAGCCGGACGCGGCCTGTCCCACTCAACTGACCAACTGGCTGCGGATGCCCCCACCAACCGCAGACCATCCCCGTCAGGAGTCTCAAATATCGAGCGCCGGTGCGAATCGAACCCGGGCTCTCACTACCGGCAGTCCGGTGCTCTACCAGCTGAGCTACGGGACAGGAAATGCTCTCTCTTATACGATTCTGACCATCATCCACAAGAGGAACGAATGTCTCCTAACTCTGCCCTCGAAGAATATCAACCTGATGATGAATGACAGTGTATGGAACTTTGAAATGGAGCATGACACATGGAGGCAAACTAGTGGAACTGATCGCTTATTATTTACGCACTTCCAGCGTCTGCCCGAAATGCTTTTTAGTGGGAAATGGATATTGCCTGCTAGGACGGGATGGTGCGTAGTCCTCGATTCCCTAACTACGCGCCGATGCAAGTGCAGAACACCTTATGTCACTCGAACTACAAAATTCCCGCCACGTCGAGGAACAAGACGCGAAGAACATCGCATTGGGAATAACGCCTCTGAAAACTGACTTCTTACCACTTATGGTAGTCATGGCCATCGCCATCTCATTCCTGTATTGATGAGAGTTGTATTGTCCTGTAGGACCGATCTCGCCGAACCCATTCAGCTTAAAATTATACTCAGCCGGCTAAATGGCACCATACAGACTGTTCTTAAAGACGTTAATAGATGTTGAATGTACGACACCTGCTGGAAGCCCGTTTCAATCGCCTACACACCACACATTAATTCCTTCTTGTCCGATAATATGCCCAGCTTGCGAAGCTTCAATGTATGACGCTGGATGCGACTATCAGGGTCGATAGTCTCTGAAGCATCGGCGTCAACATGACCGTGCAACATCTTGAAGACCATGTGTCTACGCCGATAGTGCGGCGACCCAAGTTTTAGTCTTCAGCGCTTCAGGATATAGACGGTGGAGGATGCTCGACAATAGGTGGGCGTCTCTTCTTTGAGACCGCTGGACTGTTTTCTAATCCGCTCAATGGAGGAGAGCCCAAACAAGACTGCTGTACTACAGGCGTTGCTGTACGAGAGAGTTTACACAAGACCTGTGGATTATCGCAAGAACCTTGAACGTTTTGAAGACATTAGTCGACGCCTGCCGTCAAAACTGTGGGATCGAGTCAATCTGCACACCCAGGTCTCCTGAGTGACTAACTACACCGTAGTTTGTTTGGCTGACTGACCCCATCTGAAATAAAGGGGTGATGCTTGGCTGCACCGACGTGAAGCACCTTCCATTTAGGTATATTCATTACATGTCACAGGCAACTGCTGGGTCCTAGACCATTCGACGAAGAAGAACAGGTCTGCCTGCGATGTCCGTGAAGAATTGCATGACGTTTCGTGGATGTGTGAGTCAAATTACTTGTAGCTATTTAACCGACCCACCGCCGAGTGAATGGTCATCAGAACCCGAGGCCGTGGGGACAAACGAGATGGCAATAGCGCCAAGAGTACTGTGATCGTGGAGATGGCACGGTGACCGGGCATGTATGCTGCGTGCTTTGATGCCTTTTGAAGAATGGACGGAAGTACTTCGCAGGCTTACTTCAACGAGCCTAGGACTACCTACTTCGACTAAGAAATTCTTCGAAAGTAATTAGAAAGTACGTCAACGCTGCTGGTGTCTCCTGGGCCCTCACTTCATAACTCATCCGTGTCGCTTGAACCCCTTCTGATCTTCATCACAAACGCGCATTCAGTTCTACGCACTTCTCAGACTACCTTCAGTAGCAACGTTTCGTAACAGCCGGTCACAGTCTGTGCTCTTTCAACTCGACATTCTCACTTCTCCGAGGTGAGCTGCCTCCACTCTCCTGCCAGCTATTCGGGTCTGCCGTGGTATCTGAAGTATCAACTAAACTTCGCCAAAACATGCCAAGCGGAGTCCGCGAATGCCAAGTGGGCAGCGTAGTGCGGTCTGCCGCGTTACCTTGCGGTTCACACGTACATGCATTGACCGTCTACGAAAGTTTTTGGAATCGATGTTGAGTACCCTCGCCACCCTGAATAAGGAAAAGCAATCGTGACTTTAAAAAGGCCGTAGATCATGTATTTGTGATTTGAGAAATGTTGCGTGATTCGTTAGTTTTGTGCTACATGCTGCCGTATTGCATTGCCTCGATCTCATTACACATCTGTTTTAAACTGCTCTATCAGTCATGCGACGTCTAAACGTCTCACACATGTATGCCTTTCAGATTTCGCCATATTTTGTTTCAGGTAACTAACTAATGTGTGTTTTGTGACGTCTGCTAACCATGCTTTTACCCCCTAAAGCCCCAATAAACACACAACCCGTGCCTTAACCTCCCCTCCCCCAGTGTCGTGTGTTTTCTACCATCCCCTGTTTATAACCCGTTCGAACCCGCTTTGGCCCGTTACTGAGCCGCGGTGAGAGCTCCGTGGGTAATCGTGTCCTGAGCACACCCTACCCTGCACAACATCCACTGAACTGAACGTGGCCACTCTTCAGGGACATCAAAGATGAGCGCAAGCTGGTCGACCGTAACATCAGGGACCGACTCGGACCGAAACGCAGCAGGGATGGTAAGAGCGCCCAGACGGGGATTATGACCGGGTGGTCGAACGTGCTAACGTGGAGGTCTGGTGTCCTTTAATATCGTCTGTTATGTGTCGTTTAACACAACAATAAAAGGATGCTTATGTGTGATGAATAAAACGTTTTTGTTTACGTGTCTAGTCTGACCACAGTTTGGCATCACGCAAATTTTACCTTCATGGTCAGTTTTGCAATCTAAACCGGTCCATGACTTGGTTGCGAGCCTGCGATGGAAGTCCGGCAAATCAATGTCAACTCGGCGCTGTTAGGACATGTCGCGTGCTCCCTGCTAGTGCTGCCTGCCGCACGCGTCGTCTGAAGCCCTGCTCTCTCCCCTGGCAGAGTTTGAGCCTGAGGAGGATCACCAGCCGCGCCTGCCCGACTTCTCCCAGCGGCCCAACAAGCCGCCCATCTGGGAGGGGGACAACATGAGGAGGGACTACTACTCGGTCAGTTAGCCGCCCAACAAGCCGCCCATCTGGGAGGGGGACAACATGAGGCGGGACTACTACTCGGTCAGTTAGCGGCCCAACAAGCCGCCCATCTGGGAGGGGGACAACATGAGGAGGGACTACTACTCGGTCAGTTAGCGGCCCAACAAGCCGCCCATCTGGGAGGGGGACAACATGAGGAGGGACTACTACTCGGTCAGTTAGCGGCCCAACAAGCCGCCCATCTGGGAGGGGGACAACATGAGGAGGGACTACTACTCGGTCAGTTGGTGGCCCAACAAGCCGCCCATCTGGGAGGGGGACAACGGAGGGACTACTACTCGGTCAGTTAGCGGCCCAACAAGCCGCCCATCTGGGAGGGGGACAACATGAGGAGGGACTACTACTCGGTCAGTTAGCGGCCCAACAAGCCGCCCATCTGGGAGGGGGACAACATGAGGCGGGACTACTACTCGGTCAGTTAGCGGCCCAACAAGCCGCCCATCTGGGAGGGGGACAACATGAGGAGGGACTACTACTCGGTCAGTTAGCGGCCCAACAAGCCGCCCATCTGGGAGGGGACATAGACTCACACTCGGTCAGCCTCTGCCTACAGAACTCCTCTCAGTCAAGGGGACGTAACATCAGACTGGCGCGGGCTGAGGAGTGATCCTCAGGACTTTGTACCCCGGCGTAATCTGTAAAACATTCGGTCATATTTTGTCGGATACCCTGATTAGCCACTTAGCCAGTTGTGTGACGACCCTCTGTGTTTCAGCATGAGCACCGGGACGGCTTCCGCAGCCGGGGGCGTGGCTTCGTTCGGGGGCGTGGCCGCGCCAGGGGGCGTGGTGAGTACGACTTCTAAACGGACCAACGACGGTACGAGCCAAGCAACCTGTGTTTGGGGTTGGTGAGTTTAGCTAATGAAATGTGAGCCGCTAAAATTGTGAGAAAATCGTAAATCACTTCCTTTATTGTTAATTACGTAATTATGTATTAATATAGTCAGGGGAAGGAGGCCCAATTTTGGGCCGAATAACGCAAAATTGGGTAGAGCTTAGCAAAGGGTGGTTTCTGGGACAAAAATGACCGCTGAATCCGAATCTGACCGGTGCGCACCTCTAACTAATGTTGCACCACTTCCAGAGCACGTGCAACTGCGTGGTTCATCTTTTTTGGAGAATGGTACCTTTTTAATGAATTGCAGTGTAACGTCGTTGATATTTGAGATATTGTTTTGAGATTTTGTCCCTGTGCTACAAACACATGGCGTAATTGAAAGCTGAAGTTTTGCAATGTTTGGGCAGCCGATGACGTCACCGTGACGTCATTTACCTATAAATGGGTTGAAAAAGTCGTCTTGTCCTTAAAGCATTTAACTTTATTCCCGTCGTATGCAAATCAGGGAAGGGAAAATAATCAAACATGATCTATGAACATTTCTGAGTCGGATCATGCTAAAATCGTTTTTGCAGAGGTACATGAGAGTCACATTGAGAACGTGACAGTCCAAGTCACCACCTGACAGATTTGGTCAAACTGGATGAAGTAGTACAGCAGATTGATGAATCACGTGAAATAGGATATTTTTGTATCATTTTTACCGTGTTCTGGCGCTGCGACGGCATTTAAATCCAAATACTGTTCGCGTTGAATTGACTAAATATCGTTCCTTTGGTCTTATTTTTAGTTCAAATTGTATAATTTTTATTTATTTCAAGTAAATATCCATTCTTATGAATAACGGAAAGTCAGCGTGGGTTCAGCTTAGTCGTTACGTGCGTTTGGCTAGCGATAAAAAAAATGATCCAGAATTGTGCTTGTCATGAAGACTGGGAAAGAAAATAAGAAGCTGTGGTTTATCAAAAAGGGCAAAAATCACCTTTGTAAGAAAGTGAAATATCTTAGATATTTGAGGCAAACAATCCAAGATCGAAGCGAGACCACACGATTGACGATGCAGGAACAAAACAGTACCTACAAAAATGATCTAGAACCGAATGCCTCCTCATAAACCTGTTTTGTGTGAAGTGCATTTTCTTGGGACTACATTGCAACTTGCAAGTGAAAATTCATTTGTATCAAAGGAGCATGGATTAGTGATTGCCCTATAAAGTTGAAGCTTGGTGACACCTTCAACATGCATGCGGCTCGACACCATCAGATGCTCTTGGAACACACATGGAACCGTTTTAGACAAAGCTGCAGAATGCAGATTGATGATGACGGTCGCGACGAGCTGAATATGGAGCTCTCCCAACTCGCCCGTCTGAGTCCAAAAGAGATTGAATAGTACCAGCATGCGGCTGCTGGAGAAGGGAGAGCTGGAGCTGGCAGTACGGGCCAAGGAGCTGGCAGGCCGGGAGTATGGACGCCTGATGCGACTCCCTCCGGACGATCCCGCTCGGAAGCTCATTGATAAGACACCGCCACTTAGACTACATTACAGAGGCCACCTCCATTGGATGCGGAAGAAACAGGAAGCCCAGGAGGTGGGAGTGCCGGCGCCGTCGCCGCCAGATGAGGACGTTGCTGGCCTCCAGCATCGACCCTGTTTCCGACGAGTGGGGAAGTGGGTGTGCGAGGAAGCTGGACTGGGTGGAGTGCCCGTAGCCTCACTAACACTGCACCAGGGAGAACCGCCGTGGAAGCAGTACAGCACCAACGTCCACTTCGGCTTACAGCTTCCGAAACCTATCAAGAGGACTGACCCACCAGAATTACGGAAGACTGCAACCCTGGAGGCCCTGGCCGCCTACCCAAATCAAGGTCTCACAATCTGGTCTGATGGCTCTGCCCTAGACGGTACCAAGAAAGGCGGTGGAGGAGCCCTCCTCGAACTGCACCGTGAGGGACGCAAGATCAAATGTACCATACCGGCAGAAGTCGTATGCAGCAGCATGCAGGCGGAGCTGGTGGCGATGTCGGAGGCGTTAAAATGTTTCCTGGGACTGCACCCTCGCTGCCATTCGGTCTGTCCTGCTCTGCTCGGACTCCCTGTCTGGCCTCCAACTGATCAGCCGAGGCCCAGCAGCGCAGGGATCGGCCCTGACACAGGGCATCTGGGCTCTCCTGCACTCTGCCGCGGCCGGGGGCAGAGCTATCAGTCTCCAGTGGATCCCGGGCCACGCGGGGGTCGAGGGTAATAAAGAAGCGGACCGCCTAGCAAACATCGCGGCAACATCAGGCGACCAGCGTCGGATCCCAGTTGACCTGGCCTGTGCGCGCATCGCCATCAGACACTGGGCCGGCCGGCTCACCCTCGATCGCTCCAAGCATCACCCACATCTGGAGAACACCCCTGGCCACGACGACCTCGACCGATGGGGACAGACCACTGTCTCGCAGATCCGCAGCGGCTGCTCACCCCTGGTCCGGGCCACACTCTTCAGGATTGGCCTGGCCACCAGCTCTCTCTGCGGACAGTGCAGCGAAGAGGACACGGTCGTGCACCTGCTATGCGAGTGCCTGGCCGCGCAAGAACGCGAACCTGGCTCTGGGGGCCGCTCCCCACCCTCTAGGATGTGCTCTCGGGGCCGGCTAAATACGTCACGGAGTTCCTCGACCGAGTGGGGCGGATCACGCCACCTGTGGACCAGCCCCGGTCTGCCGCGCCCTAGGGCACGGCCGGCAGTGCGCGGAAGAAGAAGAAGGGAGAGCCGGCTGACGCACCGGAACAGGTGCATCTATCCGAGTCCTGCGTCAGAACGACCAGTCGCTCTGCTCCGTCGACCTGGCCGGCGACTTCACGTACCGGCTGGTTGGCGTCGTACAACTTAACGGCGGTGCCAAGCACTCGGGATACTACCTATGTGCGTATGCCGCGTGGCGTGTACTGTACAGAATGGGACGGAACATATTGTATCATCACGACCAGACGCGTCCGCTGGATGGACGAGGCAGACGTCCTGGGCGAAGGCCACCGCCCAGGGTGCACAGAGTCACCGTGCCGGCGGCCGGCAGCCGAACGCCTCCTGATAGTAGCCGTGCTACATTATGTGTGTTCGCCTGTGCATGTGTGTGTATACCTATGTATTTACCAAAAGAGATAAATACAGCCAACCAGAATAAAATTCTCTTCGGTTAGTTGTTACGTGTTCTTCAATGCTCGGGTATGTGACGTCTAAGAACATGAATAACCACAAGACATTGATAAGAACTTGGGACATAACACATGTGAAACCCTCTGTGACGAAATTTACGCCCAGCTTATTAGGTACGTATGCCAACGTAATAAACTAAAACTACGCCTGTAAAGAACACATCTAATTCTAAAATCTCGCAAGCATGCAATGCCTTACGAATGCTTTGCGGCGCCAACACATATATGTATGAACGACTTCTATACCTTACTTTGAATTTCGTCATGTGGCGTCCTGAAAACGTCATCAGCAATTTTTCAGCTATAGCTTTTGATCAAACCACATAAGAACAATGAAAGCATTTTCCATGCGATTATCTTGATAATCGGCCAAAGCGATTGGTAAACTACATGACCATTTCCAGTCAGGTCATAACCTTTACTAGCGTGATAATCGACCTGAGCCCATGAACTGCGGTAACATATAATATTAACCAATCAAACCCAATTTGCATACTATTCGATGCGTCTCGGTGAGAGAATCACAACGATGGTAAAATGGACGACATGCAAGCATTGTATCAAAAGTTATTGCACAAAAACTATTCGGGGTAAAAACGCACGCTCCGCGGATTTCGCCCCCTGTAGGCCAAAATGGTACCTCCATCCTGACGATTTTTACTTTTTGCAACGGGGAGATATTTTCTGAGCATGCTCAATGCATTTTAAACCCGCCAATGAGCGTATCCTGTGAATAAAGTTAAATGTTTTGTTGTCACATCTCATTTTCTCGTCAATTTACGAATAAATGACGTCACAGTGACGTCATAGATTGTCTGCGATATGCGTTAACTAAAATTTTCATTTATGCAATGAATTTTGACTATAATATTAAAGTTTTGGAATACAACACAACTACACGACAAGTTTTATTTTAAAATATATAAAAAGGGTACCATTCTTCAAAAAAGAAGAACTGCGCAGTTGCACGTGCTCTGGAAGTGGTGCAACATTAGTTAGAGGTGCGCACCGGTCAGATTCGGGTTCAGCGGTCATTTTTGTCCCAGAAACCACCCTTTGCTAAGCTCTACCCGATTTTGCGTTATTCGGCCCAAAATTGGGCCTCCTTCCCCTGACTAATAGTAAAATTATGCCCTCACAAATTCACGTACCTATGTCTTTGAAAATATAAAATGTGTAGTACGTCGCAGTATTCGTGTACTGTATTAGTATTACATAGTAGTCGCAGTATTTTTACCAGAGAATACGAATGCTTGTTTCCTCTCTCATTGACCCGAAAATCTTTATAGGGACGAAGCATCGCTCCGCACATTGCCTGTAAGTGGCGTTTGACCGCCTCCATATATCAATCACGTAGAAAACATGTCCTAAATGGTATTGGGCTTTAGTCACTGCCCGTCAGGTTCTATTCCGAATTACGTGCGGGTGTGGCGAGTGTATGTCCGCCACGAGTGTAGCCTCACGCCCAGTCTGTCGGCAGGTGGTCGGATGTCGCCCACATCGTGGGAGCACGACAAGTACGAGGCGTACTGAGAGCTCGACCCGCCACCGGACCACCCGTGCAGCGGTACATCCCCTCCCGGCCGGCCACCGGGCGTTCAGCGGGCTGCGCCACTCACCGTGAGCCGACAGCGGTGTGTTCGGCGCCCGGGGAACCCAGAGAGGACGGCAGGGCGGCGGTCAGACAAACCGCGTCACCGCCACCGAGCGTCGCGTTTCGTCATCGGCAGTTTCATTTCACAGACTAGCCGCTCATGTATCGTGTTCGCCGTTGTTCACAAAATACAGCCATTATAACGTGCTGGTAACCATGTATTTTGCGCGCGGCTGGCGGCGTACAGAAGTGTCACCGAGGGGGTGCGTCTGCGCGAGGCGCACCGGGCTCACTCGGTGGCCATATCGTCGTCCTTTTTCTTGTCCTGCTGCTGCTGCAGGGCGCGCACGAAGGCGCCAAGGTCGCCGGCGGCGGCGGCGGTGACGGCGGCCTCGCCCAGGTCGAACTGGCTGATCACTGGCGCCAGCTGCCCCGACTGCAGCGCCGACGAGAACAGAGATAATGCCTGCCGTGAGAGACGGTGAAAACGCGGTCAGACGGGCTTTGAATGCACTATGAACGCAGGATGTGGTAACAAAGTGCTGCTGACGACTCTGCATTAAAAAGGCACGGATCAAGCTGGCAGGTCTGCACGAACGGTAATTTGGGGTGATACGTCCGTTTTTAATGGGTCCGAGCGAGAGAAACTTCCGATAAGGACAAAATCAGAAACTAGCAACTTTTCGAGCCTCGGAGACACATTTAGGTTCCACTTTCTGAACACGGACCACATCGAATCGACGTCCACAGTTCGCAGCTCTAATTCCCCCTGATCGGCAGGTCATTCATCTGCTGGAACCGGGGACTCTGTACAGTCTGCAGTGTAGTCCCTCCTGTCCCGGTGGCCCGCTCACCTGCTGGAACTGGGGGCCCTGCGGGGTGTGCCCTCCTGCCACGGTCGGTGGCCCGCTCACCTGCTGGAACTGGGGGCTCTGCAGGGTACCGCGCAGGTTGTGCGCTGGCGGCAGCTGCTCGTTGTTGCCGATCGACGGCAGGAACTGCTGCAGCCGCTCCAGGAAGGCCGGGTTGGACAGCACCGGCTGCAGCGCCTCGGCCGTCATCGCCGCCGACAGGTCCACCTCGGCGCCGCCGCCCGCGCCGCCCGCTGGCTGCGGCACGTTCATGTTGGAGAGGATGCTGCGCAGGTCGCTCAGCTGGACGGCCGGGGTGGCTGGGGTGGCTGGGGTGGCCGGGGTCTCGGCTGCCGCCGGTGCGGGGGTGGCCGCCGGGGCAGACGTGGGCGTCTCGGTCGCACTGGCGGCGGCGGCGGCGGCCGCGCGGCTCCTGTGACCACCGGGCAGCGGTTACGGGGAGAGCGGTGGATGTGGGGTCGTTAGGAGGCCGCTGTGCTCGGACAAGTTATGCAAGGGGAAGTGATACGAGTTGCTGATTCCCAGTCAAGGTTACTGCGTAAAACGGGATTATACACAATGCACAATCCATTTTATTTTTGTGCTAGCAAAAAGCTATCCTACAATAGATAAAATAACTTTTTAAACATATTAGCCCAATGAACCCACAACACCGTCCTAGCGACGGAAGGTGGCGACCACGAAAGTGCGGGAAGAAAGTCGCGAATAAGAAGACGATTGTAGCGAAGCAAGAAGAAAACTGAACGAACCTTGTTGATGCGCCTCTACGGTTACTGAAAACAAACAAAATACGGCATTGAAAGCAGTTCATGGGGAGGGCAGGTGTCGCAATAGTTGTGCTGCTTTACGGTACCAGCTAAAACACGAGCGATCAACATGTCTTTGTGAAGAGAAAAATACGAGCAAACGCGCTTAGGGCTACGCACGCATCGCAATGCATCTGGCGTACTGTATGTGAAAACAAAACAACTGGCAGTTGAGCAAACATGCCAAATTCACAAGCTAGAAGCGTGCTGATGGCTGCATGATCAATGGACGTCAACGGCCGTCGATAAATACGGTTAGGGTTAGATCGTTTGGCCTGGATTTGGCCGCCTGTTCCAACAAGTGACAGCTGGGCGGGCAATATCTAGCTTGTGTATCTAAGTGTCCGTCGGGGTGGTCAAGCCATTTGACCTAACAGCTATACGCGGAACTGCGGTTTAGTGAAGTGAAATAACCCTCGTATTTGACAGGGAAAGCCGGAACAAAGTTTGGGAAGATGGTGATCAGCAGCCACAGTTGTGTGCTGTGTATCGAGTAATTGATGAGACATTTGTTTCGTTTTCGGAAAACGTCTTGCAATATCCCATTACGAAGACAGAAAACCGATGGAAACCCAAGGTGATGCTAACTTATCGAAGATATAATTAACAAGGCGTCCAGACAGAGCCCGAACGAATGATTCGCTGTTCCCCACGGGAGTCCCGGCGCAGTTCGGTGTGATAATGTGTCCGTGTGTCTGTGTGACCCGCTCACCCGAGGAGGCCGGTGAGCCCGCTGTGTCAGTGTGGTAAGCTCTGAGTCTGTATCGCCAGCTCACCCGAGGAGGCCGGTGAGCCCGCTGTGTCAGTGTGGTAAACTTTCTGTGAGTCTGTATCACCCGCTCACCCGAGGAGGCCGGTGAGCCCGCTGCCGCCGACGCTGCCGCCGCTCAGCAGACTGATGAGCTGCTGCTGGCTCATGCCGCTCAGCAGGTTCTGCAGGTCCGTCTCACCAGACACTGCCGGGACAGACGCGCGCTCAGTCCGGGACCACGTCGGGATACTACTGCACGTTCCGCACTACACGGGGCTCATGTGCATTGTGTACTCTCTCTTTGAAGTGTCGCTACTAGAAAGTACCGCTATCGCCTCCCTGGTTTGAGAAATTTAGAGCCCTGGCTTTGAAGTTGAGAGGGTTGGCCCTTGAAACCGTGAAAACGGTACGGGCCGGCCAGGCGGCCAACCCTCAAAAACTAGGAGCTCTCAAACCAGGGAGCGACAGCGATACTACCAGTAACCATACTTTCAAGAGAGACTATACCGTGCATTCGCAGTACCTTGATAATTTTTGCCTGGGGTCGAGAGGAATCTGACCACAAAGGACAACCACAAAGCGACTTTGGCGTCGTCCATTGTCCACAATTTGTTAATTATTCTACGATAAGTAACTATGTTATCAATGTCGTGACAAAGTGCCCATTATCTACCCAACGAACTATAATTTAGTCTAAACGGCCGGTCGACACCGAAATGACGCGTACGACCGATGACGTTCTTCCTCACGCCAATTACACACGTCTGAGGCTCTCCGACTGGCGTGCGCCGTACCTACCGAGATTGGACAGCTCCGACGGCAGGTTGGCCGGCGTGGAGACATTGGACCGGGAGCTGCCTGGCGTCGGCGGGTTGTTCAGGCTGTCGTTGATCTTGGTGCAGTACTCCTCATCCTTGTCAGTCTTGGGCTCCTGAAATCAACACACATTCGGAACACTGTCAGCCAGCTCCAGTGAGGTCTCAAGATCGGAGATTGTCCGATCGAGGCCGTAGTACGACAAGTAGGAAGATGCCGATAAAAATCGATATTTTAAGTACCTGCATCCAGAAGAAGAATTTCCTCGACGACGACTTGAATTTCAAAATGTACACTCTTCCGGTAGTGCACTGAGGAACCCTCTTGTATTCGACATCGTCAGGGAAAATAATGAGATCCTGGAAGAGTACAATAATGTCAGAACACGTGAATCGATAACAGCAGCAAGAATAATTGCAAATAGCATACAACGTAACATACAGGGTGACACAAAAAAAGCGGTCATCACCAAAATTCGAATAACTTCGGAAGTTTTATTCAGATCATCACCAAACTTCGGCCACTTTAGGTCACACCTATGTAGCTGACATCCACCAAGTTTCAAGTCTTCACTACGAATACTTTTAGTACAGTGTGTGTTTTACGGACGCTCCACAATGTGCTCCGGGTGAGCGCCCCGGCGCTGCAGGGCGTAGGCACACCTGCATCCGGCGGGCAAAGTTGCCGATAACCCGATAAGAATAACGTTTCAGGGGTAGCACACCTCTGAGCACTGTCTCCAGAGGCCATTGCACTCTGTAAAGTGCACAGCCATCGGGTTATCGACAACTTTGCCCGTCGGATGCAAGTGTGCCTACGCCCTGCAGCGCCGTGGCGCTCACCTGGAGCACATTGTGGAGCGTCAGTAAAACACACACTGTACTAAAAGTATTCGTAGTGAAGACTTGAAACTTGGTGGATGTATGCTACATAGGTGTGACCTTAAGTGACCGAAGTTTGGTGCTGATCTGAATAAAACTTCCGAAGTTATTCGAAATTTGGTGATGACCGTTTTTTTTTTGTGTCACCCTGTATAACACATCCACAATTTGTATATAATTGTATATATAACACAATTGTATTGTACACACAAATTGTTTATATAGCACATCGACATTGATCAACAACCTGACTCATTGGATATAAGTGCCAAACAATATTAAAACATTTATTTTGTAGGCGATCTTACATCTTCCACCACACCCGACTTTCGGTCCTTCCAGCAAAAATGCATGAGGCCATCCTCTGACTGGTAAACGTAAACAGAGCCCTTCCTGGTGTCGGGCGTCACCCGCTTGTCGGCAATGGTCATCTTGCCCGCCCGAAACTCGACCAGGTTTTTACTGGTGGCTCGGGTTGCAGTGCCGAAAAGTGCAGACATCTGAAAGCAAAAAATTGTGATTTGATTGGTGTTGCTAATCAATGCTTATACAAATTCTAGATAGACCTTAAGGATAAACACCACAGCTAAAATAAATGTGGATATTTAGGCTGTTTGAAGCAGAAACTGGGCTCAGTGGAACCAAGGCCCTATACACCAGTGGAACTATAAAGTATGTAAGTAGCTTCATGTTGAGAAGTCCATGTAATGCTGGAAACAGTTCTACTAAATTCAGCATTCAGCAACTGACCTTGTTAATGAAAATATGAGGAGGGGCAGTAAATCTTCGCTCTTGAATCTTGTCTCAGAGATGTTTTGATCACAAATCTGAAAACAAATGTAAAACAATAACAACATTAACACACAATACAGTAGTGAGCCCACATAAAATATTTCAATTTAGGTATTTCAAGGCTAAATATGAAGCTGAATTTCGACATTTATTACATCAGCCCCTTCCGACGGGCGACAGGCCAGGCTGGAAAACATCCATACACTACGCCGGACGCCCGTGAGACCCTCTTGCGCCGAAATTCGGCGCAAGCGATTCTGCGCTGAAATTTCTGTGTGATTTGCGCCAAAAGTTAGGTGCCCATTTGTGCGAAAATTAAGCCCTTTTTATATAAACACATGTGCACATCTACTGATCAAGGCTATATGAACCAGACAGAGTGTTCCGGGGCCTTGTACGCTCTCCCGTGTTTGAGCGTCCGAACGAGTTTTTTATTTTTACGGAAACCCAATACCTCAATAGTCTTAGCGCACTCTAGCTTCATGCCGTGAAACAAAGCTGGAGCCGTGAGTTCCGGGGCCACAAATTTGTGCCGATGTTAATATCGGCGGAGCAGTGTGTTCGAGGCTGGCGGGAGTCAGCGAGGGCTGGGCAGCGGAACAGCATGTGCTCTAGCACATCACCCTCTTCTCGGCACACGGCGCAGAGTGCCGCGGGGCACCGCTTGTCTGGGCACTGCTGGCACGCCGCGGAGTGGAGAAAGCCGATTCGGTGCCGTATTGAAGCGAGCGGCCCCAGTGGCCCGCCCTCATCTGGTGCACCGAAACGGCATCCTCTCGGTCCTCCCCGGGGATAGGGAGCGGCGGCGTGCTCCCGAGGAGTGGCTTGAATAGTGATTCTGAGCAGTTGTCGCGCTCTGCGCCGCACCGTGCGATGCGAAGCCGCACAGTGAACCGCCCTGGTCAGCGAGTGGGCGTTTGAGGGCAGGGTGGCCGCCTGTTTTGCCAGCCGTCCGCGCTCTCATTTCCCTCGATAACGCAGTGGGCAGGAACCCACTGCGGTATTGCTTAACAACGCTTGGCGATGTTCAACAAGGTCTTCTTTACCTATCTTCACGCCGAGGGTTGAGGCCTCACCTGGGCGGGGGCCGCCCTCCGCTGAGTTTGAGCGGCTCACTAGTTCGAGCACGCAACGACCGGGACGGGGACGTTTCGTCCCGCAACCTCTCCAGAGCCGCCCGCGGGGCAAATCTGTGGCTAGATTGACCAGCGTACCGCATAAATTCGGTGATCGTATTTTGCCAAAAAATTATGCAACTACCCTGCGCTGAAAAATTTGTCCGCCGCCATGCGCTGAATTCGGCGCATGCGAAGTTACGCCGGACGTGCGCCGAAATTTTCGGCGTAATCCCGCCACTAGCCGGACATATTCAGCATTAAGTGTATTTTCAAGTCCGGGCGACAGGTTTATCAGTCCCCTTGGGTCTTTTGATAGGTGACCTATCAGCCCCCTTTAAATAGGTGACTTATCAGTCTCCCCTTTACTAATATTTACTTTAGGTCCGCAATATTTTTTTAACGAGAAAAAATGCACATTCTTACACTATTTGATGTCCTGAATTCAGATATGATGCTTAAATGCATCAAAAATGTAAAATAAGATACTAAAACCCCAGCACATTTCACAGCACTGCTGCACAATACACACTGAAGAGCAAGGCCGTGTAAGTTACTGAAGAGAAAGCACGCTTCCGCGACGAAAACGAAACATACAACGTTGCCCTATAAAAGAAAAAATGATGCGGATATTCATTAGCTTTCGACGTTATGAAAATGACGTCAAAATACCAAAGCACAAGAAAAACGGTGAATAAAAAAGAGGAAATATTTAGCAAAGGTAATAGGGCATGAGAAAATGATCAGAACATAACCTAACCTTACCTAACCTGACCTACTGATGTTTGCCTACTGGGAGAAAAGGAAAAAGTGGCTTGCATGAATAGATTGCAAGCAATGGTAAGTCAAATATTTTTAGGTTAAGTGGTTATGCATCAGGCTTCAGGCCTTCGGCCTGAAGCCAGATACACAACCACTTAACCTAAAAATATTTGACTTACCATTGCCTGTAATCTCTCCTAAGGCATTGCCTTCGGCACTGCACCGCTCCGCCACGATTATTTTGACGTCACTTTCCTTACAATTTATTATCATCTGTAATTTCGCTCAACCTTGGTTGGATCATTTGTAGCGGGTGTGCCGCGCAGACGGTCTTTTGACGCGTGCAGTTCCGGTCGGAGGTGGGGCCGTTGGTGGTGATACTGGTGATGTTAGTGTACTGGTGCTTTTAAATTGGTTTCTAGAAGGAATAAGTATCAGAAATGAAATCAAGAGGTCTTAGAATATTGTGTGAATGACTTTTATTTACCCCTCTGTTTTGCGGACCTAAAGTAAATAAATACCCCCCTTTTGACGCTGACTTAGGTATCAGTCTGAGTCCTCCTAATTGATGGGTGACTAATCAGGAAAAAAGCCCTCCATTTCAATTTGAACTTCAGTTTCGTAAGATGCAGGAGATTCGGGCCAACCACAACCACAAGCTTATACGGCCTAGACCACAAGCACCACAAGTAACGAACAAAAGGTCAGCAATATGAAGCGCAAGTCCCGCAAGTCACAACACATAAATATCTTTGCAGTACAAAACTGGACGTAGCTGATTGAGAACTGGAGTAAATTTGATATATTTCCCGGAAAAAGTGAATTATGCGAATATTCCTTTTTTGTCAGAAACTAAAAGGGCAAATGAAATGTAGTGTAACGGAAAGTTGCGAATCCACCAAGTCTTGAATCATACTTACAATCCACTTTTTTGTTTTCATTCCCTGAAATACATTCCTCCTTGAAGTACCCAAGGTCCAAGGAAGTACTTACGAAGTTCTTGGTGATACTTTTCTCGGGATTGGGAATTGTCGCTATTTCGAGTAGTTTGCTCTTGGTTTGCTCTACATTAAAAATTATTTTATTTCTGTGACGACAGCTCTGACGCGACACAGACATTCAACGCTGCCTTCTTATTATTTTTAACGTCATGCTTTTTAGGAAAACGACACGGAGACTAGGGAAAAATTTTATATACTCTCCGCTTACAGTCTTCGATCATCTGGTCATTTTTAACTTTCCATGTTTTAAATTAATTTTTTTAGCACTGATTCTACCAATTAATTTATGATTGATGACAGGTTATCAATTAAATTTGCGTTGTAGTTCGCCTTTTCTGGCCTTTTCTGAAGCTTTATTGAAAAAGTCACAAGCTCTAGCATAATTTTTTATATTTTCTCTAGGACGACCGAAGGCTTCATCGATTCCATCTGTGATTTGAATGAAGACAAATGGAAGACACGGGTTGTTGACGTCAACGCAGAGTCACCGTTTTGTGGTGGACCGTGGACCGTTTTATTTGAGATAGTTATTGTAATGAGAGTGGAGTGTCGTGGAGCTGTTAGGAAAACACCTATTATTCTGCACATTCCCAGGCAATATTGCTAGATGTTCTCGTTTCTTATCGTGTGAGATATTCTGACCCAGATCAAGATTAGGGTCATCTTGATCTGTTTCCTTATCATCTAGCAATTCATTGGTAGTTTCGGCCAAGGAAGATAAGTTTCTGCCTTCAGGATGGCTGGTCAAAAGTTTGAATATGATGAAAGTGGCTCAACATTTTACTATTTTCTTCTTTGCTTCCTTGGACTTGTATTGGGTCCAGCTTCATATTACTATTTCATCAAGGATGATAAAAAAGGTAAGTGAAAGGTGTGTGATGTTTCCTTTAAGGGTGTGTTTCAGTTTGGCATCTGGATAATCAGGGATAATTTCAATTTTACGAGATCACCGGGATCATTTGATGTTAATGGCTGACACCATGCACAATGGACGTGACAACAGGGTAAAAGAGCCGCATTGAGTGAAGCAAAATCAATCTAAAAATGTGACTAATTGTATCAATGGTCCATGCAATGCCAAATTATTACTGATGATCCTAGATAATTATCCCTCGGCTCATTTTCCTGATGCCAATCGCAAGTAATTGTACCACAACTTTGTTTTTAAGTGGTGATAATGTTGATTTTATGTTAATATACAGGGACATGCATGTGCTTAGATCATGAGATGCCTTATCATGAGATGCCTTACTGGCTGTACTCCTGTATGAAGTTAAAGCTGATGACATTATGGTGCCTCTGGCCTGAGGTTCCTAATCACCACTGACCCATTGTAATTGTTATTGCCTTTGCACAGCACTATTAGTGCTGTACAGACCAATTGGTAGCTACCAACTGATCTGTACAGCACACCAGCTAACCATTGTAGACATTGGCAGTGGTGGAGAGATTGCCCATGTTTACGTCACTACTCACTTGGTTGTTCAATGTTCAATGTAATGGACTTAATGGGAAGATGCTATGGTTGATGGGAGTAGCTAGCTGATGTCAATGTGGGTGAGTGAGACAGACTGAGACCAGCTTTAATCGGCATGCTTTACCTTCAGATCCTCTTGATAACATACCCTCCTACTTTTTTTACTTCAGGTATCACTACTGAAAAGGAAAGGATGAAGGAAGGCTTTTATAGCATCAGCTCAATAGCCCTGAGTGCTGTTCACGGGCACCTGCGGTAGCTGCGGTAGCTGCGGCTCGGCGGTCAGCCGGGTAATGACGTCACAGAAAGTGGGGATGGGGCCGGTGGTGTGACGTCATACGGCTGCGGCCGGCTGCGGTCGCCTGCGTCTCCTGCGGTCGAAACGATCCGACCGCAGCGGCCGCAGGAACCATTTGTCATGCAAAGTGGCGCGGCAGTTGAGCATTCGTGTAACTTGGGCGGAAAATTGACGCAGCCGCCTCAGACAAACGCGTGATGACGTACGGACAAGTGGGCGGGACTTACGGCCTGCGATCTACCGCAGCTACCGCAGTTACCGCAGGTGTCCGTGAACAGCACTCTGGTAATTTTGCGAGCTCTGATTAACTTGGGTCCAGACACTTCATGACTCTTTTTAACTGTTTTGCCTATACATTTCAACAGCTGAATGTATGCTGAGTTCAGCTTACTTAAAGCTTATTGGCTAATTGAGCTGTTGTTCACTCTTACAGATGATTCATCCCAACCCAAGGATGGCAGCGTCTGCCAGTGCAGCGGCTGTGTGAGGAAACGGCACCTGCTCAAGTCAAAAGAACCTTCTAAAAAATGGAAAAGAAGAACTATGTAAGTATGCAAAGAAGATATTCCATGTGCCTGCAAAGTCATGTGGCCTACAGACTGTAGGTCTAGCCAATGATAAGAATAGCTGATGGAAAGCAGAATTTGTTGCCCTTTGTGTGTTACATTGTCCCTCTTAGTGACCGCTATTTTATACTTCTTTATATTTGGAAGATGTGTGCTTTCAAATGTCTTCAGTTCATTTTCATTTGTGTTAGTAGTTGGACCTATCAGATGAAGGTGTTAACTCTTGCTGTCACTGTGTGTAGTGTAACATACAATAACCTGTGACCTGTGTCATTTCCTTTTCCCTTTGCAGCTCATCAGCTCCACTTGGAAAAGGCTCATTACACTATCCTTTGCACCGTAGATGTACGCCACCGTCTCTTCAGCTTATGAGTTATGAGCATTTCACAATTCTATTTGAGCTCACCTTCCTCGTCCCTGTGGCAGACACGCTAGCCCCAGCATCTTTTCCCATTGTACGTTTCTCCTTCCTGACCTCACTGTGTCCTGTACTGATGTGTGGCTATGAAACAGCTGCTGTGAGTAGCTCTCCCCTCGCTGCCCTGCTCTAACTGACACATGGCTGTTGTTTGGCAGACAAATAGTGTTGATCCTGGGCTGGATCGCGGTGGCAATCCTCGTCCAGCGGGTGCGCGAGTTCGACTACGAGTACGCCAACTTCGACCCGTACGATATTCTGGGCGTGTCACCAGTGAGTTTTGAGCACCCAGAGATTTTCTTTTATCATACACATGGTTCTTTCAGAAGTTTTGTTTACATATTGTATTTGTATTGTATGTACACGTATATGCGAATTTCCGAGACTGGAAAGCACTAAGCAGAGTTTGTCGTGCACGTCGCAACCGTTATCGTCTTATCAAGAAATTTCGAATACATACCAGACATAAGAATAATATTCGACATGTCCACTTGCACAGGTCATAGACCATCACTGTTGAGGGTAAAATAGGGTTAGGTGTGCTTGGTTGGGACGAAAAATGCAACACTGTCGTAACCGCCGTGCGGAAATTTCCAGGGAGCTCGTAAGGCGGACATTAAGAAGGCCTACAAAATGCTGTCACTTACCGAGCATCCGGACAAGGGAGGAGATGAAAAGAAGTTCGTCAAAATCAACAAAGGTTCGTATCTATGCTGAGCAGCTGCTTCGATGAGTTAATGGCATGTTGCACGTTATGTTGACAATGACATCTCCAATTTGGTCACTCAGTGGAAGCAATAGGCAGAGTTTAAATTGTGGTATTAAACTTTTAGATAGTTAAAGGGCAAGCAGGATAAGAGACGTAATTTAGTTTGTAGCTGAGGATCGCAAATGGCGGCTGTAACGACATGGATTCACAGTTCCTGCGCCGGCCCTCCGTCCAGTACCTCTGACCCGCTGCGTCCGACCGGCAGCCTACCAGGCACTCACGGACGACATCGCGCGCCGCAACTGGGAGCTCTATGGCAACCCGGACGGCCCGGGCGTCATGAACTTCGGCATCGCGCTGCCCTCGTGGATCGTGCAGAAGGAGAACTCGATCTGGGTGCTGGGCGTCTACACGTTGGTGTTTATGATTGCGCTGCCCACTGTGGTCGGCATCTGGTGGTACAACTCCATCAAGTTCTCCGGAGATCAGGTGCGCCGATCGGTGCCCAGTGTTCGCCACAACGCTGGGACTTATCTAGTCATTCTGCTAAATATATCGCTTTAATGTTGGATAGCTGCCGCTGCCGCTGTGTTCTTCTAATTGCTGTTATGTAGACCTGCTTCGAATGACTTTGTCTGGTACTCTTTACTGCTCACTCATATTATTTGTGCTGCAAGACGTAATACGGAAAGCCAGTAAGCTTGCCTGTATTTTCGCTGCCTCGGTACTGCAGCAGTACTGCTGCTGTTGCTGCCTCATTTTCTCGCGCTCCCTCGCCGGTCTCACCACTTCTCTGCTGCTCCCCAGGTCCTGCTGGACACCACGCAGCTGTACTTCTACTTCTTCCACAAGACGCCGCACATGATGCTGCGCCGGGTGCTGATGGTGCTGAGCGCCTCCCTCGAGTTCGAGCGCGGCCACAACTCCGAGGTGCAGATGCGCGAGAGCGACAACTTCGAGGTGCCGCTGCTGATCAAACGGCTGCCCAATCTGGGCGAGAACAACAAGGAGCGTCCGCTGTGCTTCGAGTACTCAGTGAAGGCGCGGTGCCTGCTGCACGCGCACCTCACGCGGCTGCCGCTGCCGCCGGCTACACTCGAGATCGACAGGTGGGTGGCGGTGGGCAGAGATAAAATATGGGGGTATGCGGGATGAGACGAGGGTGTGAGTAGAGCGGTAGGGGTGATTGGATTTTGCAAGTGGCTATGAGTGCGAGAAGGGGTTGGGATGAAAGAACAGCCTTTCTCTGAACGCACGGCAATCATTTGCACACCCGTTCTACAACTATCCACTGGGACCACCGACCTTCGCATTCACAGACGGTACGTGGTACGCCACTGCCCGTCAAACTCCGCTGACCCCCCCCCCCCCCCCCCCGTCTCCCCTGCAGGCAGTTGGTGGTGCGCAAGTGTCCCTACCTGATACAGGAGATGGTGACCTGCATCAGTCAGCTGGTGATGCTGGCGCACGCCGGACGCATCGCCCGCCTGCCCAGTCTGGAGACGATCGACAACACGATGAAGCTGTGCCCCATGGTGGTGCAGGCGCTCTGGGACTCCAAGTCGGTGCTGCTCCAGCTGCCGCACGTCGATGAGGCCATGCTCAGACACTTTGTGGATAAAAAGGTGGGCGGATGGACTCAGGGAACCAGGTGGTGATGGAATCTGGCGAGGAGGGAAGGTTACCTACTGCGCTATTTTTTAGACGGTAGAAAGATGCTAACTATGAATTAGTGCTCAGACGTCTTCTGCTTACTGACTTGCTGCCTCTTTCTATGCATTCACACTTTATGAGCGCCCATTATGTTGCTCGTTTACAGTAAGCTGAATAATTGGTCTTCATGGCAAGTATATCCCATCGAATCAGACGCTCGATGTGCTGCACAGACTCCCGACAAACTGCGCATGCCTCCCCACCGCCTAGTCTCCCCTCACCCCACGCCTGCCCCCATTTAATTAGTCCTCCTTTCCGCCGCCAGCGTAAGATCAATGTGAAGACGCTGCAGCAGTTGGCCGAGCTGGACGCCCTCGATCGGCGCCACGTGCTGCGTAACCTCTCCGACGAGGAGGCGCACAACGTCGAGAACGTGCTGATGAGGATGCCGCACGTCACCATGGACGTCACGTCCGAAGGTCAGTCGGGGGGATGGGGACGTGACGTGAGTCTGAGAGGGGAGTATTCGGGTATAAGAATGTATTGGAGAAGTACCGGATATTCAAATCTACCGCTTAGTTGTCGAATAGCCGCACCTAGTTCTCAGAACTCCCCTCACCATTACCAAGATAGTCAGCCAGAACTCTCTTGGTGTGGTATTGATCCATCTGTGTTGACTGTTATGTGATCGCATTATGTAAGGTGGCCGAGGTCCGCAATGAACACGTGGGACGGCCTGCTATGTTTAAAGGGACCCTCCCACCTTCAAAAAAGTTTATGAATTGGCATGAAAGTGATGTCGCTCGGTTCAGAAAGAGCGAAAACGAATATCTACCAAATTTCACCGAAAAATATTCACCGGTTTTCAAGATATTAGACTTTTACTTTTGTTTACTTTTTGGGATCTCCGCTGTTTCTAGCGACTTTATTTTAGAAGTGCGGCGTTTGCGGCAGATGTTGCGCGCAAATAGCATATACCACCGCGTGCTACAAAACGTTTTAGTCAAACTTAATGACGGACGTTCGAAAGCCTGATGACGTCATCAGATTCCCGTAATGGTTAAGAGATAGGGACCAAGCTGGTCCCACCCTGCAAGTAAAGGGAAGAAATTTCTTGAATACCATAAAGCTGCGGGGGTTGCGACCAGGATAAATGGTGGTTTCTGAGCCTGGCCGCAAACTTGGCTATCTCAACTCAAAACTAATGTTAAGGTGGGAGGGTCCCTTTAAGTTTTTATTACCCGCTGATCATTTCCCAGCGTCCTGTCATGCAACTGACTAGTGTTTCGGCTATATTTTCAACGTTTCGTTTTTGTGTTTTTGCTTTAATTTGTCAGATGCTGGATACATTTCATAATCACATGCATCGCTATCATAGCTTCCTTAGTGCGGAGTCGTATTTCATTTTCGCACACCACCCGTTGTTACGCCACCGACCCAATTAGTCTCTGTCGGGCCGGCCGAGCTCGGCCCGTCACCGGTGCCCTTTGGTGGCCCCCAGTGACCCGCGAGCGAGCCCGCCGCCCCCCGCCGCCCCCCGCCGGGGTGACGGCCCGGTGACGGGTGACATTTGACAGAGGCGGGTCACGCTCAGTGCGAGGGGGTGGATGAGAGATCGAGTGGATGTGGGTGAGATGACGATACCAGGATGATCAGAGAGCACCTACTGGGTAGGGATGGGGTGTTGGTTTTCTGAGGTCGTCAGCCTCCGTTGCTGATTGCTGAGCTGACATGCTGATGGCTGACCTCAGCGGTGGTGACGCTGCGGCTTTAGCTCTGTCAGCTGCGGTGCGATGCAGCGTGCCTGTCACGAGCGGCTGGTGAGTGATTTAAACGCGTACAGGAGCCGGATAAGCAATACGATCGGGGCATTAGGGAGTTGATTTAACGTGTCCAATATAAAATATGGGGCAGGGCTGACACCTGAGGTCGGAGTGGGCGAGTTTCCGAAAATGATTGTGCGTGTTGGTTTAGTTGAGCTACGGCTGTCGTGATAGCGCATTTGTGTGATGACATGGCTGTTGATATGCCATTCATAGCTTAGAAGCGGGAATAGGATAAGACGTACTTTGCTGTTTGCTGAAGGTATGCGTCACGAAATGTGTGAGTTGATCAACATTTTGTCCCACGCAATTCTTAATGTGCTCAGCAGTCAGGAATGCTCTTGTTATTCGATTGCTAATGATCGGTCGTTTGACCGTACCTACATCATTTATTAACCGTATCTTGCGCACGGTGCGGGAGGTGTATTAGGTAAGGCTGTTGGCTCGCATGGCGCCTGCTCACCACACCGTGAACCGTTTGAGCAACAGACTGAAACTGCCAGTGTTCCACGTGCATGCGTTACGTACCAGTTTGCTGAAGTTCTAACCGCTGATCACATTTATCGAATCGTCAAATATTGCAGCCTACTAATGACATTCACAACAGAGTGCCGGTATTTATGACTATATGGGCATATATCCCCTGTAGTGCCTTGCCCGCCCGTCCTGTCCGGCTATGCTTGCTCTTCCGTTTGCCGCCTCGGCAGACGGACAGTTTTGTTGTAGCCGACCTTGTCCAACCGGCGTCCGGCGTGCGACCCTTTCCTCCGTTCCCGCCCGGAAACCCATTGTTCGTGTGCTGTAAAATCGGCCGAAACATGACATTGTGTGGCGCTGGTGGGTCGAGGCGGCAGACTGCGGCAGTGAGGGTTCGTGGAGTCCGTCAAAAGTGATGAGTCAACAGGCCGGGTGGTTAGTTGTAAAAACGGGACATTGGTGTTTTGGGCCAATCGTTGACGTGTAATGAAAATGCTTGTCGACGGAGTATTGTACTCAAACAGGTGGGCTACGGAAATCACATCCAGAGCTATGATTATGCTCAGATATGCTGTGTTTTCAGATAAGTCTGCTGTGTAAATAGTTCAGCGATGTGTCTCACATGAAATGCATCTACAGCATCGTTTGTCACGCACGAGACGCAGGCATTTTAGCCGTAATATGCATAAGGCTCACCATTTCTCGCAGATCCTCGCTGCGACATTTATGCAATCTCCTTGTGTCATCTGACAGACTAGCAATGTTAGGGAATGTCTGAGTAATGTTCAATGCATACACGCAAGGTTGCGTGTTTGGCTATTTCAGAACCGTTGTCCTACCTTGTCAGATGGTCAGTTCAGTTTAGTACGAAACTGAATGTACCGGTTCTGAGTCGTGACCATTATCATGCTGGAATGTGGGCTAGGGCTTCATTTTTACTGTGAGGACGAAACCACTGGTCACTGATTGATCATATCCTAAGCCATGCTCATGTCGAAAACGTGAGCTGCTTGTCCGCTACAATAAATCGAATAGAAAAAAGCGAATCAGTCTGATTCCAGTAAGGTAGCTAGTTGCACCATGTCCGTAATTCAGGAATGAAAAATGTAGCTGCTGCAGCTGATGCATTCTCCTCGCTGTCGAGTTACATAAGTTGGAGGATGTTTCATTCAGTTCCGTACTGAACTGTGACAGCCACTCTACTCATCACATTCGATCAAACAAATGTGCATCGGGCATCGTTATATCCAACGCCGCGGTTGTATCTGCAGGTGGACACTGGACATCGGTCACCCCTTCAATGTCACGATTCCCGGCCCATTTTCATTCACCCTCCGCCGTGTTTCACAGTGCTGGATGACGAGAACTCTGGTGAGTTCACGGCCGGCGCCATCACGACCGTGACCGTGAAGCTGACTCGCCGTGACCTGGGCGAGGCCAGCGGGCCGCAGACGGAACGCGCCGCCGCGCCCGCCGACGACGACCCCGACGGCGCCGGCGACGAGGTCAAGGCGGAGGTGCGAGAGGGAGGGGGTGTGGGCCGGTGGGGCGCGGTGGCTGGTAGTGGTGGTTCCTGGTTAGATGACGGGACACTAGGGATTTGGGTTACCGTTGGAGGGACCACGAGGGGTATGGGAAGACGCATCGATTTTGTGTTTGCTAAAAGTAGGTGTTGTATTGTTTATTTTCACATTGATTGACATCTGGCATGCATGTGCTCTGTCTGTGTCTACTTTCAAAACATTGTGAATGTTTAGTTCGCCGCTGTAACTCAATCGGTCGGTCTCTGTCAGAGCAAGGAGAAGACGACGCCTGTATGGAAGTCGTCGAGTAAAAAGAAGGCGAAAACGGGGAAGAAGTCTTCTAAGAAGACGAAGTTGAAGCAGGCGACGAAGCCTGATGAGTCTCCCAAGCCTTCCAGTGAGGTAAGACAGCCGCTTTACCGTAGGCATAACATCCATCCTTTGAAGCCTAATTGTGATTGGAATCTATTCATTTGTTTGCTTACGAATCAATTTTCATTTCCAGATTTACTATGTTTAACCTGTATCTACCGTTTTTAGCGTTGTGCGTTCGGCTGCCACTGTGTCACCACCTTGTTACTGAACCACTGGACCTTTTGACCCGTCATACCCTGCGTGTGCAACTGTCGCTGTGTCACCTCTGACCCTGTGTCGCTGACTCCGTGTGACCTGGCTGTCCGTTCAGCGGTCCGAGGGTCACGGCTCGGGCAGTGACGAGGCCGGCAGTCCGGGACGACCAGTGTATGTGTTGTGTCTCTGACCTGTGTTTGACCTGTGCAGCGGTCCGAGGGCCACGGCTCGGGCAGTGACGAGGCCGGTAGTCCGGGACGACCCGTGTATGTGCCGTGTCTCTGACCTGTGTTTGACCTGTGCAGCGGTCCGAGGGCCACGGCTCGGGCAGTGACGAGGCCGGTAGTCCGGGACGACCCGTGTATGTGCCGTGTCTCTGACCTGTGTTTGACCTGTGCAGCGGTCCGAGGGCCACGGCTCGGGCAGTGACGAGGCCGGTAGTCCGGGACGACCCGTGTATGTGCCGTGTCTCTGACCTGTGTTTGACCTGTCCAGCGGTCCGAGGGCCACGGCTCTGGCAGTGACGAGGCCGGCTCCGGGGACGAGTCCGACCACTCTGACGGCGGCTCGGACAGCGACGGCTCGGCGGCCGCCTCCCGGCCCGGCCGCACCGCCGACGAGCGCGAGACAGACGACGAGGAGTGGGAGCGCTTCCAGAGCCGCATCAACAAGCGCGGCAAGGCGCTGGAGACCAAGTCGCGCGTCTCGCACCCCGTGCACGCGCCGCACTTCCCCGACGAGAAGCAGGAGTACTGGTGGGTGTACGTGTGCGACCGTAAGAACAAGGGCCTGGTGACGGCGCCGTTCCAGGTGACGGACCTGGTCACAGAGGCCGAAGTCGAGCTCAAGTTCACGGCGCCCAAGAAGCCAGGCCTGTACACGTTCACCGTGGTGCTGAGGTCGGACTCCTACCTGGGCTTCGACCAGACCAGGGACATCAAGGTGAGATCATTTTTATACGAGTAGTCGTGTGAATTAGGCGGTGTTTCTGTGTGATAATGCATATTTTTTAACATTCCGTCCGTGTTTAATCGCATAACCGGTAAGGGTATTTTGCAATTACCTCCGCTGCTCGTTTGGGATGAAGAACAGAGTTGGCATTTTGCATGATTCTACGCCTGTTTCGCGATAAATCGTATTTTGTTACTTTGTTTATCATTGCTTCTCCCAAACGCTGTATTTTTTCTTGCTTCCTGCTATCATTATTCGTTTCCAAATGATCCTTCGAGTATCAACTAGCCTTATCTCTCGACGAACTTCCAACTATTGGCTCCACCCGTCCCCCTCCTGATCAGAAGCCCGCTTACCCTGGGCCCTATGTCTGACACCACCCCCACCCCTGGCAGCTGGACGTGAAGCAGGCCTACGAGATCCCGGTGGAGCACCCGCAGTGGGACATCTCCGACGAGGAGGAAAAGTCCGACGACGAGAGTGACGTCGACGAGTTCGCCACCGACGACGAGTTCGACGCGTCGGATATGGACGACTAGGGCGGCGGCCACGGCAGAACCGGCGGCAAAGCGGCCGCCGGCGGAGGCAGGGCGACCCGCCGGGAGGGACGCCAGGACGGCCGCACGAGCCGGCGGCACTCGGCGACGGCTGCCGGCCGTGACCCCGACGATGGCTGACGGAGGAGAACGGCGGAATCGATTGGAAGGTTGTTGGAAACTGACCGGAGTCTGTTGGGCGAATCCCACGCCTCGTGCTGAGAAAGGACCAATAGGTTACCGTTCAGACGATAATGGACATATTTCGGACATTTCTCGTGGACACTTGTTGAACTTTGGTGGACGGAGAGCTGGCCCCCGAGAAGACTTCGGCTGATGATAGTGCCTCCGGTGAGAACAACTGACTGACTGACGGACTGTGAAGTGAGCGTACTGGCTCGAGTGGCCTGTCGAGCGGACCAAACTGAGAGAAAGGGAGAGCTGCGGGTCGGCGAGACGATATTCTGTTGGATCTGTGCGCTAAAAACGGATAATCGGGCGGCCTTTCGTCGCCGGATAAAGAGGCTAAAATGCACACGCCACTTGTGTCCTTTGGGACATGATATATGCGGCGGGGTCACCGTAGACTACTGGACAATAGTTACTAGGTCTTTGTGAATGGCGACCGTCACGGGTGCACTCTCCAGCCGATACCGCGAGTTGTCGTTAGCAACCTGTGAACAACACAGTGCACAAGTCGCCGAACACTGTCGGTGCGCGTCCGCCGTCACCTGTTCCGCGATCGGAGACGCTACTTAGAGAGGTCGGTGTTGTCAGGCGGCTGGGACCGGCGCGAGTGGAGGAGAGTGGTATTTTTTTAGGCCGTGCTCGGTGTGCTGAGGCGGGTGGTGTGGGTCTGTCTGTGTGGGAGATGAGCTGTTTCCGTTACTGGTGGTTCCATGGTCAGTCGCTCGGGAAATCGACTGAGGGCAGGGAGAGGGTAGCGCCGCGCGCCGTTCGGTTCTGGTGGTGGGATTTCGTTTGTTCTAAACTTGTGTTCCGAAATTCTTCCTGTTATAACTTTTGGGGCATTTGTTAAGTATTTTATTAAATACACCTTAATGGAGTACCTTGGTGTTTGGCTTGGCCTTGGGCGCGAAGGGAGCAATTGTTATTAGAAATGACACGCTCATGGTAGCACATGGATAGAAAATAAATCGTTCGGGTGAGCTACCCGGCCCTTCCGAAACGCCATGCCGCAACTGGCAGCCAAACCACTAGCGACTACCGGCTATCCCGTTACTCAAGAAGTTCAGGGCCCTGCTCCACCGCTGCTAGCAGCATGCTGCCAGCGCATTTCGTGAGCTGACGTCACAGACTGTGGTTATGTTGGAGATACGAGTTTTTTGATGTCCCCATGGAAACCCAATTTGACACGTGCGCTGGCAGCACGCTAGCAGCCAAGATACTTATTAGAAACCTAGCGGCGGCCGTGAAACATGTAACGGAAGTTGGCACAGATTCAGCACAGATTCAGCACAGCACAGATTCGGTAGGGGGAAAAAAGGCCCTGGTAGAGGGAAACCTTTATGACCCGTTTTCCCCTAGAAATGACGTCACAAAGAGGTAAAAATGTGTATCAATCGAAAGCTCTCGTTTACCCAGACACAGTCCTGCAGGAAAATTCCATTTTTCCCCATAGGAAAGTTTTTACGGGAAAATCAAAATTTTGGGTCAATGGGGGGTCCCCCCCGATTTCGTTCAAAATCGGCACACAGGTGACCCACCACCAGCCGAGAAACTTTCCCCAAAACGGTCCCCGTTGCATTGACGTTTAAGGCCCGTAAAGCCCCCTAGACTCGTAAAATATCCGTAAAATCGCCTTTGTACGGACAAAAAAAGTGGTGCTATGGTGAAAATGGGTATCAAACGAAAGCTCTCGTTTACCCAGACACAGTCCTGCAGGAAAATTCCACTTTTTCCCCATAGGAAAGTTTTTACGGGAAAATCAAAATTTTGGGTCAATGGGGGGTCCCCCCCGATTTCGTTCAAAATCGGCAAACAGGTGCCCCACCACCAGCCGAGAAACTTTCCCCAAAACGGTCCCCGTTGCATTGACGTTTAAGGCCCGTAAAGCCCCCTAGACTCGTAAAATATCCGTAAAATCGCCTTTGTACGGACAAAAAAGTGGTGCTATGGTAAAAATGGGTATCAATCGAAAGCTCTCGTTTACCCAGACACAGTCCTGCAGGAATATTCCACTTTTTCCCCATAGGAAAGTTTTTACGGGAAAATCAAAATTTTGGGTCAATGGGGGGGTCCCCCCGATTTCGTTCAAAATCGGCACACAGGTGACCCACCACCAGCCGAGAAACTTTCCCCAAAACGGTCCCCGTTGCATTGACGTTTAAGGCCCGTAAAGCCCCCTAGACTCGTAAAATATCCGTAAAATCGCCTTTGTACGGACAAAAAAGTGGTGTTATGGTAAAAATGGGTATCAAACGAAAGCTCTCGTTTACCCAGACACAGTCCTGCAGGAAAATTCCATTTTTTCCCCATAGGAAAGTTTTTACGGGAAAATCAAAATTTTGGGTCAATGGGGGGTCCCCCCCGATTTCGTTCAAAATCGGCACACAGGTGCCCCACCACCAGCCGAGAAACTTTCCCCAAACCGGTCCCCGTTGCATTGACGTTTAAGGCCCGTAAAGCCCCCTAGACTCGTAAAATATCCGTAAAATCGCCTTTGTACGGACAAAAAAGTGGTGCTATGGTGAAAATGGGTATCAAACGAAAGCTCTCGTTTACCCAGACACAGTCCTGCAGGAAAATTCCATTTTTTCCCCATAGGAAAGTTTTTACGGGAAAATCAAAATTTTGGGTCAATGGGGGTCCCCCCCGATTTCGTTCAAAATCGGCACACAGGTGCCCCACCACCAGCCGAGAAACTTTCCACAAAACGGTCCCCGTTGCATTGACGTTTAAGGCCCGTAAAGCCCCCTAGACTCGTAAAATATCCGTAAAATCGCCTTTGTACGGACAAAAAAGTGGTGCTATGGTAAAAATGGGTATCAATCGAAAGCTCTCGTTTACCCAGACACAGTCCTGTAGGAAAATTCCACTTTTTCCCCATAGGAAAGTTTTAACGGGAAAATCAAAATTTTGGGTCAATGGGGGGTCCCCCCCGATTTCGTTCAAAATCGGCACACAGGTGCCCCACCACCAGCCGAGAAACTTTCCCCAAAACGGTCCCCGTTGCATTGACGTTTAAGGCCCGTAAAGTCCCCTAGACTCGTAAAATATCCGTAAAATCGCCTTTGTACGGACAAAAAAAGTGGTGCTATGGTAAAAATGGGTATCAAACGAAAGCTCTCGTTTACCCAGACACAGTCCTGCAGGAAAATTCCACTAAACGTAAACGAGAGCTTTCGATTGATACCCATTTTTACCATAGCACCACTTTTTTGTCCGTACAAAGGCGATTTTACGGATATTTTACGAGTCTAGGGGGCTTTACGGGCCTTAAACGTCAATGCAACGGGGACCGTTTTGGGGAAAGTTTCTCGGCTGGTGGTGGGGCACCTGTGTGCCGATTTTGAACGAAATCGGGGGGGACCCCCCATTGACCCAAAATTTTGATTTTCCCGTAAAAACTTTCCCATGGGGAAAAAGTGGAATTTTCCTGCAGGAATGTGTCTGGGTAAACGAGAGCTTTCGTTTGATACTCATTTTTACCATAGCACCACTTTTTTGTCCGTACAAAGGCGATTTTACGGATATTTTACGAGTCTAGGGGGCTTTACGGGCCTTAAACGTCAATGCAACGGGGACCGTTTTGGGGAAAGTTTCTCGGCTGGTGGTGGGGCACCTGTGTGCCGATTTTGAACGAAATCGGGGGGGGGGCCCCCCATTGACCCAAAATTTTGATTTTCCCGTAAAAACTTTCCTATGGGGAAAAAGTGGAATTTTCCTGCAGGACTGTGTCTGGGTAAACGAGAGCTTTCGATTGATACACATTTTTACCATAGCACCACTTTTTTGTCCGTACAAAGGCGATTTTACGGATATTTTACGAGTCTAGGGGGCTTTACGGGCCTTAAACGTCAATGCAACGGGGACCGTTTTGGGGAAAGTTTCTCGGCTGGTGGTGGGGCACCTGTGTGCCGATTTTGAACGAAATCGGGGGGGGGGGACCCCCCATTGACCCAAAATTTAGATTTTCCCGTAAAAACTTTCCTATGGGGAAAAAAATGGAATTTTCCTGCAGGACTGTGTCTGGGTAAACGAGAGCTTTCGATTGATACCCATTTTTACCATAGCACCACTTTTTTGTCCGTACAAAAGGCGATTTTACGGATATTTTACGAGTCTAGGGGGCTTTACGGGCCTTAAACGTCAATGCAACGGGGACCGTTTTGGGGAAAGTTTCTCGGCTGGTGGTGGGGCACCTGTGTGCCGATTTTGAACGAAATCGGGGGGACCCCCCATTGACCCAAAATTTTGATTTTCCCGTAAAAACTTTCCTATGGGGAAAAAGTGGAATTTTCCTGCAGGACTGTGTCTGGGTAAACGAGAGCTTTCGTTTGATACCCATTTTTACCATAGCACCACTTTTTTGTCCGTACAAAGGCGATTTTACGGATATTTTACGAGTCTAGGGGGCTTTACGGGCCTTAAACGTCAATGCAACGGGGACCGTTTTGGGGAAAGTTTCTTGGCTGGTGGTGGGGCATCTGTGTGCCGATTTTGAACGAAATCGGGGGGACCCCCCATTGACCCAAAATTTTGATTTTCCCGTAAAAACTTTCCTATGGGGAAAAAGTGGAATTTTCCTGCAGGACTGTGTCTGGGTAAACGAGAACTTTCGATTGATACCCATTTTTACCATAGCACCACTTTTTTGTCCGTACAAAGGCGATTTTACGGATATTTTACGAGTCTAGGGGGCTTTACGGGCCTTAAACGTCAATGCAACGGGGACCGTTTTGGGGAAAGTTTCTCGGCTGGTGGTGGGGCACCTGTGTGCCGATTTTGAACGAAATCGGGGGGGACCCCCCATTGACCCAAAATTTTGATTTTCCCGTAAAAACTTTCCTATGGGGAAAAAGTGGAATTTTCCTGCAGGACTGTGTCTGGGTAAACAAGAGCTTTCGATTGATACCCATTTTTACCATAGCACCACTTTTTTGTCCGTACAAAGGCGATTTTACGGATATTTTACGAGTCTAGGGGGCTTTACGGGCCTTAAACGTCAATGCAACGGGGACCGTTTTGGGGAAAGTTTCTCGGCTGGTGGTGGGGCACCTGTGTGCCGATTTTGAACGAAATCGGGGGGGGACCCCCCATTGACCCAAAATTTTGATTTTCCTGTAAAAACTTTCCTATGGGGAAAAAGTGGAATTTTCCTGCAGGACTGTGTCTGGGTAAACGAGAGCTTTCGATTGATACCCATTTTTACCATAGCACCACTTTTTTGTCCGTACAAAGGCGATTTTACGGATATTTTACGAGTCTAGGGGGCTTTACGGGCCTTAAACGTCAGTGCAACGGGACCGTTTTGGGGAAAGTTTCTCGGCTGGTGGTGGGGCACCTGTGTGCCGATTTTGAACGAAATCGGGGGGACCCCCCCATTGACCCAAAATTTTGATTTTCCCGTACAAACTTTCCTATGGGGAAAAAGTGGAATTTTCCTGCAGGACTGTGTCTGGGTAAACGAGAGCTTTCGATTGATACCCATTTTTACCATAGCACCACTTTTTTGTCCGTACAAAGGCGATTTTACGGATATTTTACGAGTCTAGGGGGCTTTACGGGCCTTAAACGTCAATGCAACGGGGACCGTTTTGGGGAAAGTTTCTCGGCTGGTGGTGGGGCACCTGTGTGCCGATTTTGAACGAAATCGGGGGGGACCCCCCATTGACCCAAAATTTTGATTTTCCTGTAAAAACTTTCCTATGGGGAAAAAGTGGAATTTTTCTGCAGGACTGTGTCTGGGTAAACGAGAGCTTTCGATTGATACCCATTTTTACCATAGCACCACTTTTTTGTCCGTACAATGGCGATTTTACGGATATTTTACGAGTCTAGGGGGCTTTACGGGCCTTAAACGTCAATGCAACGGGGACCGTTTTGGGGAAAGTTTCTCGGCTGATGGTGGGGCACCTGTGTGCCGATTTTGAACGAAATCGGGGGGGACCCCCCATTGACCCAAAATTTTGATTTTCCTGTAAAAACTTTCCTATGGGGAAAAAGTGGAATTTTTCTGCAGGACTGTGTCTGGGTAAACGAGAGCTTTCGATTGATACCCATTTTTACCATAGCACCACTTTTTTGTCCGTACAATGGCGATTTTACGGATATTTTACGAGTCTAGGGGGCTTTACGGGCCTTAAACGTCAATGCAACGGGGACCGTTTTGGGGAAAGTTTCTCGGCTGATGGTGGGGCACCTGTGTGCCGATTTTGAACGAAATCGGGGGGGACCCCCCATTGACCCAAAATTTTGATTTTCCCGTACAAACTTTCCTATGGGGAAAAAGTGAAATTTTCCTGCAGGACTGTGTCTGGGTAAACGAGAGCTTTCGATTGATACCCATTTTTACCTCTTTGTGACGTCATTTCTAGGGGAAAACGGGTCATAAAGGTTTCCCTCTACCGGGGCCTTTTTTCCCCCAACCGAATCTGTGCTGTGCTGAATCTGTGCTGAATCTGTGCCAACTTCCGTTACATTAATATTAAGCACAAATTGTAATGAAGTCTGCAGCTTGTCTCTATATCGACCTATGCTATCGACGCGTACTCATCATAAGCAGTAGAAAGTGAACACTTTCTGCAAATAAACACTGATTTTGTGTGCAGCCGGTGCAGCCTTCTGCGTTGTGGGGGGTTACTGACCAAGTTACTGACCAACTCTCAAACTCCTCGTGTGTGCAGTCGTGTGACTGATCACATTTTGATTTAAACGGTCACTAGGCCCTAAAGGCTCTGATTTTTTATTACAATTTTTGTATCAGTCAAGACGACAAAACATATGAAAATCAATGATGGCAACAAGTGAAGATGCTTGTTCGGATGATTTGAATTTTGTTCCTGCTGGTGAAAGTGGGACAATATCAGGCACAGAACCTGAACCTGCAAGTAAGGTTGAGGTGAGGTTGAGATGCAATTTTTAGCTTAGTCAAGAGGTAGGTAACATGCAACCACTTGCGAACCATTTCATCTTGAAGATACCGTCTATATTATTTACCTTTGTAATACTTGAGTAAGGACTCACATTTTAACACAAAACAAACTCACCAAGATAATAGCTGATGCAAAAATGATGGCTGAAATGGGTCAATAGAAATTTCACATCAAACTTCCCACATACACACACATAGGCGTCGCCAGAGATTTTCGGTTGGGGGGGGCAAAATCAACTTTTGTGTTAAATCTTGCCTTCCTCCAGTCGTTACTCATTCATTTTACATATCATTCAACGCGCAATGGTGCGAGGAATACGATGGTGACAAGGTTTTCCTTGTAGCTATGACTTGCCATTTTTTACAGAAAATTTAATTTTTTAAATTTTTGAACAAAAAACGACCGGTAGAATCACAATGGCTGCGCTTGCCGACACACTCTGGAGAGCCCCTGTGCAGACGCTCGTCGCTCATGATCATAAAAAGGTTAAACGCTCAGCTTAAGCGAATCACCTTGCTGAAACTTTCATTCACGCATGCATGCAGAGGTTCTACGTAAAATGCATAGGGCTTACCTATCCCAGCCGCCGATTGAAGCTAAGTAGGGCTTTCAGCGGAGAGTGAATGTCGGAAGTGTGAATCGGAAGTAATTCATCTTTGCTCCAGTGAGAGGAGGTGTAGTGTGAACAAAAAGTTTCTCGTTTTTCGTGTGTAGGGAAGCGCTGCAAACGCGAAGAAAAGACGTTTAACGGAACCAAAATTTCGCACGGCATAGCGGCAAGGGATCCTTTAGCGATAGGCTTGAGACTTCCAGGCCATTTTAGGCCACTCAGGGTCAGTGTGGGCTCTCAGAAGCCTGCTTAGGATCCTGAAAATCGGCGCTGGTCACCCCAAATAGTTACGTGTACATATGTGGTGCTTTAGGGCTTTCCGAGCCCAAGGTGGGACCCTCAGAAGCCAGTGTGGGCGGCGCCGGCGGCGGGCGCTAAGAGACCAGGCCCAGGGTGAGCAGGGAGCCCTCAAATAGCAGTGTGAACCCTGGAGGTCTGTGTCGAATCCCTAAGGACCCTACATAGGGACATAAGAAACATGTGCTGGGACCCTCAGAGGCACACCCGAGTCGTGCCCCCTAAACTGCAGGCTTAGGCTCAGCAAAATCTGTCGCCTCAAAAGCTCGGCTGAGCTATCAGAGGCCTAAGATTCTCAGAAATATTTGAAAGTATCCTCAAAGATCCGTGTGGCCCTTCAGAGGTCTACGCATGTGTAAGGTCCTCAAAGATTCCTGTATGGGCCCTCAGAGAATATGAACACCAGTGGGACTCTCAGAGGCCGGTTTGGGCCCTCTGAAGGCTTCTTAGAGCTCAGTGGAGCTCCTTCGGAGCCTGTGTGAAAAGCAAGCAGTCATGAGCCCTGTGGCACTTGAACGGTACTTGAGGCTGTCGCAGACATTTGACGAGAGTTGAGAAAGGCCCGAAGATTCAGTGTCACGCTTTGAACGCAAATTTTGTATCAGCACTTCAAAACTTATGAAAATCAGCTATAAAATGTAATAAAAAACCAACGAGGAACATGAAATGAATCACAGTATTGACACTTCCGAGTCTGGAGTCGGTGTTTTGACGATGTTGGCGACTGCGACTCCGACTCTGGCTTGAACGAGTCTGACCTCACAGGCATTCTCAGAAAGGTACCCCCATTTTTTCCCGACTCCAAAATCTCATCGGATCTGTATCGATCTCAGGGGGTGCCCGGTCCGAGGTTGGGGGGGGGGGGGCAAGCTGCCCCGCTTGCCCCCCCCCGTGGCGACGCTAATGTTAACACACATACTGTGAAAACAGCATCTATATTTTTGCACCATTCAGATTTCAGACCTAACTTTCTAGGAAGTGGACTTAGGAGCAAAATTGAACATATCTGATCATTTCAATATGCTCTTATGCAATCTCTGAGAAGGTTTGCTGTAGGTAGTAAATCAGTGATGATCTGAAGCTTAAGCTGCTCTGAAAAATCTTTTAATCCTTTTGTGTCATTGCGTCTGACATTTTTGCTTTTTTCCAGAACTCATCTTGTGTGCTATGTGGAACCACTATACCTGTATCAGACCAGGATGGATGTGAACCTGGAAGAGTGGACATATTTGGAAGGTTATCACCTGCCTATGACATCATTGTTATTAATAAGGTAGGTAGGGAGGCTACCTAGTAATTCTGTTCTTTTTTAATGTCGACAACTTGAACCACTTCATGACATAGGTACCCTAAACTTAATTAAGTATTCTAGCTCATAACAATAATATTTTTCCAGTGTCAACCCCAAAATTGCCATCCATTTCCCAAGACAGTATGCATTCTGAGGTGGCTTTTCTGTTGCAGATGGCTGCTGTGACAGGCTGCAGTGCTGCAGACCTGCACAGCCGCGGTAATCACATCTGCACCAGCTGCCACGACCGCCTCCTGAAGCTGCACTCCATGGAGATGACAGTGAGTGGGCTGAACTGAAAGAAGCTTTTCAGATGCTCAGATCCTCCTCAAAGAGACTGACTTGAGAAAGACTCGGGAAACTAAGAGGCCCAGAGACCATGTCCTGTTTGTCCTCCAGGTTGACTGGGGGAGGGTACTGCTCACACTTTCTGCCATCTCCTCCATCCCTCAGGTGAGTGGGCGCTGCTCACTTTGTGTGCTGCATCCCTCCCCCGGGTGGACTAGGGTGGGCACTGCTGAGTGCTGACCCCTCTGCCCTCTCCACTTCCCCAGGTGGACTCAGGGTGGGCGCTGCTGACCCCTCTGCCCTCTCCACTTCCCCAGGTGGACTCAGGGTGGGCGCTGCTGACCCCTCTGCCCTCTCCACTTCCCCAGGTGGACTCAGGGTGGGCGCTGCTGACCCCTGCCCTCTCTACTTCCCCAGGTGGACTCAGGGCGGGCGCTGCTGACCCCTGCCCTCTCCACTTCCCCAGGTGGACCGGAAGCGGGCCGGAGGGGGCGCTGCTGACCCCTCGGCCCCCTCGGTCCCCCAGTTTGACCGGGAGCGGGCGCTACTGACAGCTGCCCTCCGTCCTCAGGTGGACCGGGAGCGGGCACCGCTGACCCCTCTGCCCTCCGTCCCCAGTTTGACCGGGAGCGGGCACTGCTGACCCCTCGGCCCCCTCCGTCCTCAGGTGGACCGGGAGCGGGCGCTGCTGACCGCTCTGCCCTCCGTCCCCAGTTTGACCGGGAGCGGGCGCTGCTGATCTCTCTGCCCTCTCCCTATCTCAGGACGTGGACCGGGAGCGGGCGCTGCTGACCGCTCTGCCCTCCGTCCCCAGTTTGACCGGGAGCGGGCGCTGCTGACCCCTCGGCCCCCTCCGTCCTCAGGTGGACCGGGAGCGGGCGCTGCTCTCTGAGCTGTACCGCCGCCGGTGCGCGCCCGCCACTGACCGGCCGGCTCCGCAGTCCGGCGCCAGTCTGCTGCTCGTGGACGACATGGAGGTGCGGCTGCAGGACGACCAGGTGACGGCCGTGCCGCTCACCACCACCCGGCGCCGGCAGCTGCTGCGGCAGGCGCGCAGCGCAGAGCGCCGCTTCGAGTGCAAGGTGGGTCGCCGGGGAGGGGGTGGGAGGGAATCAGCGAGGGAATGAGGGAGGAGTGGGACTGGAGGATGTGGCAAAGATGATCACAGTGGTAGGAGGAAGGTATAGGCGAGCATGAGGGATCTGCGCCCTATTCAGCGTTTTATCGAGCGACCGTAAGGCGTTTCGCCAGCCGCGTTCAAGTCCTTGAACTCATAATTCAGATAAAGTTATATGTGGACGTGGCTGCAATGTATCCAGCATCCACGCACCGTATACCCGTCTACTCCTGATCCCGTGGCCGGCCGGTGTGGCCCGCTGACGGTGGCCGAGCAGGAGACGTTAGCGTCGGCTCAGGACCCGTAGCCGCGGGGCTCAACGGTTACCGGAGACATTCGTCCCTTCCCTCCCCCCCCCCCATTCGTCTCCGCGTGCCATCTCGGTTCCTGGATCACGTACTGTAGACTGAACTCCATTTTCCACTGCATGTGTATCAAACTTCTTCAAGGAAATTTCGCCTCCAGCACTGTGCACCGTATTAGCTGCGGTACATCCACCCGCCTCCTACCAACTCCGCACTGGTTTTCGATATTTTCCTCGCTCCATTCCGCTCTCGTTTGCTCTTGGTATTCGGTCCAACTTAAGCATCCTTGCCAACGTTTTCCACCTTTTCATACGACGGACGCAATTATTTTATTTTCACGGCAAATAACTCCACGCCTGTCCTCTGTAGGTATGTGGGAAACGTTTCCGAGCCTTCAGTCACCGCGTGGAACACATGCTCATCCACGTGAACGAGACGCCCTGGGCGTGCGAGTTGTGTCCGAAGACCTTCCGCACCAAGTCGGCGCGCACGGCTCACCAGCGGGTGCACGCGCCGGCCGCCGCCCGTTTCAGCTGCTCCGTCTGCGATCGACAGCTCTCCGACGCGGCGTCGCTGCGCGCACACGCACGTACCCACGAGCAGGACAAGCCGTACACGTGTGACACGTGCCAGCACAAGTTCGCGCGCCGCAAGGACTACGCCGTGCACGTGCGCCAGCACACGGGCGAGCGGCCGCACGCGTGTCCCGACTGCCCGCAGACGTTCGTGGCTCGCTCGCGGCTGAACCGACACCTGCTGCTGCACCGGGAGAAGCAGTTCGCCTGCGCGTGCGGCCGCGCGTTCCGGCGCCGGTACGAGCTGCAGAAGCACGCGCAGAGCTGCGGTCAGCCGGGTACAGGTGGGGAGGCGGCGCCGGCTGACCCGGCCCCTGTGACCCAGCCGGACGGCCAGCCGGCGGCGCTCACCTACCTGCCGGTGGTGCTGCGCGAGCCGCCGGCCGTCTACTACCAGGTGGTGACGCCGGTGACAGTGGAGGGCGCAGACGGGGCCGGACAGACCCCGGCGCACCAGGCCGTCCCGCAGGGTCAGGAGCAGGCGATCCAGCTGCCGGTGGTGACGTACTGAACCAGGAGTGAGAATCTCAGTGGCTGCTCTGTGAGGGTGCGACAATTCACAAGGCTGCTGATGAATTCAAATGATCGAGCTTATCTCCGCAGGAAGTTATTTTTAAGCTCCGTTTACATGACAGCTTCAGCCTAGTCGTGTTATTATTTATTTTGTTATTTAAATGGTGTAACGATTTTGCTGAGAGGCATGGAAGTTCGTTCCGTTTTTTTTTTTTTGCACTTTCATAATCGCAAAATTTTGTTTCCTTGCGTTTGAATCAAAATATTGATATCAACTTTTTCATTCACTCAAATTACATTGATCAAGATGCTTTGATGAATTTCCCCAACATTGTTTGTTTACCCACATGACTTGTTATGTGGGTTGTGCTACTTGCTACTTGTTATGTGATTATGCTACTTATTTATCGTGTTATGATGTAACGTATAGCGTTTGTTTTATACAAACAACCCAGTCGTGAAATGACGAGATGGAATGAAAATAACGGTAAATTAAATGTAATTATTTTTCAATCATTAGCCAATCATGCCTTATTCTGTCGTCAATGTGAACATCTTGACATGCCAACAGCAAATGCTGTTTTCTCTTGAAATGGGGGAAAACATGTAAAACCAGTGGATTTTGACAGCCAAAGTTTGACCCCAACGGTCGGCATGGGCCATGCAGCCCGTTTACATAATATTTATCGCATTCCACCTTCATTCCACGGTATGTGAATACATTCCGGATTAGCATACCCGAGTTCATGTTTTTGTCACAGGCCTTACGATTTAAGTTTTCGATTGTCGACACCTACAATGACTGACTAGGGCTCCTATGAGTAGTCGGCGTTTATGCCATGCGGTAATTTGTCGAATTATCACGGATAGAGATAGAATGGCAAGGACAGCTTTGATAATCATGTACCTTGTAGCAAGGTAGTGATCTGAGACTTAGCATATCTTGTGCTAACGTGGCAGCGATAATAAAGTCTTCCGATATTTTTGTATCAACTGTAACTATTCAGCATCATGTGTGATCCTGATTGCTCTTGACGATGTATATTTTTGTATATCTGTATTGTAGAGTCATATCTGCCCTGAACTACATTCTTTGGGCCGCTGTCACTAGCAAACAACTTCACATGGATACCGCTTGTCCTAGGTGCTCGCACTTTGATCCGTCAATAGGCTGTTTGGTTTATGGCTTGCCATTCGGTTTACAGCAGGTGTGACGCGCTCTGAGTTGTAAAATGCGCGCTACCGAGCGACTCGCGCTCCTGTTACAGCGGCCTTCCCCAGCCAAAGTCCGACGGAACGGGTCTCACTCTGACACATCATATTTGGCTCGCGTGCTCCATTCCCGCTCGATGCATTCATTCTGATACATTGCAAATATACGGCATTACTTGCATATCACTGTGTTTCTATGCTCTTCGGCTCTCTGGTCAAAACAAGTTTTGTTCCAGAGGAGAGAGTTCCACGTCCCCCTTGCTCCTGTTTCCACTACTTACAGATTCTTAGGAGTAGCAATATGAGCACGTGACTCATAAGTCATGCGTGAGTGTGTTACTCACACAATTACGTTTTCCTTCGATTGGTGACACAGGAATCATCAAGTCGTTTGACATCCACCCTCATCCGTTCACAATGGTCACAGGTTTCTCGGGCGCTGCGAACAAATTGCGGTAGAAATCGATGAGGGACTTCCTGAGCCGTTTGTTGAAGAACAGGTAGAAGAGGTAGTTGGCGCTGAAGTTGGCGATCTCGAGCAGGTTGGCCAGGGCGGTGGCCACGTCCAGCGCCCGGCTGGGCCGTTCGGCGTACAGCAGGCAGCAGCTGGTGACGGCCGCCGGCGTCATGCCCAGCACCAGGCCCACCATGATGGCCGCCACCAGCCAGATGAGCTGGCGCTCCTCAGAGACGGCGCGCTCCTCCATGGCAGCCATGCTGGGCATGCTGGCCACGCTGACGCCGCGCTGCTGGCCGGGCCCCGGCGGCCGGCGACCCTCGGCGCGAGCCACCATCTCCCGGAAGCCGAGCGCGATCCGCCAGTTGAGCAGCAGGCCGGCCACCATGGGCGCCAGGCGCGTCACCACCTCGCTGAAGATGATGTAGCCCTTCCAGCCGCCGGTGCGGTGGTGGTCGACCGCCCAGCCGCCGGCCACCTCCTTGGTGGAGCTGTTGAAGAGGCACGGCAGACTGACGACCACGGACACCACTCCCACGGCCACCAGGCGCCGCCGTGCCTGCTCCCGGCGCTGGGTGCGCTGGAACTCGACGTAGCGGCAGACGGAGGTGTAGCGGTCCACGGTGAGGACCAGCACCACGCCCACCGAGGCACACATGGTGGTGGTGAGCAGCCACTGCTCCACGTGCGCCGCGTACGTGGCCAGCGGCTCTGTGTCGATGGTCTCTGTCGGCGCCGCCAGACGCACCAGCGTCGGAATCAGGCCGGCCATGATGCTCATGTCGACCGAGGAGAGCACCACCAGGAAGAGGCGCGTGACGCCCCAGCGCTGCGGCGCCACCAGACACGGCAGGAACACCAGGTTGCCGACGATCCCGGACGTGACGAGCAGAGGCGCCACCACGCCGTACGTCACGTGGTGAAGTCGTCGCGTGAACTCGGCGTCACTGACGTTCAGGTACGGGTGGTCCATCTGTGGGGAGACGCGCTGGTAAGGTCAGGTCATCTACCCTGGGTGAGGTCGGGCGGAGCGATGTGAGGTCAGACGAAGGTGACTGTTTGATAGCAGGGTGGAAGGCCTAGATGAATGTTTGTGGACACGAATAGCACAGGATGATCCTGTGTGGCCACCTACCGATAGCCAGCATGTGAATGATTGACATGCCTTTTAAAAGGAACCAAGTACTTTTGGGTGCCTGCTGGATTCAAGCATACTACTGTTTTCTTTCGATTCATGGTTGATTGTTTGCATGCAAATTTTTATTCAATCCCAGAGAGGAAGTGCCCAGCTCGATAAATGACCGACTGATGACAGACTGAAAACCAGACTGAAAACGACGATGTTTCAATCTGAAGCGCTTCAGCTTCTTTAGTCTCGTGCACTGACTCATTTTCTGAGCTTCGCATCTTGCTTCGTATCATGCACGATTGCGACTTTTGGACGTTTCGGTAGAAAGATAAAGGTAATATTTAAATATAGCATGCATAATAGCTCATCATTTACCGCATTTTAATGTTGTGCAGATAAGGTACGAATGTAATTTATGCAGGCTTGGATTCTGCTTCACTCTGTAAACTTGCCTTGATATACGGGTGAAATGACGTGGGTACAAAGTTGACGGCAGTTATTAAACGGCGCATGTCCCAAAATGTCTAGCCTTTTCTTCAAGCGGAGGCTTTCAGGAAGGGACTACCGTATCAAAGTGTTTCGTTTCGCAAAAAGGTGTCAAGTGACCATTCAAGACATTATTACTTCAGCCACTTGGAAAGGGAGCTTCGACCAAGCGTGCATTGAAACGATGACGCGCAAGACTGGTCGCTTCGTTCCCTTTGAAATGTTCCTGTCGCTGCTTTTGACGAGTCTACGGAACGGCATGTACGAATCGCAACTCGGTTTGATGACGTTCAGGGACTTGCAAAATTTATTCAAGGAAGAAGTCAGCCCGGCAATCGCGAAGCAGATGGACGAAGAGAACCGACGTTATCTTATCCTCACCGTCAACCAGCCAATGATGTAAGTGCGTCTTGAGTCTGACATGGACAGATCCCACTTTTGACCGCGCCATCATTTGATCTGCTCGATTGTCACGATATCGGATTGATTTATTTAATGCTTACACGTGTCAGGGGGATCTAAACCAACTTTGCAACGATATTGCACGCTCTTGACTTGCATCATGACACTGCACACACCATAATTTAGTTTGCCACCGGCTTACGCCGCACTAACACGGTTTCGCCGGTAATCCATCCCTTGTTTGTCGTCATTCTATCGCCCAGTGTTTTATTAAGCCAGTCAGCTTATTATTGCCCTGATTAAGATTTATAGTGCTGGGGTTATTTTGGCACGTGTTAAACATATCCAGTTTACTTTGCAGGCTATATATAGTAGAGATAGACAAGCTGGGGTCATTAAGCGCTTTCTGATATGATAGGGTGCGAGTCATCTGAGCCCGTAGGGCTCTCTGGGTTTTAGCACCGTGTTTAGAGGCCGTTCCGTTGTTTATTTTGTTTCAGAACACACTATCCACTTCCTCTGCTGTACACTCAGTGTCCGGATCCTGAGCTGATGAGTATGACCAAGCTGGAGCTGCAGAGCAGCATGGCTGCCAGCGCAGGCGACTGTCCTGGCGCCGTATCTCAACAGCCTTGTCATCCACATCAGACTAGTCCCTCGTTGAAACGACCAGTGAGAAAGAAAGAACGCTCTTCGGAGTCGGTTCGGCCGCGCTCTCGTAAGATCTCCTTCGGCAAGGGCGACTTCCTCCAGCGGGTGATGGGTGAGCAGATCGAGAGAGCACTGAATGACAGCTTCGGCCAAGCTGCCGGCGGGGAAACAGTCGAGTCTCTGCGCCTCGAGCTGCGAGAACAGGCCAGGGATTTCAAACACGAGCTGGCGCGTCTCCGTCGAGAAAACGAGCGGCTGCGTCGGCGCGTCGAGGAGATGAAGATCCGTGAGATGGAGCTCGCCTCTGAGCTGGTGCGGGTGACTGAGAGGCAGCGACTGAACCTGCCGCCGGCCTCGGAGCGGACGGCCACGCCGCGGTGCCGGTCGTCTTCCCCGGGCCGGTACGGACGGCGGCGCGGCCACGGCTCGGGCAGCACCGGCAGCCTGGCGTCGCAGACCCCGCGCGCCGCCCGATCACTCTTCAACTTTTTCGACACGGACGAGGCGTGGTCGGGCCGGAGAGCGTCGCTGGAGCGGCGCCGCTCCTCGCCGGCGCTGCGCGACGAGCCGGCAGAGCGCAGCCGCCGCCTGCGCGCCAACATGCGCTCCAAGAGCCTGGACGACACGCGCGCCCACGCCGCCCTCGAGCGGTACCTGTGCTCGCCGGGCCGGCGCTGCTACCGCCGAGCCGAGTCGAGCGACCGGCGCCACCGCTGGGAGGAGCCCGAGCGCGCCCGACCGCGCGGCTGGACCGCCTTCGACCCGGGACAGTATGTCCGCGAGCGGCGGGAGGCGCCGCCGCGGCAGCGCAGCTCGGACCGGGAGCCGGCGGCCCGGCGGCCGGCGGCTCCGGCAGCCTGTGCTCCGGCTCCCAGCTGCGCTCCGGTGCCGGCCCCTCGGTCCCGCTCCCGGCCGCGGCCGCGGAGGAAGGGGGTGGCGCGGGTGGCGGCGGCGGCGCCCAACCAGCCGCCGCCGCCGCCGGAGCGCTGGGAGGATGTGGGAGACTCGGCCGTGGCCGGGATGCGCCAGCTGGAGACCAGACTGAGAAACCTGCAGCGGATGCTGGCCGAAAAACTGACCTGACAGTGAGCTGGGGAGGATCTACTCTTCATTGGTGTCAGAGGTGGAAGTTCATTGCAACGTGAGGAGCCGCCAGCGCTCAGCAAGATTACGGCAGAGTCTAATTTTGGTTAGCTGAACTTCGTATTTTAACGGCTCATTGACCGTACTACAGCGGGTATGTATATTGAAGCACCAGATTGCGAGTGCTGGTAGCTGATCAATGATCCTATGCTATTTTTACGAACTATTTTCGTATAATTGTTGATCATGTTCTGAGCTCACAATAAACCACGGCATTTTAATGCAAACGGCTCGACGTTTAACCATTTACCAGGTCAACGGCGGATCGCTTGCGGATTTCGCCATGTTTGCTTCAATTTAATTTCAGTTTTAATTTCATTTCATTTTTTCACGGCATAGCCAACCATCTCGCGATGACTCAGGGTGCTGAGTGTTTTACAACAGAGTGCCTTTTGACCTTATCGTTTTAATTGGCCGAGCTTGATTTATGGTCGTCTAGTTTGGGTCATGGGTGTGTTTGCCAAGCCATCGCGGGGCCATGGTTGAGATCCTTTATTTTTTCTTTTAAATAAAATATGCATGAGACTTAGTTCAAACCAGCAATTGGTTACAAACACCCGAACGATCAGGTGATTCGTGACTTCATATTTGACCTCGTATTTGTCCACAACGGAGGTAAAAATTAACCTACAAAGCACTACTTGTTGAGCCCTTTGTATTTCGTCAGTTTTTATTCATGCTCGAAAAACGAGTTGTCGCATTCTTCGCCTAGCTTTTCCACCCTTCCTGGCGCAAAAAAAAATCCTTCTCGCAAATACCTATCCTATACCACATGGTATAAGAAGGGCCACATGAGAACCGTGAATAGAAGCTTGCAAGAAGCGTGGATCACCAGAAATTCGAGAAGGTACCTACCTTTTTCGTTGGCCTGTGAAGGCCTGTGGCTCTTCAGTGTCGTTTCAGTCACCGCTTCCTTCTGCTGCTGTTGTACCTCCTGCTGCTGCTGCTTCTGGTAGTTGTGCTCGTAGTCAGCCTCGCAGCGTCTCCCCGTCTGACCATTCCCTCCCTTCCTCCTCCTCTCCTCCCGGCGCCGGCACCCTCCCTCTCCCTCCACCGCCGGCTGAGCAGTGGCGCTCCCAGAGGGGCGCTCTCTGCTTCCACACCTCGTGGCCGGCAGCTCCTATACGATTAGATACTCGGCTCAGATAGGCTGATCCGTCCCCGGTCCTGCCGCCCGATCACAGCGCCTGTCAGACCGTGTGCGTTGGTTATCTCCGACATATTCCGGCGCTGTGGTGACGGGCCGTGCTCAAACACAAAAGGCCACCTGCGTGGGGCCCCATGACTAAGAGGATTAACGAGCCAGCACCTGTGACGTGCGTGAGTGGTTATGTGTCAGCGGTATGAGAGAATCGAAGAAACTGAGCCCAAGGGAGGTTACAGCGATGTAGGTACAGTAGTTAGTTCGCTACCGTGATGAGCCAAAATATTGCTGCTCATGAATAGCATGAAGCGCGGGAGAGGGGTGCATTCTCTTTTCTACGGTGTTACTTGTGCCGCTTCCTTTCATGGGCTTCCGTTTTGGCGGACGCATCAGCACACAAGCTTTGCGCACCCAGTACCCACCCATCATTCCAATGTACCTACTTTCAAATATAGGCCGTTACGTCGCATGCTAATTAATCATTCCAAAGGAAATTAAAACGCTTGAACGGTAGTCACTTGACACATACCCAGCCTTCATTGGACGATATTGACTGGACGCTCTCAAACCGACGCCGGGAAATTTCCCCCTTGCTCAGTCACTAGATGGCACTGGTGGTTTTAACTGGGTGGTAGGCTGTCCCGCAGGGCATCATGTTAGTGGATATTCGTGCCGCTAGATGGCACTGGGAGTGTGCGCCTGCATATATCCTGTACCGCATAGCCCCAAACCGCGAGTTCCGGTGCTAAGGGCTGATTGATAACTCATGTTGCGTCGGTGATCGTATTGAACCTTGCCAAATCTAAAGATTTCCTTATGCTTCTTGATAGTCTTTATTTCGGCCATGAAATGTGTAGTGAGGCTTGGGTGGTCCGTGCCATATGCATTCGCCGTTTCGCGACAGCTATAATTTCACGGATAGTGACACCTGTTCGTCGCCAGGGATAGATGAAAGACTTCCACCGTAGCAAAAAAAAAAAAGAAATAATAAGCCGACTGGCTTTACTTTGAATTCTACAGTATGTATTGTCAATATGTGGTGAATGAGCACCGGCATTCTTCGTCGTTTTTGTTGGCGCTCTTTGCGTGGATTACGTGTAGCAGAGATGCTGGTTGCGAGAAGGGGCGTGTGTCTTGTCATAGTGCCATGTTGCTTTGCTAAAAAAGCACGCATTTAGGGCTAGACTATGCTTGTCCGTCGTGTATTTGGTCAGTGCTCTAATCGGACCTCCGACAGCGCTTATGCTCCAACAATAACCTGCGATACCCACTGCGAATCTCACGCGAGAACAGTATGTTCAGGAACGGGTTCGCTGCTAGCGTGAACAGCTCCAGGTTGTTGCCAACTGCTCGCCACACTTGGTAACTCGTGTAGCCTTTGGTCAGCTTCATCTTGCCCTGGGCCGCCCACACGAACAGCAGCGCAGAGAACACGTTCGAGATGATGCTCAGAGCCGAGATGGCCGGCAGCATGTAGGCGGCCCGTAGCCGGTGACCGCTGGCGCGCCGCCTCTGCCTCGGCGAGCTACCGACACTCGCTCCAGTGCCGTACACGCTCGACTCGACCAGCTCGATCACCGGCGGTGGCGCCACCTGTGTGGTCGGTCTGCTGCAGCAGCACCGCCGCCAGGCGGCCGGAGCGGGAAACACCTGCCCGCCGGCCCTCGCCGCCAGGCCGCGCACCACCAGTACGTTGTTGATTAGGATTCCGGCGGCGGGCAGCAGCCGCACGACGACCTGCAGTAGCCACTGGTAGACCATCCAGGCTGTGGTATAGGTGAACCCCTCCTGACGCAGCACGTACCCTCCAATCTCCTCATCCAGCTCTACCTGAGACTGGAACACCATCGGCATGAACAGCGTCATGGACACGGCCAGGGTGCAGGCGATCCTGAGGAAGGCCACGTCGCCCGTCTCCTCGGCGAGATACGAGGTGGGCCGCGTCACCGCTACTCGCCTGTTAGCAGACAGCCAGAAGGTGATCCACACCCCCGACGCCAGGCACGTGTTCGTTAGAGGTTTGTTCAGATGGGCGGCGTAGAAGGCGAGTGCCAGCGGCGCGCCGGTGCAGGGGTGCGCCGACTCCTGCGACAGCAGATAGGCGAACACGGAGCAGAAGCAGAGTCCGATCAGGTCGGCCACGGACAGCCACAGCAGGTAGGTGTAGACGGTGAGCGCGCGCAGCGGCGGCCGGCGCAGCACCAGCAGGTTGGCCAGGTTGGCCACCACTCCCACGGCGCAGATGGCCTGCGAGCACCAGCCGTAGGCCGCGTGCGCCAGCCGCTCCAGCCGCGCGTCAGAGGCCGGGCACGGCTCCATGGGCGCCGGCGGTCACCAGGGGACGGGATGTGCGGAGAGCGAAACTTCCAACGGGAGCCGCCAGCTAGTGAGATCCGAGCTTGCTCGACGTCCAAATGATGTCCAATGTCCATTAATTCAGTGGGTAAGCTGATATCGCCATTCTTTTAGCAGAGATATGGAGTTTTGTTCCTTGGTTAGAAAGTTCTCCTATTTTCACACGGTATTTTGTGCTATCGTCTCATTGCCATTCATAACTTCTCTCTCACGGAAATCATAAAAGCACTACTGGTCGTGGTCTGTTCAACAAGCTAAGACACTGAGCTAACGCTTTGCCTCATTTTCAGTCGTCGCCTATCACTTCTTTACACCAGAAGTCCACTCCACATTGCATATCAACACAGGCGCAGATCACTAACGAGCACAGCACACGGTCCTCCGCCGTCCCCCCGGGTCGGTCCCACACTGACTGACATATGGCCCTCTGCGACCCTGGGCTGGCCCGTCGGCCATCGCCAACCGATCGCCGATTATTGTTGACCTCGGGTCGGCCCGGTACATAACGCCTCGGGCAGTCCCGCCCCAGGCTATCCGCCGCGCCGTGTCATTCCCGCCGTCATCTGGGGTCATATACGCGTGTCGCGTGGGTGTGTACCGTCTGCGCACTGCACACAGGAGATATGCGGTAATGACCAATCATACGACGGTTATCGGGCGAGCATATCGTCCGTTGGCTGACATTCGATGGAGCATCTTCCAGGCAAGCCGCAAGGTCATATGTAGTCACGTTGGTTGTATTCTTTGTTTCCAGGCAATGCTCGATTCGAGCTGGCTGGTTAATTGTGTCGCTGTAGTTTCTTCTCGTGAAGGACCTGTTGTCTTGCTGTTGTCTTGCAAAGTTGCATGTTTGGTCATCCAATAGGCGGATCCAGAAAGACGGTCTGAGGTCTCGGACGTTGCGGGGAACATAGGTACCTTCGAAGAAGTTTCTCTGAATTCAAAAAAATCGTCGGGTTTCGTTTCCTCACACACTGCTGTGGAGTTGGAAGCAAACTTTTCCCGATGAAAGTTATCAAGCTTCCTTCTTATTAGAAAAACGACAAAGTTTCACTGATATTAGATTTTCTTTTGGGCGCTGCGAGGGGGACATTTGCTGGCTCCTAAGAAACACCCCCTTGATCCGCAAGTGGGTGATCAACCATCACATGTGACATACACATGCATTGTCCGTGTAAAACAAATTCATGTCCCTTTCCTTTCCTTTGATAATCCCATGATGAATTCCTTTCCTTTGATAATCCTTTGATAATTTGATAAGTCCCAACTCGTTGCATGTAAAATGCACATGTAATCGAAAATCTAAGCGTAACTATAACGCCTATAACCTCCGCCATGCCCCCTCAAAAATTGATTTCATGTGTGCATAACTATTTTGGAGTAGGTAGGTAAGGGGTAAGCCAAATGCCAATGTATATTAAAAGCAATGTTTGCAATCGATGTTTGTGTAGCTCGATGCGTTTTATTTTGAGTCTGCTATGCATTGTATTCCAGGGCCTATTTTAAGACAATTGGACTGGGGTGGCCAGGCAGTGGTGGCGCCCCTGTCTCTTGTGTGGGCGCCTCCCCCCCCCCCCCACCGAAATACTGCTGTGCGCAGCATTTCGATGGGGGGGGGGGCGTCGCAATCGAGTCTCAGAATCTTTTCTTTGTGACGGTAGTACGTAAGGGCTAACGTTTCGGGAAAGTGTCTGGAGGCCTTTGTTGGCATAGTTTTTTTTCTAACATAGCCCTTTCGGGCGATGCATGGAAAGAATTAAGCCAAAAGTCGGCTGTGCATGGTGCAACCCCCTTTCGTCAGAGAACTTTTACTGCTTATGCCGATGGCCCTCAAATCCCCCCCCCCCCCCGATCCGTCCATGATAAACACCTTCCCATACCAAGAAGCCGGCGTCACTCGAGGTCACTTTATCTTGAAATTTCGATATCGATGACCTAAGGTCAGGTCAATTTTTTGACCTCTCCATTAGGTATAAGTCAATGGGAGAAAATTGAAAAGCGCCTGTTTTAGACGAACGCCATTCTAAACATTTTCAAACACTAAATTACGAGTTAACATGACACGCTGAACCAGAAAATGGCACCCGTGACCCCTCGTTATGCCCCCGAGGTCATATCAGGTCACGAATGGTATCTAACAGTTTTTCGCTAATAACTTCTGATAGAGGCAAGCTAGAGCGATGAAAACGCCTCAGATGTGTTTGGCTCGACGATACGGATCGACTGATATCCAACATGACCATTTCCGGTCAGGTCATTACCTTGACCTGTAGTCAAATTTTCAAGTTGACCTTTCAAGGTCAAATTATAGTTCATTCGACGCGTCTAGACGAGAGGAACACCATGCTGGCAAAAATACTGTCGTGTCTCTCTTGAGTCAAAAGTTATTGAAGAAAACGAAGTTTTTGCACTCTGGAGGCTAAACCGTTGACCTGAGGTCAAACCTGAGAACATTATTCAGAAAGCCCTGTAAAAGAGCTATCGATTGCGCTTTTCCGCGGCGCTGCACACTGGTCGGAAACGCCCTCACGAGAGGCCACGGGCGATTCCGGAGTTTCGGATTATTTTTTATATAGATCGATTTGAAATTGATCAAATTATTATACTTAGGCCAAAAAACTAATCCGGGTGACCAAAAATAACTGTAATCAACCCCCGAAGATGGGGTATCCCAGAACTCGGAAACTGACGCGGAGCAAGAGGTTTCTTGAGCCGGATATTCAGAGTCTTATTGCTGATAAACACCAAATTGAAATCCCACATATTATGCATCAAAATGTTCGTTATGAAGTTGCCGACTGGTCAGTGCAAATTTTTTGGTATATTTTTTACCTAACTAAGATATACTGTAGCTTTTTTATGAAGGCTCTCCTACAGTGATTCTGGAATATAACTGCAAAGTTTAGGTAAGGAAACAACAGGTAGTCCCATCTAGTCCCACTCTGATTTTTTGTGAGCTGAAGCAGGATTTAAATTTACACCAGGGCAACATAAAAGCTAACTGCGCATATTTGCGCAAAATTTGCAGGAGCCGCTCTTCCTACCCAAGTACCGCCCGCCCCGCCCCAGTTTCGGCTCGGCCGCCGCGCCCGGCTTACGCTGACCTATGTGGCCTGCACGCATCCATGCGTAGTTGACTGGTCATTAAAAACAGATGCGCTTGAGTTTATGAATTTTGTGAAAAGCGCGTTTTATGTATGCATTTATGTATGCATTGACATCAAAAGCCTTCCACATATTGCGTGGCGATTACGGCTTGCATTTAGAGAGCCTTGCTATTGACAGCCATCACTCGGCTGAAGAAAGTGGAAATTGAAACCTTCGTGAATATAAGACGCCGCAAATATAGGACACCTGTCACTGACGTCGGGTTACCTTGGGCCGTCTTTTTATATTAGATCACAATTCCGGTATTTAACCCTGGCCGGACCGATTGGTTTTCTATATTGACCGGGAAGGGTTGGTACAACTCCCTCGCCGTTTCGCCTCTAATTGAGCTAGAGCCTCGCGGAAAAAAAACGAGCTTGTGTGCCGTTATAAGACGCAACAATTAGGTACTACCCGATTTTAAGGTCTTAGGTCAGCCAGTGGCCTCTTAGGTCAGGTAAGTGCCACAAGGCACGGGCTCGGTTTTAGGTTAATTACTTTGCCAAAAATGGTCGCACTGCCGCGATTTTGGCATCATCGTGTTTGTCTAGCTCAGGCGCGTTGAATGCTATACTTGGTGTTCGGGTGAAGTCAACTTAAGGTGTTAACCTCGGGTCAGGGTCAGGTCGGGGCCCCTTAGGTCACGAAAATGGTTGAAGGAGGTCATATCGCATATCATTCGATTCGGCAGGTCTTCCTGAGTCCAATGGTGGCTTTCCCGACTCTCTAGCTCCATCTGATCAGGAGTTATTGACAAAAAACTTATATGGCCTTAGTGACGTCATAAATGACGTCACGCAAAGTCAACAACGCTAAAGTGAAGCACTGGACCTTGCAAGGAGCGCATGAAACCATTCCCGGTGCCCGAATAGCAGCTCCCAATTTCCCTTGTTGACTTAAAGTGGTGCTAGATCCTGTATTATACTCAATTATGACGTCATAACTTAACAGATTCACGCCATATATTTAGTGCTTGACATCCAAATGATAGCTTACATATGACAGAGAAGGTATGCAAAGTTTTATGAAGTTTGCTTCACTAGTTGTGGAATAACAAGCAAAAAACTTTTGCGGAAAGGCCGCTGGCCTCTCGCTGGAGCGTTTCCGACCAGTGTGCGCTGTAGCTCTATTGGTTCCCGAGTTGTCCGTCGGCAGTTTCGAAAAATGTTGAAATAACAAAATTTGAACTTTGATGACCTTTGGTGACCTGACCTTTGACCTGACCTAAAAAATAACAAGTGGGTATTTTCGTCATGGTTTTTGACGTTCTTTCGGATGCCGCTTACCGCGTGTCGCTACTTGGCCCAGGAGCCGACTTAGAAGGGGGGTGTTCAAATCCCCGCCCCCCCCCCCCCCAGCAGGGCGTGGAAATCCAGGACCCCCAGCGGGGCGCGGGTTAAACCGCCGCTCGCCAGATTTTTCTCTTGGAAATACCCTCGTCAGAAGCAATGCGTGCACGTGCGTTTGAAAATCCATTGTTGATCACACGGCCTGTCTCATAGCCACATGACAAATTTAATTTTGCGGCCGATACTGATAGGGCTCCCAAAGGTGCAGTTGGCGCCCCAGTAGTGGTGTGGCGCCCCAATCGTGTCTGGGCGCCCGAATGTTGATAGGGCTCTTCAGTCGTGGTAGGCGCCCAAGTGCTGGTAGGGCGCCCCATTGCCGGTAGTGTGTCCCAATCGAATTAGAGAGTCCCATAGCTCAGTTGGTAGAGCACCGGACTCCCGGTAGTGAGAGCCCGGGTTCGAGTCGCTCCGGTGCTCGATATTTGAGACTCCTGACGGGGATGGTCTGCGGTTGGTGGGAGCAGCCGCAGCCAGTTGAAGTCAGTTGAGTGGGACAGGTTGTGTCCGGCTTTGAAGGGCACGTTAAACTTAGGCATCTAAATTATTCCGTTACCCGGAATTGCGCGATCGGACGGTAGGGGTCGGGGTCTACGCAACAAGCTCTGCTTAGCGTGGGCTCCGACTCTGTCAATCCGTCCATTCAAACATTCAAGCTAAATTTATAAAAAAGTAGGGCGCCACAGTTGCGGCAGGGCGCCCCCAGTAGTGAGAGGGCATCCCATTGGTGGTGGTGGCGCCTCAGTGAGCCCTTTTCCCCCTGTCAAGCTGAGTTCGCCCCAAGAATGTGTCGCCTCCGTGATTGTCGGCAGCCAATATCTGTGGGCAGACTTTTGGGCTGTTTTGCACTGGGGTGGCAAAGCAAGACGACTGGGGTGGAAAACCGCACCACTGGGGTGGGTTTTGCCACCCCAGTTAACATGTTAAAATAGGCCCTGTTGTATTCTCTCGACCAAGAGTCAGGCCAATGCCCCTAATAGTAAAGTAATCTTGAATCCCCCCCCCCCCCTGGCCGCCGCGCTGAGCTGAGAGCTGAGCGTCACGGGACACGACACGCCCACTTTCCCGACACGCCCACTTCGGAGGTGACCTTGAGCGGCGTATGTACTCAAAAGCAACTCAAAAGGAAGAAGGAATGTACTGGGCGGGGAATCGGGATGCTGCGCTCAGCTGAGCGCCTCCGGGCTAAACATCAGCCCGTCCCTATATACGGCCCGGCCTTGAGCCCGTCTGATGGTCACGTGGTCGACCTTCAGACGGCACGGCGCCGAAAGTATTGATCTTTGCCGAGAGAATATGGGCTGAACTTGAACTGAGTGCAACCATGATGCGTCGAAAATCCTTTTCTCTAAAATATTTATTTCGCCCCCTCCTCCAAAAAACCTGTTTGTCATATTTCCCGAAATGTTCAAATCAACGGAAAAACAGTATTTTCAGCATCGGTCGTTTATTTACACCAATCACAAAGCAAGGCTCAAAAACAAAACTAGAAAGGCGTCCGCCCGCAGTCACAATCAGAGAAAAAATCAGCAAAAGGCTAGCCTTTAGCCGGGCAAAGTGTACTCCCCTAATACAGACATCGATCGAGCATTGGTAGGGAAACAATCTTGATCTACAAATGTCCCGGCAAGATTACATAGACGGGCAAACCACACTTCCCAGCTCACAGCACGAGTACTCACGGCTTTCGCCAAACGCTCCACCGACCTCCAGACACTGGCCGACCCGTCACGGGGCTAGATAAACGCCTCACACAGCACAGTCGCCGCCAGGCAATGTTCTGGTTCCCACAGTCGGTGCGAGACAGTCCTGCGACCACCCCTACCTACTTCTTGCAGTCTCCGTTTGCAGCGTTGCCGACAGAGTCGTAGGTGATTCGCAGCGGCGGCCCGTCCTTCTTCTCCTCCCGAGGTCCTTCGATCTCGATCGGGATCGTCCTAGCAGTGCTGCGGCGCTCCTGGGCCAGCGGCGCCTCCAGCTTCAGGTGACCCGACGGGGTCAGCTGGGAGGTCAGCTTGTCGATGCAGGCGTCCTCGGGCGCTGTGAACTGTCGCACTGTCCGGCTGAACGAGTAGCCGTCCGGGTGTTTCTCCTCGTGCTCAGCTCGTACCGTGATGGTTCCGTCGGCGACTTTGACGACCACCTCGTCCGGCTTGTAGTGACCCAGGTGCATCGAGACCTGGAACTTGTCGGGCTTCTCGGGCTTTTCGACGGCGCGCGGCTCGGCCAGCTCGGCGAGAAGAGGGAATCCCATCCACGGGCCCAGCCAGAAAGACATGTTGTCGGCCATAGCGTGCTTCACGAACGGCGAAAATTCACGTGTCGGCAGTTGCGCACAGCGTGAGCGTCCCATCGTCTCGTGATGTCCGATTTTCGACTGATGTCCGACCGCACGGAGCTCTCAAATATAAACTTTCAACCCGTCCGGACGAGGCTTCTGGTACCGTGTGGAATGATCTTTTTCTCGAACCGACTCGGTTTCTGCCGGGCGGCGCGGCGCTGCTCATTGGCTGAGCGGCTATGACGTCATCAAGAGCGAGGCGCTGATTGGCGGTTATGTGACGTCAGATGCTAAAACTGCATCGATCCAACTAGAAATGCCGATAGGTTACCGGAGCGGTCCCGAGTGTTGGGGGCTACTGGGGATGTGTTGTTTTCATCCCCATCCGGTTTCCGCTTTGCATTGCGCCGGTTCGACGACGGCCGGCGGCCGGCGCGGCGGCGCGGCGGCGGTGGACGGTGGCTAAAGCTTAGCGGGCAGCGGCTATGGACCCGACATAGTATAGTATGCAGTACGGACTCTGTCTTATTCCTGAATTCTGCCAGCGAGGGGGTGGAGGTCGGTCGTCGCATTACATCAGAGACCGCAGTTATGTAACAGCTGCATTTCGTCGGTTGCAGACGGACTGATGACGCTGCAACACGTCGGTGTTAACTGCTAAACCATGTGAAATGGTGATGGTGCAATGCACGACTGAACTTGGGAGGTGGTTGGTCTGACCATCACCTTGTCGAACTTCAGTCCATAGCTATATGATGTTTATTATCGAAAATGTGAAACAAACGCATTTAATGTGCACATTAAACATCTTGCTGCTCCATGCTTTGCTGCTCAATCACTAGCTTTTTTGTGGGGATAGGGCAGCATTGGGTGCCCGTGCTCCCCTCGCAGTGAAACAAGAATCCTCTCGGACCAGAAACGCACCGAACGCCTTTTTACCGAATCCATTGATACGACTGACTAGCTAAATCATGGCGCTACTTGCTAAGTCTATTCATATACCTTTCAACCTTTGTATTCATATACCTATAAAAAATATGACACCGTTCTCCTGAAGGAGAGGTTTGAGGCTCCCTTATTTGGGCTCGACTAAATTTATAAGGTTATTGACTGTAAATGACTCTTCCTCATCGAAGCTAATTATATTATGTTCGGGATGTAGTCGAATATGCTCATGAATTCTACCACGTTCGATGTTGCATAACAGTCAGCATTGCACCGGACGCGGTATCATGAGTCAGAGTGCACCGTGACAACTCTCCCGGGCTCTATCGATATGATGACTGACGTCAACTCAGGGTCGATAGTGTGAAGGTAATAGAAAAGGAGTGTTCGAATCGTTTTGAAGACTGCGGTAGTTACTAGTTTTGATTATACTTTTCTGAATATTTAAAGTATAAGGTCGCTCAAGGTCGCTTAAACACAAGGTCGCTCCCTACGCATAGGCGGCGGAGTGGAACGGGGAGGGCACCGAGGCACCGTGCCCCCCTTTGATTTTGGCATTTTAACATTAGCCCTATCGGCGTTGCATGGAAAGAATGGGACCAAAATTAGTCGGCAGTGCTCCCTTTAATTGAAGGTGTTCTGCCGCTACTGTCCCCACGAATGTATCTGTCGCTATATAACGACGTCAATATTGACGATAACGCTTGCTTGCATCATTGCCCGGCTTCAGAGGCAATCAGAGCAATCACCCGATCGATATCGGAGATAAAAAATCAATCAACTTTCTCTAGCTGTTTGTTTGGAAAAAAAAAAATGAATGGAAGGAGACATTTTAATTTTATGGATACCTATGCAAATATTTAGCGTCATTACGATTCGGCCTGAATCGCCAGCATTGAAAATCAATAGCCTGAAAATTATGTGGTGACATTTTTGTAGCGATTGCGATTTGCTATTCACAAACAGTTTCCATACAGCTTCCCATTAACACACGCCCCACGGGGGGCTAAATTCATAGCCCCCCTCCCGTTTTTCTGCAATAACTTCTAAACTGCTTGACGTATTGCCGCCATACTCTCATTACCTTCGGCTGCATCAATTTGACACCTTGTGTCAAAATTTGAACTTCGTATCTATCATAGGTCGGCCGGAAATGACGTCAGAGTGACGTCATGTTCGGCCGATTTCGACGCAAAACATTGAGCCACGGGAATCGCTCCCAAGAGCTCAGTTTTTTAGCTAGATCCAATTTCTTTGCATGAGAGGACTCAGAATGGACTGCGCTATGAAACTGATTCTCGGATTTTTAAAATTTTGAGAAGTTTGAAAATTATATATATTAAAAGGCAAAATTTGTATTTTTATCTTTTTTCAAAAACTTTTGACTTTTCGAGAAAAAAAAAACGGAAAATTTATGATAGAACACATGCTTATAACTTACCCTAGCAAGTTTTAGCCAGATATCTTCAAAAATGGCCAAGTTATACGCATTATAGCTAAAATTTCACAATTTTTGATTTTTTAAAACAATTTTTCTGTACGTATTTGACATCGTACACCAATATAAATAGCACCATCGTGTTCCTGAGCTCAAACTGCATCCGATAGACATGTTTTTTGTTAAAAAATTTCAACTTTGAAATTAGACCTTTTTTGACCTGAAAGTGACCTGACCTCAACTATATTCAGATGAAAATGACCTCAAATGACACAGGCGACACCGAATTCGAAATCTATGGCCTAAATGGACCATAAAACATGTGTCACGTGACCGATTTATGGCATAAGATTTCCGTGACCTATGATGACCTGACCCTGACCTGAAAATCAAAATACAAATTTCGTACCCTCAGGGTATCTAAAGCATCTGTTCACGAGTAGGTATACCAAAAATCAGCTTGATCTGACTTGTGAGACGGCAGCCAGAGCCCAAAAAGTGAACAAGCCAAATATCGATAATTTTTACTTTGACCTGTGACGTCATCATTGACCTCGAGGTCAATGAAATTAGGTTTCGATCGACAGTTTTTCCGGGGCTATCAGATGCCGTTTGAATCTTGGCGATCGGCCCAGTACTAGTTTCGGAGTTACGAGGGGGCTTCCCCCCCCCCCCCCAGCGGGGCGTGTTATACACAGACCCCAGTGGGGCGCGGGTTAAGCTCGGTTGGTGGAAATTGAAAGCATTGATCGAGTTTGGCCATTTAGTGGCATTGTAACTAATCTCGACAGCTAGTAATACCTGCAATTAAGACCTTGTATATAGTGACTACACCCCTGTCCCCGTTTTAAAAGTTTCTGCAAAACACCTGAATGGAAATTTGTGGGGGGGGGCGAGTTGAGGGGACGCCCGCTAATCAAGGGTTGGCCTAATTCGGCGAAGCCCTTAAATTTTGTGGGACATCCGTCTCTTGATCTACTTGTAAATGAACGCCCAGGCCCACCTCAGATAATTTAAAACAAGCCAACTTCAAGTTCATAAAGGAAGTTCCTGATATCGCCAGCTGTAGCTAAAAAAAAAAAAATCATGGAGCACATTTTGGTTAGGACATTAGCTTAATTGTCTCGTTCAATAATATTGTCGTAGCTGCTACTGCTACACCGTAAGTAGCTCAGCTGCATGCACAATTTAGACAAAATGTACAAAACTACATAGTTAGGGTAAGGTGCCTAATTAGCGATCCGCTTAATTTGAACCGTCATTGCTCTATGGATGCCACTGTATTTTATTGGCTTGATTTTCGGAGAGATCGTTCATTTTTCTATTAAAATCTAGTCATTCTCTATTATTCTCTATTATTAAAATCATTTTCTGCCCCAATATCTACTTACTTATTTGTAGTGAGCATTTTGACAAACCATTGCAAAAAAAAAAAACGCTTATAGGGAACTCGTCCCGATTAGCGACCGGGGAGGGTCACTAATAAGTCTATGGGTTTTCCCATATTAAAAATGGCAAAAAATGTGACGCCTGAAAAGATGAAATATGATCCCAAAAAGGGTAAGCTAAGCGCAAAGCACTCAATCACTCGAACAGGAACGTTTATCCATCACGCTTACGTAAGTACAAGCTGATCACGTGATGCACCAAAGGTGAAAAGAAGGCGAAAACCCAAATTTTGCGGGCTATCTCGTATGATATTCGAGGCCCGCGCTGGATTCGGCAACCCTGCATTCGGTAACGACATTTGGCATCCCCGCCACACATTGCAAACTTCAGCAACACCTCATTTTCATTTCTCTCTTTTTCCCTGTCTTTCCCTTTTTGAGCTATTTGCGACCATGTCGGGCGCAAATAGGAAATATGAGTTGTGACACATTTTTAACCACCATGCCGTGCACAGTTAAGCGATTCACTATGGGAAAACGGCAATCAATTGAAAAAGGATTGTCGATTCAGAATAAAAAAGGTGCATCATCATAATGTGCATCGCTTTTCATCAGAGAGGGCCCAATTACACACATTTTGGATAAGAAACTTGTCATTTTTATTTAAACTCACCTGAAATGTCCAGAAACACCGACAACCGGAAAAGGATTTAGTTTGATAACCAAAGTATGGCTCACCTTTTGACAATGTTTTTACCCCGATTTCTCCTGTGAGTTTTTCTGTATGGAGGTAGGTCGCAAATAGGAAAGGGTCGCGAATTAGGCACCTTACCCTACATACTAATTTTGAAAGCCTTTCATAAGTCACACAGTGATTGAACTCAGGGTCATCTCAGATGATTACAGGCCAACATTCGCACCCTGAGTGGAAAGCTGGACAACGTGATCGGCCTTCATGTGCAGCCGAACACTGACCGTCAGGACTCCTTTACGGTAATGCACCTGATCATCCGGCACCCTCGTCCCGTCTACGATCACAGAGACGGGTTTCGGCGCACCGTGGAACACAAGACGCTCAATGATCGGCGTCCTCAGCCACCGGGTCTGCGCGCTGTCCACCAGCGTCTTCAGCACGCCGTCGGCGAAGTGGAAGAAGCAGTGGTAGAACCTGCCGCTGGTGACTGTGTCTCTGGTCTCGCCGTCATCCCAGAACAGCTCGCCGCGGGCGCGACGTCCGAACACCAGCAGCGTGAAGGCGCCCTGGCGACTGACTGCCGTCGAGGAGGCATTCGGCTGCAGGGGAAGAATGGCTCCACCGCGGGCGAATATCGGGATCATGCTGGTCAGCGGCACGTGGCACTGCACTGCCACCGTGATGTTGCCTGAATGCGCCAGGGAGCCGTTCCGTAAGTCGTACCATTCACCGGGAGGGAAGGTCACATCAACCAGTGTTGGATTGTCTTTGCTCAGCACAGGAGCCACCATCACGTCACTCCCGAGTAGAAACTGTGTGTCGATGTCCCGCAGCTCCGCTCTAGTGGGGAACTGGAAGGCCAGCGAGCGCACCACGGTGGCGCCGAACGCAGCAGCGCGGTAGAAGAGGGTGTACAGGTACGGCAGGAGTCGGTATCGGAGGCCGAGCGCCTCACGAGCGGCCGCGGCGACAGACGGCCAACGGGCCGGGTCCTGAGCGGCGGCGCCCCAGGCGTTGTGGTTCCGGCAGAACGGGTAGAAGGCGCCGAGCTGCGTCCAGCGCAGACACAGGGTCTCGGTTGTGTTGTCCTTGAAACCACAGATGTCTGCGCCGACGTGCGGGATGCCAAACATGTTGAACTCGAGAATGCCGACGATGGATCGCTTCATGTCCTTCCAGCGTGCGGTGTTGTCGCCGGTCCAGTGGGCGCCCCAGTGACCCGAGCCGACAAAGGTGGAGCGACTGAGCAGGAGGCCCCGTCGTCCTCCCAGCACGGAGTTCATGGCGCGGCGAGTGGCGAGCATTTGGGCCCAGCCGTACAGGCTGTGGACGTCGTAGTGTAACAGCTCTCGGTGATTATGTTCAGAGGACAGTGAGGAGTACAACATTTTCTGCTGAGCTGCTAGAAGATCGCTGTCATTAAAGCGTTTGTGCTGATGCAATGGAACTGGCGCGGGGAATACATCGTTGATGTGTTTGCTGGTCATGCAGATGGTTCTGTCAGAAAGCCTTCCGCTCTTGTTGCTCGTGTCTCGCACGTGTGCTGTCGGATACGGCGGGTCGTCGAGCCTGTTTACAGGGCATTTGAGACTCCATGCGGGCAAGCTGCTCGGCCAGTTGAATGGCTTTTCCAAGTTGGTACCGAAGTTTGTCGGCTCATTCATATCAATCCAAAATCCTTCTGGGCCTCCTGCCGACTTCGAGAATCGTCGCATCTCATCCGTCCACCAGTGTGTGGCTGCTTCCTGGAAGAAGTCAACAAGCAACGTCTTGTTTCTCGTCCACAGATATCCTGCAACGTAATGGCGACAGCCGGCGCACTGGTCCTCCGGTATGAGGCTGTCGTTCCACCAGCGCACGAACACGTCCCTCGCCACACCACGCTCCAGTGGAGGGTACCGTCCGAAATCCGTCGCTAGCGAGGGATCATACAGTAGCGAGGCGTGTATATCCAGCTTACGAAGATCAGCGACGAGTCTGGAGAGGTCTCCGAACTTGTCCTTCCCTACGGTGAAGTCCCGCCTTCCGTCCATGTAGTCAACATCCACGTACTGCACGTCCAGCGGGATGCCCGCGGCACGGGTGCGCGCCACGGTGCGCCGCACCTCGTCTACGCTGCGGTAGCCGAAGCGCGAGAGCTGGAAGCCCAGCGCCCAGTAGGAGGGGAGCTCCGGGAGCCCGATGGTCAGGTGGTACTGGCGCAGAACCTCCAGAGGGGAGCGGCCGAAGAAGAGGCACAGATCCAGCACGCCTCCCGTGGTACGGAACGTCACCGCGGCAGAGCCGTTCAGTCGGAACACCTTGTACTCCATCGCGTTACTGTTCAGGAACAACACCCCCAGGCTCTTCCCGGAAGTGTTCTCGATCGCCAAGAGGAACGGATGCACGCCATAGAGCGCCTCGTGGCCGTCCCCGGGCGGCCGTCCACGAGCGAAGATGGGCCACGTGGCAGCTGCGTCCAGGTCGTGCCTGAAGCGGTCGTGGTTGTTCTCGCCCATGCCGTAGAGGTGCTCTCCGGCCAGCAGGAGGGTGGTCTCGATGAACTGGTCGCTGTAGCTGAGCTGGGGCAGCAGTCGGAGCGCCGTCTGACGGCCGTGCTGCACCGACAGGGAGAACGGTGGGCCGGAGACGTCAGGTCCCAGCTCGGCGGGGGCTGACGGAAGGTGGACCCGGTACTCTGCACGCTGGCGACGGTGGCGCGGTGGCGGCAGGTTCAGACGCAGAGGCACCTCGAACCGCTGGCGGTCCGCGTCTCGAAACTGAAACAACAACACAAACACATGGAGAACTGGTTAATATTCGGAGCTGCTTCTACGGTTATAACTTATAATAAATTATAAATTGTCTGTGTTCTTCCAAGTTCCAACATAAAGTGTTGCAAATTGTAAATCAAGTTACCTAATTGATATAACTTATCTAATTCAACGTATGCATTTTCTATACCTATATGGTGCTTGGTGTTTTTTTTTCATTCTCCATGAATGTGTTAATAACTATGTCAGCCAACACCAGTGACGATCACTTCTAGTGAACAGTCACAACTGCTGTCACTTCTACAGAACATATCCACCTCCATGCTCCCAATACTCACCACGATCCTGACTCGCTGCCGGTCGTGTTCGGTCACCGTCACCATCAGCCGCTGCACGTCCTCACCGAACAGCGTCACATCCGAGCTCTTGGTGAGCAGCAGCTGCCGTCTGCTCACGGCGCGCTGAACACGGTAGCCTACCCTGTCGGTGAGGCGACACCCGTCCCCGTCTGTCCACACACAGGCCGTGAACTGGCCGCAGACGGTCGGGGTCGCCGAGCGCGCACCGCCCGGCAGCGGACACTCGAGCTCGGTGGGCGCCGCCCGCGCCTGTCCGCCGCGCGCTGCTGGGAGCAGAGGTGTGAGATACAGTGCAAGACGCAGATAGAACTGCGGGGGTGACATTTTCAGGATATGTGAATATGGTGACTCACAAGGATTTAGAAAAGGACATCGGCTGTTTACTCGTAGGAATCTTGTCGACCATACGGCTGTGCAGTTCAATTCTTGGTACTTGTACTAGACGGCCAAAATGCACATATCGAGTTATTTACTCGAGTCTGAGGGTCAGCAGTTGGGATCGCACGATTCCTTACTAGCTCTATTCCACAGCACACATACCGCGCTAGCTAATCCATGGCGGGCTGCCGCCTCACTGCGGGTGGTGTGTGTCCCTCAGCTGAGCTTTGCTGGAGAGCTATCGATCAGATAAACAAACGGGCCTCCGGGGGGCCACTAGCGGTAACACGCTAACCACGGAGAGCGCTGAAAAGGAACCCTGTTGGAAGTTTGACGAGTGAAACTCGAAAACCCTACATTCTGCCGTCACCGAATACAAAGTTCAATAACCTACGCCCAGTTCCTATATCATTGTCAACTAGTGAACGTTTGATATGCCGCTGTCTGCCACTGCTCTCAGTATTTTTGTGTGCGACTGACCGGCCGCGGTGCGTCTGTGCATTGCGGCACAGTCTATATGCTGCGTCTGTGCATTGCGGCGCTGTCTGCGCCAGATACCTACCTCAGAGGCTGACAGGTGGGGTGGGACGGGATGAGTCCGGCTGTGGCTTTGTGCCGACTATATTGTCTGCTGACTGCTGCGTACCTAGTCGGGCTGGGTTTTTGTTATGCTGAACGATAATGAATTGAACACTGACTTGTATTCAGGCTTTTTTAGTCGGCAAATGAACTCTATTACCACGTACTACCGTGTTCGTGGCCACAACTTAAGGAGATTGTAACTATCGGAGACACTTCTTCATGTATTGAATCAATTGCTATGAAAATGTATCTTATCTGGGTTGCCAAGCATGCATGGTCAAACAAATTTTAACCACCCATGTCAACCATTCTTACTCGAAATTAGACGCATCAGCGTGGACCGTCACTCCCCAATGCGATGAGCTGACCCAATCGGAGCTGAACTGTCCGGCGGCCGGATTGGTGGCCGGCCGCCGACCTCGCCTGGGGCACGGGCCGGTCACGTGACCCGCGCCGGGCCGGGGCAGAGCGGGACTCGCGGCGGCGGCCGCCCGGCAGAGCCGGACGGACTCGGTGGCGGGTCGGTCGTGTGAGGTCACTGCGGCTGCCGACTGTTCCATTTGGCTGTTGGTCGATTCCATTTTGAAGGGGTTCCATTAGGCGTTTGCAGTCTTATAGTTACCTATATAAAGGTTTATTTGGAGAAGCTTGTCCTTCCGTCCGTGTAACAGCAGCAAGATGCCGCGCCAGGCGGCCGTTCGTCCGTTCTCCTCCCGCTATGGCGCTGTGAGGGCTACTTCCTCTGTCTGTTAGCCAGGTCGCAGCAGCACTGCCCAGTCACGTTCCCGGCTGCTTGGCGCAGCAGTGGCGGACGTTGTCCTCCCGCCCCGCCCCGTCCCGCCCCGTCCACACCTCTGTCAGGGCGCCGCTGCTCTCGCATTATCTGACACTAGCCTCGCTGTCTGACGACTTTTCCAGTGCTTTACGATTTGCCGTTAGGGTCCAAGGACAATACAAGCGGGGACATTGGGGTTCTGTCGGCAAAGAAGAAATATTCAAGTTCATTTTAAAAGTCTACCGCGCAATATAGCATTCTTTTGCTCCGTTGCAAGTGGCGCTACTCTGGCGGCGAATCTGGGAACTACTAACTGTACTCGGGCCATGTGACCTTGACCGGCTCCTGAGATTGGGGTCACGTGACGCTCGGCCCGCCGGCGGCCGGTCCCACGAGAAAATTCAAGTTTGCAGTGCAATTTTGCATTGACAGACATCATTGACATATGATTCTAGACTAGCATTCGATACAGCGTTTGATTTTACACAGAATGACACTAAATTCAAGAGATTATCCGCCATCACTTCATCGCACTTTTTGTGTAACAGAAAGAATGTCCAGCCGACATTGCATGCTATAGCATAGTCACCGTGGTTATCCCGCGCCCGGCTGGGGGTCCTGGATTTCCACGCCCTGCTGGGGGGGGGGTGTTTGAACACCCCCCTTCTAACTCGGCTCCTGGGCCACGTAGCGATACGCGGAAGGCGGTGTTCGAAAGAGCGTCAAAAATAATGAGGAAATCACTTCGGTCAATTTTTTGGTCAGGTCAAAGGTCAGGTCACCAGAGGTCATTGAAGGCAAAATTTCGCCGATTTCCAGGTCGAATGTCGACAATTTTCAAGAAGCCAACGCATAACTCGGGAACCAATAGAGCTACAGCGCCGCGGAAAAGCGCATTCGATAGTCCTATTAACGCCCTTTCTGAATAATTTTCTCAGATTTGACCTAACGTCAACGGTTTTGCCTGCAGAGGGCAAAAACTGCAAAAATAGCCGATTTTTTCGGAAACAGTCTTTCTGCAATAACTTTTGACCCAAGCCTTGTACGAGCTTACTTTTACCGGCATCGTGTTCCTCTCGTCAAGACGCATCGAATGAACTATAACTTGACCTTGAAAGGTCAACTTGAAAATTTGAGCTCAGGTCAAGGTCATGACCTGACCGGAAAGTTCATGTTGCATATCAGTCGATCCGTATCGTCAAGCTGAACACATTTAAGGCGTTTTCATCGCTCTAGCATGACTATCAAAAGTTATTTGCGAAAAACTGTTAGATACCATTCGTGACCTAAGATGACCTCAGGGCATAAACAGGGGTCACGGACACCATTTTCATGTTCAGTGTGTCTAAACCACTTGTAATTCAGTGTTTGGGAGTGTTTATAATGTCTTTCGTCCAAAAGAGGCGCATTTCAATTTTCTCCCATTGACTTATAATGGGGAGGTCGCAAAATTGACCTGACCTTAGGTCATCGATATCAAAATTCTGAGATATACATTTTGTACATGCTATTGCTCTTAGCAATCGCTGAAAGTTTCAAAGCGATCGGTCACTCGGTGTAGCTATGACAGACATTGAAACTTTTTATGAGGTGAGGTCACTTCAAGTGACCTTGTGACCTGACCTTGAATGACCGTGGTCTGAAATTTTCACAACATGTGTAGAATTGATGTATAATAAGGTGTACCAAAAAACGGCGGCGCTCCGCGCCGCCGTTTTTGAGATATTCGCGAAAAACCACAAGGGGGGGTGTTCAAACACCCCCCCAGCAGGGCGCGGGTTAAGCAATGGGAGCGTACACTGTGGCCTATGATGTGTGCAGACTTATTGATTTTGCCAAGAAGCAGAGCAATATTAATTTGAATCTGGAATCGTGTCCGGTACTAAATTTAACGGGCCATGCGCTGGCACCTACTTATTAGGTATTCGAAACATCAAAATAACATCTCGTCACAGATTTCAATTTCCTTACTCGTTCATAGCTCAGTGTTCACGGCTCATTCTGCATTGCTGGGCCTGATAACAATAAACTTCGAGTTACCTATGTCAAGTTTCATGTTGACACGCACAATGCAACGAACGATTCTAGATCAAGAAAGGTGTCCGATACCTAGTGTTCAATTCTTCACAGTATGGCGCTATTAATAGGGAAAATCTGCTATGATCACTTCACGGCGCTAATTGTGGAACAAAGTCATGCTGCATATTTCCCCGATGAGAGCGGGGCGTGGCCGTGAACGCAGAACGACGTGAACCCCATGATAGATTGTTTTTTGCCAACAACCAACGGAAGAATATATTGGTTTTAAAATCACATCCGGGAAAAGATTTTACGGGCTATTCAATGATAATAATTATTCGAAGAATGAGGATTGAGGATACCTCGTCGCAGATTTCATTTTCCCCACTATCTTTACTTGGAGGTCGATTAGCATCGCTAGCCAGATCTACGTTTATGTTAATTTTGTTATCGACATGCACGATAAAATGTCGATTTTTGACAAGCTGTTGATAAAGCGTTCAATTCTGCACAAAATGACACTAAAAATAAGGGATAATCCCACATAGTTTAATCGCACGTTTTGTGGAACAGAAGGGCCGTCATTGCATATTAACGCAATGAATGGGAGCCTTTCAGAGCGGCGTGTACTGTGTGCAGATTTGTTGCTTTTGCCAAGAAGAAAGGGAACGATAAATTGAATCTAGAATCATGCATGATACTAAATTTGTTGAACTATCTAATGCTATTTATTATTCGAAGAACAAGAACGCTGTTTTGTTGCAGCCTTCAACTTTCTTGTTCATAGTTCGCGGCTCATTCGGGATTGCTGGGCCTGACAACAATGAACTTTGAGTTTCAGTATCAAGTTTTCCTATTGACGTGCCAAATAAAATGTCGATTCTAGACAGCTGGTCGATAAAGCACTAATTTCTACGCAGTATAATGTTATTAAAAAGGAAAAATATGATGGAACTCTTCCGCACTTCTGTGAAACAATAAGATGTCGCATATTTTCGTGACGGGAGCCTGGCGGGTCCCGCGTGCGAATATATGCCGACTGATGTTTCTTGCCAACAAGCATAACAATAATTGGTATGTAGAATTGTGTCCTGGAATAAATTTTGCTAGCTATTCAATGATGCTAATTATTACAAGAATGAGAATGGTATCTGGTCGCAGGCTTCATTTTCTTTTTGTCTTTATTTGGAGATTCATGGTGCTTTGTTGGCCAGGCTTTGTATTTGCAGGTCTGTCAAGTAATGCTCTATGAGCGTTCGAATTCCGATAGGTATGTAGGGAAAATAAAATCTTCAACGGTATACCAGTATAGCGCCTTTTGGGGCGACTAACGGAGCGAGCGAGGGGGTGAGTCTTGCACGTGCGAAATTTCGAGGGGGTACCTCCAACTGACTTGTGCACGGCACCCTACTGACCGGTTTCTAGCGATGTGCCAAATTTGAGCACAATCGGCCCAGCCGTTCTCGAGATCTGGGAGCGGCACCCTGCACGTGCGCACGTGCAAAATGGGTCCCAACTGACTTGTGCACGGCACCCTAATAACTGGTCCCTAACCGTGTACCAAATTTGACCGCCATCGGTCCAGCCGTTCTCGAGATCTGGAAACGACCCCTGCACGTGCGCACGTGCAGCAGCACCCCAACTCTGGCACATGGATATGTAGTGTCTAGTGGGTGCCTACCTACATGCCAACTTTCAGCGCAATCGGCCAAGTAGTTACCGAGATATTGCAACAATTACAAAAGTGACACCTCTTCGTTTTGCACGTGGCACGTGCATAAGGGGTCACCCACATGCATCGGGAATAGTCCAGTACTTGGTAGAAGGAATGAA